GTTGAGGTCATGTTATACATTGGATAGTTCCTTTAGGATGTATACAGATATAGTACTCATCCGATTCTTAATGATTAATTTATTTGATTCTCTGATTTGGGTCATAGTAGAGAGGACTTGCTCGTGGGGTTGACGCACCATTGTTGTTATTTCAGGATACGGTCAGTACCCGTTCCAAGGTTGAGGTTAGCAGTGAGGGACCACCATCCGAACTCATCTACTCTTACGATCCAGTTCAGGGTAGAAGTTTTATGTATTACTTCAGTTTCAGTTTTTATTTACTTTTGACGTTGAACTCTCAGGGTTATATTTAGGGATCCTTGACATAGGATTTCCAAGTTGTAATGGAGTACTGTATTAAATAAAGGATGGATGGATGTTGTATTATTTAGTATTCCTTTCCTGTCTAAATTCTTTTATTATCATCATTTTGTATTCCATACTTGTATATTGCCAATTATTTTTGATTTCCCTCGTTTTTCATGTATAAGCCTGATCAACTTATGCGTGGAAAATGTGGGGGTGTTACAATGTATTTTTTATTTATTTAATTATGAGAAAATATATTAGTTTAAATGAATGAAAAGAAGTATTCCATTCAAATATAAAATAAAAAAAATTTCAAGTGGTTGAAAAAGTAGCGGTTTTAAAAAATACAAGCAAACAAAAAAATAAATATGTTTTTAATTTTTTTTTACTCAAAATATTAAATGTATTAAAAAAAAATAAAAAAATAATAGATATCAATTAACCCATACCGTGACTGAAAGATAGCAATATATTGTTGCTAGCCACATCAACGTTGTTGATGTGACTAGCAATCCAACAAAGCTTTGCTAGCCGGTATAGCTAGCACTATACCAGCTGCCCTAAATGGATGCATTTTTAACACACGGAATTTTGTTTTTAGTTTTGAGAATATGTTAGTGTAATTCAATTAACTTATAATCTTTTTGAGCATAATTATTATAAATATTTTTGTTATTTGAATATATACTCGAAATTAGTCATTCATTTATTATATTTGCATTTAATACCTCAGTAATATACAAATTGTATGATCCATTTCCACTGTCTAGTTGTCAAAAATTGGGCATACTATTATTAACAGGTCATTTTGGTTGGGGGAAACTGGAAAAGTTAGAGAGGGTCGGAGTTGGTGATTTGAAAGGATAATGTTTTTATATGGTCAGTACTGCTTTTATATCCTATTCCTATACATTACCTATTTTGTTCTCTCTCACATCTCACGTGTCACGTGATCATATCTTTGCTCAACACCACCCCTTTCCTTATCTTCTCCTCCCATCCACCCACACACACAAACACAGATATATATATATATATATATATATTTGTAGTTGCTAATTATTGGATACATGTGAGTTGGTAGACTACGCGTGTTTAAGAGTGAATTATTAAAAAGTTTAAAAAAAAATCAGACACCATCATATTAAAAAAATGAAAAAAAGAGGAGCAAGTAACTAGTGTATACATTTATTTTAACATTTTAAAAGTATAAATATATATACAATAATTATAAATATTGAAATACGAGTCATGTACCAAGTTTCCATCTCAAAACTTGCTAAATGAGATTGTCACGCAATTTTATGTAGTTTGATCAATCTGATTTAGGGCATATATGTTTGATTTGTTTTCAAATTGATATGGCAGCCGATTTATTATCTTCACAAAAATAATCTAAACATTTTTAGTGTACGTGATAAAAGTAAATTAAAAGAAAATAGAATAGTGAATGGTAATCTAAAATTTTAAAAATGACAGCAAATTTTATCATCGACAAATGAATAAATGAAGGAAATGCATATCCCAAATTCCATTATTTATTTATTATGGGCAACTTTTCCATCCCATTTCCATCATCTTCTTCATTTTTTCACCTTTTTTACTTTTTTTTTTTTTATAAAAAATTTAATTTTTTTTTTGCAGAATTTCCACGAGCATGGTAATGCCAAAAACACAACTGTTTGTTGTCTTGACACCTGATGATGACGATAAGGTGATGTACTAACACTGAATCTTTTTTGTCGTATCACAATTTCTTCTGTGTTCTCTTCTTGTCCTCTCTTCCTGTACATTAGGCCATCAATTTTGTTAACCTCACCAGCCAATCACCACCAGCCACGTTTCTTTCAAAATCTTCGCTGATGATTTTTCACCGCTAAGTACCGTACCTTCTGAGTGACCGACCTCTTCAAATCACTGCACCTGATCATTTTTCCCCACCATCCCAACCGTTGATTTTAGTTGTAATCCGACGGATGGGAACAATTCCTCCTTTCCCAACGTTCTTATCCTGACTTGACTTAGCTGGCTTATAACTAAGCTACCTGACACCAACCAGCATTCCAACGTTTTACATCTGCCTCACCATTTTATTTTATTTATATATATATTTTAATAACATGTTAAATTATAATTTAATTGTAATTGTGTGGAGCGCCCAATCCTAATTATGAATTAAACTTATGAAACAAAAAGAGATGGAACAAATTGAATTCAATTCGACACACATACAATTTTTAGATGGACTTGAATAAAAAAAGTCATTACTCGATTTGAGCATCAATTAAAGTTTTGGGTAAAGTACAGTTACACCCCCTGAGATTTGGTAAAAAAACACTCAGAAAAAATTTATCTATTTTTTGGACAAAGATACTTATTTACATGAGAAATTGACCAAATTAACCTTTAACCGTTTAGGAAACTTTTTTAACTTTACAATTTAATAAATTGGACCAATCTACCTCATGAACAATTTATGCATAAAAAAAAAGTAAAAAAAAAAAAAAAAAAAAAACTTTATATTGTTCACTTTTTTTTTTTTTTTTTGAAAAATGCATAATATTTGATATATAATTTAAGATGCATAAAGTTATACTGGTACCATATTTTTTATTTTTAAAAAAAAGAGATTGATTTAATTTTTTTAGATGAAAGAATTAAGCATTTTAATTTAAAAATACAAAAGAAAAAGAAAAGAAGTAATAACAAAATATAATTTATTTGAAATATATGTATTGGATCAAAAAAATCATTTTAGATGTCTACACTTTTAAGAAGTTAGGACATTTATAAAGTAAATTTAAAAAAAAAAAAAAAAAAAGTGAACAATATAATTTTTTTTTTTTTTAACTTTTTTTTATGCATAAATTGTTCATAAGGGTAGATTGGTCTAATTTATTAAATTATAAAGTTAAAAAAGTCTCCTAAACGGTTAAAGGGTAATTTGGTCAATTTCTCATGTAAAGTGATGTCTTTGTCCTTTTTTAAACCTTCAAGGGGTGTCTTTGTCCAAAAAATAGGTAAGTTTCCTCAGAGTGTCTTTTTACCAAACCTCAAGGGGTGTAACTGTATTTTATCCTAAAATTTTTAACCCACACTAATGCCAAACAATTTTCAAATTCAACTTATATCATTTTAAGAGGAATAGTGACATTAAGAGTTGCTTCACACTACAAAATTACAAATAGAGTATAAATTAAAAAAAAAAACCCTCTCCCTCTACAATTTTTACAACTAATCCTCTAAAAAATAGCCCCTGTAATCAACAATTTACAACCAACCCCTTTAGCATTAAGTCACTATTAATAGTGGTGGGAAATTACTAGGATATTAAATATATATATATATATATATAATTTTATAAACTAATGAAGAGTATAATAATGGTAGTTTTACATCACATAAGTGTCATTTATATCAAAATTCACATGAATTTTGTACTCTCTCAAAATAGTGCCAAAGAGAGATTTGAAGTTTGAAGCTCCACCATTCCCTATTTTAACACACAGCACAGGAACTCCTAGGTTTTGTCTTGTTAGGGGCTTTTACAGAAATGGGGTGTCCGTAGGGTCTGTTGTGAGAGACCTTTGAATATTATACATTTTAATAGAGCCTATGGTTAATTAGTTATAGATATGTTACCCTAGGGTTAGTTGTTGTGTGTGAAAGTCACGGGAACAAATTCCTCTGCAGTACAATTGATTTGTCCATATCCCACACTGCAAAATTGAACGTACTGTTGCATCACGTTTTCAACATTTTCATTTTCGAGTTTACACCACTTTTACTCCGCAAATTGCATCTCATTTACTCCGAGTTTGTGACCAATTTAATTTCAAGTTTGTAATTTATCTATTCCGATTTTGCATCACTTTTTATTTCCACTTTGCACCTCCTTTACTTCGAGTTTGTGACTCAAGTTCTGGTCACAAAAAGTCTCGAATTGATTTCAGAATGAGCTCAAGTGGTCAAAAAAATTCGCCTTGGTTCCATTTGATTGAATTTTGAACCCTAACCTTCTAAAATTATTCAACCTATCAGATGCCTTTATTGCTATGGAAGAAAGGGATGACAATTTCCCCCAATTCATCCCCCTATAATTGGGTGGATTTAGTAATTTCCAAATAAATTTAGGACGAATTTGGTAAAATAATTGAAAATCCAAGGTAAGTTTTGGGCGGGGACGAATTTAGTGATTAACCTGCCCTGATTATATATGTACTTTTAATAAAATATATTTAATATTTTTAAGATTCTTGTTACTTTGTTAGAAGTGACCGTTAATAGATTAATATTCATTATTTAGTAATTTAAAAGGTGTACCAACTTATTTATCAGTTAAATTTGAACACATTGTGCTATTTTTTTTTTTTTTTTATAACCAGCCCAACAAATAAAAGGAGTACACAATGCAAAGTCGGTATTTTGTCTACCAGAGTTGGAGCGGTTATAGTGTACCAATTATAAACCCGTTTCGAAATAGGTATTGAGTTGATAAGATAAATTTTCTAACGAGGTGAAGTAGAATTTAGCCAAACCCACCCGAACTCTGCCCCCATTGTCATCCTGGAAGATAATTTAAAATGGTAGTTTAATATTTGGTTACCTGCTCAGTTAACTCATTAAAGCTGCAGTTGGTAGAGTCTCAGTATCAAAAATCTTTGGGCTACGCCCGGACCATAATGGCCGGAATTTAGGAGATCGGTTGTGGAGTAGAAGTGGGATTCACCGACATTGGGCTAAGAGATTGGGTAATTGTTTGGGCAAACCTCAGCCCAACTCACATGGTCTATCGACAGAATCCACTGCGCTACGAGCCTACGATGTTATCCCCTGCTCTCTCTCTCTCTCTCTCTCTCTGTGCAATGTGTGTATATCACTATATATTACAAACACTTACATGTACGTGACATGTATAAATCCCTGGTAATGTTTACAGGATAGACTAATAATAATGGATTTGATTGCTACGGAATGATTTTCTGCAAATTCCTTCTGGTTTCTGGAGTTTTCCTGGTATAATCTCTCTTCCTGTATTATTATTATTATTATTTTTTATTTTTCCTTTTCTTATATTTACTTATATTTGTGTAGATTTTGCGTGTAATATTCTGCTCTATTATTTTTGAATGAAGTTGTGTATATGAATTTATACCGCAGTTGAACCTTTCTTGTAAGAATTAATGGTGTCAAATATTCAGCATTAGACTCAAATCTGTGAGCAATTTGGGACAATTATGTATATGCTTTGGTACAATTGAAATTTAATTATTGCTGGTAAGATTTCATTATTATTATTTTTTTTTATTTCCAGAAATTATGGCTGGTAAGATTATATACACAAACATAACATGAGAACGAACAACTAATTTAATAAATTAATAATTAAACTAAAAAATAAACCAAAGCAACACTATAGTGATTTGGTGAAAATTCCCAATTTTTGGAATATTGGACATAATATTGAAAATGTAGGAGGCAGACGTTCGAATATGAAATCTGCAGATTATGATAAGTCTTTCCACTGGTAAACTGAAGTTTCTCTGCTATCTGAAATTACAAGAATACATGTTCCACATATCCTGATTATCGGCCAGTAGGACAAACATTACCGACTACATTCAGTTCAGTGGTTGCTACTTGCTTCTGATTTCAATGCAATAATGCATGCAAAGTTCTTTAAAGCATGATTTTGAGTTTTCATAATGCATATAATTACTTGTAACATATGCGGCATTCAATTCAAATTTGTACAAATTGGAGCTAAAAATTATACATTACTTGTTAACCACCCAAATCATCTATCTGCTTCTTTGGAAAGACACTTAATTCTTTGAAGATGTTCATTAGAGGCTTAAGGCAAGGATGATGATGATAATGTTCATATATTAAGCGATATGGCATCTAATAGAAAAGAGTGGAGACAATTCATGTGGTCGACCCTGCTCATGTGGGATTAAGTCTTTAAGACTAGGATGATGATGACGATGATTATATTGTTGTTGTTGTTCGTTTGAAGCACTCAGATTTGGGAATTTAAATCAGTTAACTGTTCTATAAAAATGAGAAATATTTAAGTCGTCAAGGTTGCTCGGATGACAGGGTCTAAGGGTTACAACCTTGAGGTCTTACGTTCTGGTCCTTCTTTATGCGTTATTTGTGGTTACACACTTGAACATTCCTTTTTGAGTGGTTAAGACCTTTGAGCATCTTGGAATAAGAATATTATGTCTATGGTGATTATGTAAATATTGAAGTGATTGACACAAGTCAGTTTGTGAGATTGCCTCTTATTGTCATTTCCCCAAGGAGCCATTGATATTGCTGATCTGAAATCGAGATTATAGTGACACATGTCACGCTTTGAAATGGTCAATGTGGCTTTCTAAGAGCCTATCTACAAAGGTAAGCAAATATGCTGCCAAAGCTGGTGTACCGTGATGATATTGAAAATGTCCACTACAATGATGTTAAAAATTTGTGTTGCGCATAATGGATGGAGCAAGAAGCAACAATTAACTAGCTGGTAATGTTAATAACTTTGACAATATTGTGTTATAAAGAAGTCTACAAAAAATTGGGATCTCCACCAAAGATTAAGTGAATGCCTTCAGGACTAAGGTATATCTTGCAATTTTTAGCAGTTGTCTGATATCTAGTGTACCGTGATGATATTGAAAATGTCCACTACAGTGATGTTAAAAATTTGTGTTGCGTATAATGGATGGAGCAAGAAGCAACAATTAACTAGCTGGTAATGTTAATAACTTTGACAATATTGTGTTTTAAAGAAGTCTACAAAAATTTGGGATCTCCACCAAAGATTAAGTGAATGCCTTGAGGACTAAGTTATATCTCGCAATATTTAGCAGTTGTCTGATATCTAGTAGTATAAGTTTTTTTTGGGTGATTCTGTTACTTCTGTACCCCATTTGAATTTCTAGATAGCTAGAAATGGAGAGTTTGATTCATCGAGATATAATATGTATTCTGTTGGTTTTATATGGAAATAACTGTTCAATTATTCCACTTGAAACATTATACAATCTCGGTACTAATAAACATGCTGATTTAATGCAAAAGTTATAGGGCCTTATTAGCCTATACATGCTGCTTTGGTATATGTTTTAAAACTACTATCATTCCCCTTAATAGCTTACTGTTCTTATAGGGGCATTCACTGCAAGAGGTCATGTAACCTGTTTTTATTTGCATTCTCCATGAGGAATGTGGCCCTAATTTCGAAAGAAATCATTATTCTCTGAAAAATTGCAAGAATCCCTTCATTTTTTAACTATGGCGAATGAGGGGTCAACCTTTCCTTTGGTTTTAGATAAAACAATGTTGGCCAACTTACTGGAATGAAAATTGGCTTATTTAGAAGCCACCATTTTATGTCTTTATGTAGAAGTACTCGTGAAAGTGCATCCAAGACATTGGTATGCACAATTTATATTGTTCAAAAGCTTGTATTGTTTCTCTTTCTTTTGATAGTGTTTTGGAAGATGGGACTAGTTAAGTTCTACGATGGTATTCTTGGAGTTGCACCACTCAGGATCATGATGACAAATCATTGCATAAAGCTCAGCCGTGGCTCCAATTGACAACAGTAAGTCTTATAAGTATTTTATCAGGTTTACAGTAATCAACTTAAAATGTCAAAGATGTTCCACTTTTATGTACCAAATATGAATGTGGATATCTCATTTTCTTCTAGTTACTGGACAGTGGCAAACTCATATTTTTGAAGCATCTCTACACACCTAGGTGTCCTCATTGTGGATCTGAGTAAACAATTATTGATTAACTCAGCTGTGCAGTTTAACAAAAATTATTTTGGAATAGAGATTAGGCAACTTCCATGATGGTAAATCCATCTTATGTTAACTAGTGTTTGTATCTACATGTAAATTTGAATTCTTTACTTTCTGTTCTCATTGCTGTCAACTGTCAACATGGTAATGTCAACTTCCACCAAAGAATAGTACCATTTTTACTTCCAAAGCTTATGCAAGCTGTTTGGAGGAAGCCCATTTTGCACAGCTTCTCTTGGTTCAAAGGAACCTTAGTTTTGTCCCCATTAATGTCTTCCATTGTTACATTGTTTATACTACTGAGGGAAATTTATTTTGATCTATTGGCCTACTGCACAGCTCTAGTTGCCTTGAACTTATTATACTGTTAAGTTCATAAAATTATCCATGTTGCATCAATTTTCCAAAAAAGGAATGACCTTGTTTCAGCAACAAAACAAAAACCTTCCGCATATATATCTTCAGGCAGTGTCATGGTCTGAAGTTGCAACAGCACAATATGGGAATCCCAATATTTCCAAGTCAATATAATTGCTAAAAGCATACTAGGGCCATTTTAATTATTTTTACTTGTCATGAGTAGATGATTTATGCCTTAAAAGTACCGGAAAAAGGCCCCTGCCTGGTTGTGCCGGCTCTAAGGGGTGCTGTGGTGAGTCTGGTGACCATAACTTATTAGTCAGTTGTTAAGAAATTTCTTCAGATTGAATTTATTTATTTAGTTCTTTATTCATCTATTTATTTGAAAACAGGTTTTAAAGTACTGAAACTATCCTATATATATAAACACAAATTATGGGTTGTGTTCACTTTTCTCACAGGATTGATGTCTCTTCTGGCAGGATACTAATAGGTCTCAGAAGTTGAATGTACTTAAGCTTATTTTGTGAGAATTAATCTCTCTTGTAGCAGGTAACCTGTAGTTCACTTTTGATCCCTGCGCATCATGCTGTTTCTGGTAAGCAGTTTAGTTTATAGAATACTCATAAGAACATCATTCATGATCACTGTTGGTTTATGTATTCTCTCAAAAATAAGTACATAGAATCAGTCCACTGAAAGATTCAAAAGTATTCTTGATGGCCTTTCCACTTGTGCATTTCCTTGTGGCAATTGTTGTGCCTAGGTAAACATGCCAAGCTGTTCAGGAACAGCTCGGACTCAGCTTGATTAAAGCTCGTCTCGAGCTCGATTTTTAAGCTTGTTTGATAAATGAGCTGTGCCCAAATAATCCATTGCTCAGCTCGTGAACATGTTCATGAACAAGCTCGATGAAAGGCTCATATGAAGGATTGCTTGGAGTTATTGCTATTTTTTCTCCTTAAGAATCTTGATATCAAACTTGAGTTTTAAGCTCGAGCTCGAGATTAGGGATCAAAATTAATTAAATTCGCCGAGCTCGAGCTCGAGCCCAACGAGTGATCTTTCGAGTTGCTGAAAGCTTGGGTTGGCTTGGCTCATTTGCAGGCTTAATTTTTTCCTACAAAAGTCTTCTGATGATTGTCTTTTGTAGCATGATGGAATAAAAAAAAGTATTTTTGTGTACATTTTGTTATCAAACTATTTAGATTCTTTCCCTAAACTCTTCTATAGAATTTCCAGAAGGCTTCAGAAAATGGGTAGAAAATAACAACTTGTTAGTTCATATTATTTTAACAAAGTATTAGAATATTGATAAAATTGCAACTTGACAGTATATTGTTAGTGATCTGACAGAACTGGAGAATTGGGAAGCCCTGCAATTGCCGTCACTTGAAGTTCACACGACTTAAGATTGTTGAATTAATAAGTGTGAATTGTTGTTTTGGGCATGGTCATGTTACAGATGGCATAACCTTAAGGCAGTACACGAGTGCACAGTTGAATGGTGTTTGTCGATTTGGACTCTTGTTAGTTCTTGGTACGTCAAGGTGGGATGATATTTATTTTCTGATGATGTTACCAGTTTATAACAAAGTTACATAAAACGCTGCTATATTCAGTGTACATGGAACAAAATACAAAAAACCTCTCTACTTCAGCTACTGAGATTTATTATCCGTTAAGAGTGTGTCAAAACTTGGTTCATGTTAAATAATATCCCAAGAGCTACATATTGGAGCTTTCTTAATCATTGTCATGCTGGATGATAGTGCCCTTATTCTTATCAAAATAATAATCATGAGGAGTTGATTTCTATTTAGGTTATGAAATTGGGGTGGTTGTGGTCTTGCCATGAATGACTTAAGTGAATACCAATCACAAATTGAAACTGATCTTTCCCTATCATTACTTTTTTAAAGGTTTGGCAATTAGTTTTGCTTTGCCATTTGAGGATTTCAGAAGCAATGACTTGTAGAGATGAACTTTGAATGCCTTTCTTTTTCAAGTTTTTATACGGCTTTTGTTTTTTTCGTAAGTATTGTATGACTGCATACTAAAAGTTTTTGACCAATAAAATGTGCTTGAGCTATAATGTTTGCTTATAGGTAATGATTATTAGTTCTGTAATTTAGTAGGCCAGAGCCAGGTTTCAATTTCTTTTGTTCATACTAATTCTAATTAAACTATCAGAAAAACTGACGTGTGTATTTGAATTTTGTTTATAAAGGGCATACCAAGGACTGCAACTTAGCATTACTTCGCCTTTTAAAGTAAAAAATCAAGGGATTAAGTACTCATTCGGCTAAGTGGTTATGTGAGTATCGGGTGCAATTTTTTTCTGGTCAAATGACAGCATTGTTTGGACAATTTTTCAGGTATAATGAAGTATTGATGATGTGGAAATGGAGTGATGACTTGTTCAAATTGCACATCAATTTTGGATTGGAACACTACATCCGTGGATGAGAGGTACTTACATAAATAATTTCTTGGGGTTGAGCCTGGTGTGTGTGCAACTCTTACCAAATAAGCTCAATATATTCCAAATTGATGGAAAGATGCTATTATGTTCTTTGACTATCCTTTTCTCAAAGTACATGTCAGCTGGTTGGCAGTTAATGGTCATTCCACGTCATCACGACGGCTAGGCACTTAGCCACATTTTGTTGTTTTAGGTTCATTTATATTTCAATAATGTTTAACATCAGGAGAAAAATCAAGATCTTTTATTTAATGGGTGAAAGATAGAGAGTTCGAGTCTCTACAGGTCCTGTAGAAAATCGAACTCTTCGTTATATTCATCTCATTGATAAAAATTTACGAAAAATTTGAATCCAACCAATTCTAACTCCAAGATCGTACAATATGTTCACCTATAAATTTCAATTAAATCACTAAAATTCATTACATGTGATTTGAGTCCATTAAAATTTTCATCCCACAAATCACAACTCTTTTTCATTTAAAAGTATCGTTTTCTTTGTCAAATTATTTGGTCAATAGAATTGTCCACTTCTATTTGTTTATTTATATATATATATGTGTGTGTGTGCGTGTGTGCACACAATCATCTGCCCTCCTTAATTGTCTTGGATCATACGTTCCCATTCTAGTACAATTGGCTCTCTCTCTCTCTCTCTCTCTCTCTCTCTCTCTCTCTCTCCAACATGAGCAATCTGAGCATGGTGGAGGCAAAATTGCCACCTGGATTCAGGTTCCATCCTAGAGATGAAGAACTAGTCTGTGATTACTTGGTGAAGAAGGTGACAAGCTGTGTGTGCCCTCTAATGGTAGAAGTAGACCTCAATAAGTGCGAGCCTTGGGACATTCCTGGTGAGTCCACAGCCTGTGTCACTCTTCTTATATTCTCACCACCCCTACAACAATTATCACACTAAATATGGTTTTCATAATTGCTCTGTTATGCATATCTTATGTTCATGACTTTGTGCTGTTTTTATTTGTATTGAACGTATTAAGAGTGTGGGTGATAACTGAAACCAGTTAATTTGCCCCTTTCCTGTGTGCGTGTGAGAGAGAGAGAGAGAGTTGTGCTCAAGTATATGTTTAATGTATTAGAGAATTTAGTGGATATATTTTCCTTTTTGAGTGGGGATAATAGGTGATAGCAACTGGATTGGTTATGATTAACTAGAATCATATGTGTGTGTATATACATATCATACATGTATATGCTGCATTTTTTGGTGGACACATATGTTAATGAAAATTATGCTTGAATTGGGAAAAGTCTCAATATTCTGTTTTCTTTCACTTGCAAGTTGCAACCACAACTTTAATTGCTGAAACAGGGGATGCCATCCAGAGTGGATCGATATATATATATATATATATATATATATATTTACTTCTACATTCCAAAATAATCTGATGTGAATCATGAAATTTTCTTTTATATATTTAAGGAACAAATTTAATTACATCGTTCATTGTTATCATTGAAATATTCAAAAGTAAGTACTTTAGTATACTTTTTGTCATTATTAGATGCAGGAATATGTATGTATTGTACACTATATACATGTACATACTTCTACGCGTTTATCCTATAACTAGTTGTACATTAAAATTACTAGCTAGTTTGTCAATGAAAATTAGGACACGTGAAAGAAAAACTTGTGTCACCTGAAAAAAAAAAAAAAATGGAATTTTCAGTCTTAATATCAAGCCTCTACAAAACCCAACTGATTTATATATATATATATATATTAATTATTAATCTTACTATATATTCTTGATCTTGTATACACGCAGTGACACACACATATACATAATGGATACACATGAAATTGTGTTTTTTTTTTTTCTTTTTTTGTTTTTTTTTTTTTTTTTCTAGGCTTGTGTCGGTACGATTAATCACTTATTTCTCATTAATTCATCTATTTCAAACTTATTATTCACTATTTTTTTCAAGATATTGACACTTTTGGCATAAGTGTAGTCCCAACCAAAAACGTGAGAGTGATTGGGATAACAATTCAAACACAAAGTCACATCCAATCTTCACCTAATGTCAACCACACGCGTGTACACTTTTACAGTTTCAGATTAATTGGGTTTTCACCTTCCTTGTTTCCACACAAAAAGGACTGTCACCATCATAACCTTCTAAATTTCCTTTTGATTCTTTTTTACCATCTTTCTTTTCAAAAAGAACACTGGTGGAGAGTTGAAACTTCACTGCAATATTTAACATCTTCTACATACATACATATATATATCACATATATAATTATAAACCTATCAACATCTACTAGCTAACAACAACTAATACCTCTTAATTTATTCTCCATTGTGGCATAGAGTTTGACCTTTCCCACTTTATATTTGAAATTTTAGTCAGTTGTCACGGCCCTAACCATAATACTTGACTGGTAAATCACTTGTGATGCCACAGTATGCTTGAACACCTGTCTGTTAATCAAGAAATTATTGCACATTTTTGGGCCAATCACCATTTGACATGTAAGCATTGCCTAGTGGTAGTTGAGTGATTCATTTCAGTTTTCTTTGTAATATATTAACGTATTCTTTGAGAGGTCATTTTTCTTAAACAGAAAGTCTAGATTGGACGGAGTGGTCGAGGAAAATTATATGAACAAGTGTTTAGACTCTTTTAATTTAAACTTAGTGGGCTAAACAAGTGTTTAATTACATGAACATTATATAAATATATATATACATATATATGTATATCTTACTTTGTGAATGCATAAATTGTTTGATAGAAACCGCATGTGTGGGAGGCAGGGAATGGTATTTCTACAGCCGGCGTGACCGGAAATACGCCACCGGACTACGAACAAATAGGGCCACAGTGTCTGGTTACTGGAAAGCCACAGGGAAGGACAAGACAGTCACTCGTAGGGGTACCCTTGTTGGGATGAGGAAGACCTTGGTATTCTACCGAGGTAGGGCACCCAGAGGAAGAAAAACTGACTGGGTCATGCATGAATTTCGACTTGAAGGACCTCTTGGCCCTCCTAATCTTTCTTCAACAAAGGTTTTTTCACCCTCTCACAAATGTTACACATGATTTGTTACATACACATGTGTATGTGTGTATATATATATATCTAAAGAAAATTATAATTCTAACATTTTTTTATTCTGTTTTTGGGTATGAACAGGAAGATTGGGTTTTATGCAGAGTGTTCTGTAAAAGTGGAGAAGTTAAAGCGAAACAAGGCATGGGAATGAGCTATGGTGACACAAGCTGTTCAACTCTTCCAGCACTAATGGATTCATACATCACTTATGACCAAACTCAAACCATAAATGAATATGAGCGAGTGCCCTGCTTCTCCAATTTCACTCCAAACCAAATTCTGAACCCAACTTTCTCAGACATCATCCCAACAAACATATCACCCAAACATGACACTACCTTTGGACTTTTGCCAAATTTTGGTACATGTTTGGACAACCCTTTCTCTTGTGACAAAAATGTAATTGAAGCTGTTTTAAGTCATTTCAACAAGATGGACACCATTAATCCTCCTCCCAACATCACAGGTTCACCAAGGTTTGGGGAGGGAAGTTCCGAGAGCTTCTTATCTGATGCGGGTTTGCCCATCATGTGGAACCTTTATTGATTTCGAGGCCCTAAAATCGCGTAATCAGAACGAAGATTTTGAACTAAATGGGGGAGTCGAAGACATTTTTATTATCACATCAGTTAAGTGTATTTAAAGGAGAGCTTTGGACTCTCTGTTTCGTTCATACTCTTCAGCCTTAAAGTTGAGCTAGCAACCTATCAGAATGTTTTCCGGATATAGACTGATATATAATATATATATATATATATAGTATTTCTATATTTAACAATGTACATAAAGCTTATTAGATGGAAAATGCAAAATTTGACTTTGATTGTAGATCTTGAATTCTTGGTCCCAGTTGCGCAGGTAAAACGCGGTAAGAAAACAAAAGTCAATTAATTACTTTAGTTACCGGAAATACCTAATCATTGAGAGAAAGAAAGAGAGGATTACTTTTTTTTTGGTTGATGTGAATTGCAGCATATGACCCGTTACAATAAGTATGTTGTATAGTCTTATTTATAAAACAGTGAGTGTGTGAATTTTTAATATTCATATATACATATAAATAGGTCCCCAAGTTTTTCATGCCTATTTTGACAGGCCCCATAACTCCTCTAGCATTCAAAACTAGGGCCATTAGAATTTTGAGCTAGGCTTAGTTGGTTTAGATGTAAAATATTTTTTAGAAAAATATATATATATATTTTTATTTTTTTTGATGTTTAGTTGACTTCACCTCAATCTTAACCTAAACATTTACCAAGCACTAAAAAATAAATATTTTACTAAAAAAAAAAAAATACAATTTACATCAAAACAACTAAAACCCTAATTTCTTATAATTTTGTCCTACCTATTCTATATATTCCAACGCTATAGGTTGTGCATCACTTGTAATTACAAATTGTCATTGACCTTGAGGTTGGTTAAATGACAAGTTAGCCCTTAAACTATTGCCAAAAAATAGTATATTAATTAAAGAATTCTAAGTAGGGGAAGTTTGTTCTTAGGAAGCTTGTTCTAAGACACTCCTTACAAAATAATAATAATAATTATTATTATTATTATAAAAGAACAATGCTTGTCTCAAGCTGCATAAGTAGAAATGTTTTTCTGTCATGTTGACTTGGACCAATAAAAATATGATATGTGTCAAAAACTGTTTAAAATAATTAATAAAATTTGTTTGGATCTTTTTGTAGATCATCCAAAAGGAAAGATTTTTTTCCCCTCGGGATTTCCTATAGCAAACATTTCATATTAACCCTTCATATTGAAATCCGTTACTAAAGAAGCTAAATAATTAGCCCAAATATGGTAAAATAACCACAATTGTAAGACTCCAATTATCAATGGAGTTTTAAGGAAATCAATTTGGCTTCAGATTGTAACAGGTGGTAATAAATCTCAAAATTTTGGATGCCACTAGAGTTATGTGTATTTATTAATTGGTCGGCCTCTTGAGTCATTCTGGAGATGGGGTTGCAACGGAGATGGTAGACAATGAATGTGACGGCTTAAATCATCTCTAAAGATTGGATGTAAAATATTAGGGTTTGGGAATGGAGGAGGTGGTAAGCAGTAGAGATTGGCAAGTAGTGGAGGTAGTGGAGGTCGGTTGGAGGAAAAAAGGATTAATATTAGGGTTTTAGAATTGGGGGAGATGGTGGGCATCAATGGGGGGATTTAGTGGAAAGAGAGAAAAAATCGTTTGTTAAAGAAATAGAAAGCCTACTACCAGGTCTCACACACGAGTGAGAGAAAATCTCCTTTCTTTTTGGATGACTCATAAAAAGATCTGAATGATTCAGATTTAATTTTTAAATTTTTTTTTTTGACACATGTCACGTTATTATTAATCCATATCAACATCACAAAAATTCTCTCGAGTCCCCTCATGAAAAATTGCCGAAAAATTTGACTATGAGAGCCCTACTTATGACTTTTTCTAAAAAAATAATAGTAACAACATCCATGAAAGGAAAGGTAACATCAGTAGTGACTCATCAAGTTGAAGCTATCCTTGAACGGAAAGATAAAATCATTTTCATCATTTGCTTTCCCTTTCCCTCTCCCTCTCCCTCTCCCTTTCCCTTTCCCTTTTTATCTTAATTATTTTTTTGTTTTCTTTGTGGAATAACTTGTATAAGAAAAGTCAATTGAAACTGGAGATAAAAATGGAATATTCTTGACTTTTAAGCTTGTGTCGGTCATTTAATAATATATATAAGGGGGCATGCCCAACCATGAGTTCACTAATTAAGAAAAGTCATGGATATTCTTTAACTTCTAAATGCCCTTCTCTATTTTTTATAATTTTATCCACAACTTGAAAGGTGATTTATTTTCTAGTTTTGTTTTTATGTGTCGGGTTAACAAAATTTTAAAATAATGTTCGAGTTTAAAAGTCGTTATTTTGTGCAAAATAATATAAAAAAATAAGATGCTGAGCCAGAAAATTTAAAATTAAACTCGAAAAACTTATTCTAGTATGTTTAGATGAGAACACCTTTATTTAGATATAACTCAGGGTTTAAAAAAAAAAAAGACTGCTTTATAAAAAATGTGCAAAAGACACCCCTATTTAGTATGTGCATATAAATTCATAATATTAGAAAATATATGTACATTATCCCCTAATGTTTGTTGATTGTCAATTTTGATTAATTTATTTTTTTATAAAAACAACAAAATATCCTTAAAAACTAAAATCAATATTTATTTTTATTATATTTTGTCTTAAGAGTATTTTAAGTATTTGAGTCATCAAATTAACAAAACGTACTTTATTTTCTCAATTTGAAAAATATAGAAAGCTTTTTAATACACCAGAGAATATTTGCACATTCTATGGACGAAGGAGATGGGTTTTTTTTTTTTTTCCTTTGTACTATACCCTATAATTTATATATTGTAATAGCATGGTGGTCCAACATGGGCCATAATCTATTGCCTAATTATCACCATGAAGTGGACAAAAATTAACAAAATTAAATATGATGGGTAATTGCCCCACTGGTATAACAGCGTTGGTAGGGATTCGAGAGGTAAGTCTTTGAAGTCTTACTAACTTGAATAACGCGTGTTGTTAGGTCAATATACGTGCTCTAAGAAATATATATATATATATATATATATATATATATATATATATATATAATTGGTAAGTATATATTGTGAAGAGAAAACTAGTAGTATTAGGAAAGAGATAGATGGAAGGTGTCACTTGGAGCATTGGGGGCAATACACGAGCTCTAAGAAAAAGAAATATATGTGTATGTGTGTGTGTGTGTGTATATATATATATATATATATATATATATATAATGGGTAATTTATATTGTGAAGGGAAAACTTGTAGTATTAGGAAAGAGATGGATGGAAGGTGTCACTTGGAGCATTTTCCTCTTTCTTTATTTTGAAGAGAATTAGCATAAGTATGGTAAATGCCAAACAGAACCTAACAAATAAAAGGATGGAGGACTCATATCTCAAAATTTATATGACTATCTCTTTCATCTGTTTAACTAACTGGAAAGAAGACAATCTGAAAAATCAAAAAACTAAATCCCTATGAGCTCACAACATAGATTCGTTGACTTACATTTATCAGTGCTGTGTTTGGTTTAATTTGTTTGTTCTTGAGTTGTATCAACGTGAAGCAAAGATAATTAAAGTAATCAAATGGGCTCATGACCAGCATTTTCATGGATGGTTGAAAACCTAGATAAATCCAAAATAGTGACGAAACATCTAAATGACATACTAATACCTAAGTGTATGTATATTATATGTATAAAAAAAAGGTTACACTAATACTCAAACTTGTGTTTTCACACTTGTTAACCTAGATTTTTGTTGTTTCTTTATCTAGGGGGCTTGAATTATTTTTGGTCACACTTTTTGCAACAATTTTCACTAATTGCCTTTGCCTAGAAGAAATGTCACTATTTGAGACAATTTCTTTTTCACAAATTTCTATATTAACTAAAGATTCATGGTAAATTTCACTTACTTTCTCAAGTTTGTCAATATTTTACATATACCTCCTTCCATTGTTTCACTTACCTCCTCTGTTAGTGTAGACCGTCCAACTTGATAACAATAATATATTATTTTACCGTTTTGCTCATGAATCATATGAAGTAAAAGATGTCATTTCATGTATTATAAGGACAAGACTATCATTCTGTCCATTTTCATAATACCACTTACCTCTACCAAAGTTTGTCTCCGTCAAGTCTCTAACTCCAGAGAGATAAATAGAATTATGAAAAGTATAGAGGGTTTATGTGAGATATTAACGGATCTCAGGTAGTATGTTCAAATAACTTAAGCTAAACCATAAGTTACCAAGGATGAAATTAAAATCGAAATGTTGTTGATTAGTTTTCTTAATTTGATTTCTTTGGTACACAATCTTGTTTTCTGATTGCAGCTGCCAAACAAAGAACTAATGTTTTTTCCTTTTTGTTACCACACGTGTGCCGGCGACTGAAAATAAATAATCTCAAATAGAGATTTCTAGAAGTTGAACCAAAATCGTGATAGGAACATTAATATTTTATAATGGTTAATCGTGATAGGAACATTAATATTTTATAATGGTTAGTATCACTATTGTATGTATGAATCTGAATGCATAGTACAAATGAGAAGCATAAAAGTAATAGTTAGGTTTGGTTTGTGGAGCCAAAAATGTCGAATCTGAGTCTCCTCCCATTATCTAAATCACAAGTGTGGGATTCTTGAAAGCAACCTATGACCAAACTCCCATGACAATCGGATCCAACCAATAATAATTCTCTCTCATCCTTCTCACCAAATTCATGATTTTTCAAATGGTGAGGGCTCCCAATAATCTTACAAATCCATCATATATTTTATGTTTTAAATTTATTAGTTTATGGTTTATGAGTTATGATACGGAGTGTAAGAGAGTGAAACGATTCATACTGGTTTTTATGAAAGTGGATATTGACATTGTGAGTATCATGAGAATGAGAACGTTAATCCCCACTCATATAAAAAGCCGACCGTCACACTTCGTATCATTGTTAATCACCCTCCATCTCACCAATAGACATTAGGCGAGGTTGAGGTTGCTCAAATATAGCCCAAAGAGGAGACATAACAAGCCCAAGGTCAATTTGATTTTTACCCCTATATAATCTGGGTTGCCCATTGGGCTTACAGAAACAAATAGCTTGCTGTTTGGCCCAAAACAAATGAAAAAATGGGCTGAGCTTCATTATTAATAATTTGAAGGCTCTAAGGCCTTCTGAATGCATTTCCCTCTATTCTTTATTTTTATTTTATTTCACTTGCAAGCTTTTCTTATGATTTTCAATATTTACTTCAACATCCCCCAGTTGTTTTTAAGCATAAAACAATGAGAATTCTAGGACTATGTGTTGGGATACGAGTAAAAATCCAAGACGATAAGCTTGAGAGCAAAGACTCAAAATTTAACATAAACCATTTTCAAATGTTATAATATGTCTCCAACAAATCAACAACAGGAACTCAATTTTTAATATAACTATTGCCAAATGTTACACATTCTTCCCCTAATAAATAAAAGAAAATAGCAAATCCGCAACTTAGATTTGGAATTGAAGCATGTGAAGTCAGAAGTCAAGATTAAGTTCGGCCACTTCCACTCTACTTTTCTAATTTTTCCAGATGAAGTATATGTTAATGGAAGCCATTGATGTAAATAGAATGCAAATTAGATAAATTACACACACATATATATACATTATTTATATACATTCATACAAATCCTCACCATAATAATACACATTACAGATAAGGTTTCAAAGCGTTAAGGATTTGTAGATGCCACTGTCTTGGACAGTAACTAATAACACAAGAGAGGCCTACTACTGTGCCAAAGCACTTGTGCTGTAAACAAGAAGGGCACCCCCTGCAAGAATAGCAGCCAAGGTAATAGCCCAAATCAATAAGCCAGTGCTACCTGCATTCAAATTTTGTGCAATAATTAGGGCATACATTATTTCATAATAAGAGATTACAAAATACAAATGACATTCAAATAATAATGATAGGCAGTCCGACAGTCGGACACATCTGACTACATTTATGTGAGTAGGGGATGACATAATTATATTTAATGACATCGAGACGATGTCATCACCCACTCACGTAAATCAATCCAATATATCCGACTTTTGGACTATTTATCACTATATCTATTCAAATGTATAGGTGCCTCTTACCCCCAACATAGACATCACCACTAGGAGACCATTCCTCAGGGGAATAGATTGGACTGTATCCATCAACATTGGCACCATATTTGTCCACAAATTGGTAAACACCCTTCCCCTGAATTCAAGTTAAAAAGGTTAGTTTCAAGGTGTCAATTCGGTGCAACCAAACGCAACATTAAAATAATTAATGAATTCGATTTAGAACAATTTTGCTCAGATTTGGTCACTAGAATCTTAATTTTTCTTTATTCTTTTTATTTGAACCTTTATGAGAGAAGTCAGATGCTCACTTAGAAAAAACCTAGGAGACAATTAGGTCTATCATCCTGCTTGATAATCCAACTTTACTACTATTGTACCAAAAATTCATGAATTTCCAATTCATTTTAAAGTACATCATTAATTTTACTGTTACACCAAGTAATTATGCTTATATGAACAAATCATGTTTTTCTTATTATAATCATTTTCCAGATAGAAAAACAAACCTTAGCCTTCCTCCCAGACGCATCAAGTCCATCCGCAAATTGCATTCCACCAGCAATTCCTAAAAATATTCAAAATTCAACACAAATCAGACACTTATTTCAGTAATCATTTTCCTTTTCCTTTCTTTCTTCTTTTTGATGAAGTTTGTTTGCCAAGAAATAATCCAAAAAACAAAAGAGTAAAAAAGTAAATAGAAAAGGAAATTCAATAAAAATACCAACCTTCCATTACAAGGATGTTACACCGTAAGGACTACTTTAGTGCATGAGGCTCCCCACTATTGCGGGAATTGAGAGGATCAGATGTATGCAGCCTTGTCTCCATGCGGAGAGGCTGTTTCCGGATTCGAATTCGTGACTTTTCAGGTCACAACGGAGCAACTTGATCGTTGCACCAAGTTGAAAAAAGAGTCGAAAATATAAATAATGGACAAACTTACAAAATCCCAAGTTGGTAAATCATGTAGTGCTGTTTAACAAATGAAAAGAATATTACATAATTACAGAATATACGTGTAGATATACACACACACACTAACCATAAGGCTTGTCAGTTGAAATCTTCTTCTTGGCTCTGGCCTCAACCCTTAAAGAAGAAGTTCTTGCAAGTGAGGGGAGCCCTCTCACTGCTGTTTTCTCAACACTGAATGGGGAGGGTTTCAGGCTCACTGCACTCATTACTGAGGCTGCCATTCTTCTGCTAATTGCCTCTAAGTCCTCTGAGAGTGGTGTAACAGCAAGGTCCTTAAAAGAACAAATAATAGTAACAATAATCAGGACTTGTGATTGCAAATATGACAGGTGGCATTGTTTCGTGGTTGAAATCTGGATATGATGTTACAACATTATCAGAAAAAGATTCCAATCAAGTTTAGACCAGTTTTTTGTTTTGAGACATCCACCTCCTCAATCCTATCCTGTTTGTTGCTCACATGAAGGATGCCATTGGTTGGAATATTGAACAAATGGGTCCATATAAAATGACATTTATACACCTGTAAGATTATTATTATTATTTAAAAAAAAAAAAAATTATATGACCAACTCCAGTTCAGAGAATTCAAAGAACATGCAGAATTTCTAAATGGGCTTGAAACAACCTGTTTACAATGGGTTGTTATATGCATAAAAAAAAATATACTTCAATGATTATTTGGTCTACATACAAGGATAAATTAATTATTTCACAAAAGAAACATACAAAGGTTAAATTAATCATTTCACAAAAGAATTTGGAGACTGACTCATCTCCCACTCTTGCATCAATAAAGATTTAATTTCAGGAGCCACCAGTAATATCAGCCTGGCCAGATTTCGAAAGGCTCTCAACATATACCCCAACCGGCACTTCCTACACCCACAACACAAAATAAACAGCTCAAAGAAAATTCATCACAAAATGGAATTATCAATCACAGACATGGATTGAACCTTGGAATGTAGCACATAAACCAATAAGAGCTTGAATAAAATTATTCCGATATCGTGGAAGCCATGGAAAAGGTGGAGAAGGAAGACCTTTTTCATCTTTAAATCACATTGAACACCAACTCTGTAAAAGTTAATACACAATAGGGTTTTCATTTAATATCACTATTCAGCCAAGCAAATCAGAAAAAACACACCCCGTGCAAATAACTTCCTACTCCATGCATGTTGAGAAGGGCAACTGCTTTATAAATTCATGACATTGCCGCTATAAGCAACTAAGGATGTCAGCAAACTTTGAGGCTGCAGCCATGCCACTTAGTATTGCACCTTCAACATTTGGACTAACACAGAAGTCTCCACAAATGGCCAGTCTCTGCTTCCCATCGAAAAGGCATCTATCCTCTCTTGCTACACTTGCAGCAGGAAAAGCACTCCCCCTGTGAAACAAAATACACAGAATGTGCACACACAAATAATAAATTGTTGAACGAACACTATACATACATTACATAAAGATAAAGCTTTGAAGTCTCCAAAAGAAAAAGTATAAGGATGATCATAACTCACATCACATAACAAGGCTTTTAAAATGCAAATTTAATTGAGCCAAATTTGGCCTAGGAAGACTTTGTATACATAGCCCACGCAAGATCAAAAGCAAACAGGGCTCCTTAAATTGGGGCTAGCCTAACTTTCAAGGCCTCTGAGCTAAGCTCAAGCCGACAGGTGGGCTTTGCTAAAATTGCAGCCAGATGCTTTCAATAGGGAGATGTGTTTCAGTGAAAGTAACTGACAACTAAACCAAGGGCTAAAATTTAGATACTGACCATCTATGAGCTTTTCTGAAAAATGGATGAGAAATGACAAATCCTGTTTTTCGAAATTCTTGCAATAGTTCTTCAGCCACTTTTGTCAAAGTTGCATTAGTAGGCTTCTGAAGTCCAGTTTGAGCAATTACACCATTGGCATAGTCCTCTGTAGAATGCAATACCCAATGTTCACTGTGCAGCAAAGAAGTATTATAGCAAACAAATATTTATTTCAATTCAATCATTCTAATTAATAAAAAATCTATTTAAATTTAATCATTCTATCCTCAGTAGTCAGCTAAAAGTGCAAAACACACAAACCTAGTGGTAGACCGCCCTGGCTTGCTGCTGTCACAAAATGCCCAGCTTAAAATTTCAGAATTTTTGAACGATAAGCCTTTCACCGGTATCTAGAGAAAGAGAATGAAAGTTTGTCCATCAGAGATCCATTAGGCACCAGAGGCATCCACATTTAAACCCCAGGTAAAAATCGAGGTTGGCATAAAATTTAAAACATAAAATGATAATGTATATTTTCATAAACGTATATCAGAATGTTGAAACCAAGCTGCTTTAGGAGGGTGAAAGTTACAGGGAAAGGGAAGATGGAAGCGTAAATCAAATAAGCACCTTGGGATGCCAATCTTCGCAAAGATCCAATCAGCTTAAGTCTGAAATGCACAACAAATATCTTACCGGCAAAGGTTCTTCAAATGCCAGCATGAGAGCAAAACATGAACTAACAGGAATTTCTTTCATCTTTGCAGCGAACTCCGGAAGAAAATTCAAATCTGTATGACATTAACAAAAGAGTAACTGGATCACACACTAACATATGCTACTTTCATATATTCATACAGAATTACACTACAGTTGACAAGTACATAACCACAAAAAAAAAAGACGCAGTGAGTTGAAAAATCACAGACAAGTCATTCAGAAAACAGAGGTGCATCAAATTGGATGAAAACGGGCTAAATATAGACCAGCATGCTAAGGTGAAAATTCTATAAGACATTTCCTTTAATATAATAAACCAGCCTTGATTACAGAAAACAGACAAAAAAAATGTTATACACGCACTTGACTTTTTACCACTATAAAATAAGGAAAGCCATCATACCAAGTGGCGGTGGGCGTCCTGTCACGTTTGTGAACCTGGGAGAAACTATATTTTTATCTGATGCAACCACACCGTTAAAATGTCCAAGATTTTGTCCATCCAAACCTGTCAATGACCATATATCCTCATCCTCCAACCACTCTAACCTCCCAACACCCACTCCAAACTTACTTTCCACTCCTGAAGAAAAAGCACAAAGGGCAAAGGAGGCAATCTCCTAATTAGTACGTTACTATTCAATCTCTAAAAAAAGCATTCCAAAAGATTGATCAGTAAGATCACTACATTACCGCTCTCGTGGCATAATGCTTTACAAATATAATTCATTCCTGGGACACCCACATACTTCTTGCTTGATCCTTCCTAAATAAAACTCAGATTTAGAAAACTTTTGGCAATCTATCACATACTCGGATTATTTACACAATCATATAAAATGAGACGAATAACAACCCAAACTAAGTCATAATAATGTTAACAAATACTATAAAATGTCTCAAAGTGAAAATTTTAACTGCTGGCTACAAATCCAAGACAATAGAGACATAGCATAGGATATTAACTGTATAATTTGAGCCAAAAGATTGAAGCAAGGATTTAACAGTACAAGCACTCAGACAGAATAAATGTAAATACTAGTAAATAAATTTAATGCTTTCCAGTGCCCTAAAAATGATCTATTCACATGATTTGCAACCCACCTAGTTTGTGCATATCTTCCGGCCTAAAAAAGAATGTGCAAATTGTGTTTGAGTTTAGTTTATTGCATGTAATTATGATAATGTATCTATATCAAGCAATAAATTGGGCTAACTTAAGATTTCAACTTCAAAGCACAATGTAGACAGGTGTGTTGCATATCAAGTATCTGAAGAATGAGGAACAAATCAGCCAACACATTCATTCACAAAGGAAGCCATAACAACATACATGAATTGAAACAATTTTTTTTAACACATTTAGGGTACCAAACTACCACATTGGTTACATACTGCATAGAAATCAGATAAACATCATAAACACGAAGCAATAAATTACAAACACTAAAAGGGTATGGTTTTCAAATTTAATGAATTATCGTTAATTCAATATTGACGAGTTAGTGATCCAAAGAATCACCAAATATATGGCTTTCATACATACACACATACATATATGTATATAATGCAGTTATAAAAAAGATAAAAGTTTATAATAAACCTTGAATGGATTCTAAACCTTTTCAATGTCAACGAATTTCTTAGAGAAACAATCAAAGGACCCAAAATTCTCCTTCCACTCGGCAACAAAACCCCTGGCTTCCCATTCGTGAACAAGGCCCAACACATCCGTGTTGCTGGCCGTGAAGTAAGGTGCGCCATGGTCGAATTGTAGCTCCTTCCCATCTTCAATAAGTTCTCTATCAAAGTGTATAAAGAAGAGATTCAACAAAATCGAAGTGTATTGAAGAGCCAAAATCATATAAAGAAGAGACTAAACAAAATGTGGCAACCGCAATGACAAGGCAACATATCAAAGACCGGAATCAGATAGATATTGATGGAATTCGCTTTTTTTTTTTTTATGGTGAAATTAAAACACCCAACTATGTATTACAAGAGAAATTAGCATCAATTTACTTTACATAAAGTGATCATATCTTACACAAGATAAATTATATATATATATATATATATATATATATATATATATCATTGTATATATGTGTGTAGAGAAGGAGACCTTCTCTGGGACATTCGGCCACCAGGACCTCTAGCGGAGTCGAAGACAGTGACGGATACCCCATTTCTGGCCAGAGACGATGCACATACAGCTCCGGAAACTGATTACAACAATCATATATCTCAATGATTCCAACATTTATTTTTGTTATTCAAATTTCAATTGAAATAGTATTATGTGTGTGTATATATATGTACAAATAGTGTGATTGATATATATATATATATAGAACGAGAAAGAAAGATTGCTTACTTCCGCTTCCGATAACGGCGACCTTGCTGATAGTGTTGTTCATGGTATGTCTGCTCTCTCTACTGTCCGTCCGTTTGACGGATCAAACACGAAGCCCACCCATAATTCAGAGTCCAATAAATGTCTAAAAGAGAATTTTGCTGTCCAACCTAAAAATAATAAATAAATATTAAATGATAATGATAATAATAATTATTATTATTAAAAATAATTGATTATATGATAAAGCTGCAAAAATAATTCTTCAAAACATATTCACACTGCAGTATTATTATAAAACAGTACAATTTTATTTTACTTCTAAGGATACTTTTATTTTCAATTATTTTACTTCTACGGACACTTTTATTTTTAATTATTAAAATTTTAAATAAAATATAAATAGACAAAAGTGAAGTATGAATATTATTCGAAAAGGAAAGGATTAAATTAAATATATATATATTTAAAAAATAATATGTTAAATAAGCTGGTTCTAAATTAGTGGACCTGGTCAATAACTTTTTAATGCAAGTTAACTAAAACGAAAAAGATCAGCAAGGCATCATCCGCCAAATGAGTTACTAATATAAAAATATTAATCCTCCAGTTAAAAATGACTTCTAAAATAAGATCTTCTTTTAACATTCAAAATTTGAGTCGCCCAATTTTTTGAACGGATGTTATTTTTACACTTCGATCACACTCTCACATCCCACACACATTTTTATTCCCATTTTTCACTAATTATAACTCAATTTTATCACTTTTATACTCCTGTTTTCGCTTTATAGGACTTAATTAAAAATTATACTTAAAAAATAGGCTCTTCTACCGTTCAAAACTGTTTATTACCATATTAGCACATTGTGGGCCCTGTCCAGTTAGGATTAAAGAACAAAAAATAATATACTCTATCAGTCCTATGTTATATGTTTATATTTAAAAATTATAGTTTTTAAGGAACATATAATTAATGTATTATTTTTTAAAAAAGTTATTAATTTATCTTTTTATGTGTAAATATGTATAGTTACAAAGTTTAAAATTTTAAATGTTGATATTCGACACGACTATAATATAGGTACGACTCCCTTTGCAGTAGTTTCCATTCTCCTTGACTAATAAGGGACAAAGCAGTGTGCGAGTATATATATATATATATATAAAAAGGTGGCTCCCTACGCTCATCACAAGTGTCTTTATTTAAACAAATGACAAGTGTCTTTATATAAACAAATGACAAGTGTCTTTAAATAAACAAATGACAAGTGTCTTTTGACGTGCCTTAAACTTGTTCACATGGATGTGTCTTTTGACGTGCCTTAAACTTGTTCACATGGATGTATATATATAATAAATAAAGGAGCGACCTCCAGACGCTCATCGCAAGTGTCTTTATTTAAGTGTAAACAAATGACACGGGTCTTTTGACGTGTCTTAAACTTGTTCGCACGGACGGACATATTATATTACATATATGGATATACTTTTGGTTCAATTTATAAAATACCTCTATTGACCTTCAAGCTTTCTTACAGCAGCTTTCACTCCCAGTGAGTCGGAGGAAACAAATGAAGAAACTAGATGTAGTTATTAAGGACTAAAGTGTGAACTCAACTAAGTCAACTCCATGATTAGAGAGGATCGAGGCAAAAGAGTGAGACTAATCAACTAGAAAAATGTCAATTATTGATTGTATTAATTTGCGGTAGTAGTCCTTGCATTCAGCTATACATATGTACACCTTATCTATTGTTTATTATTATTTTTTTTTCAATTTATATATATATATATATTGGGGTTTAATCAGTAAGCTATTTGTCTTATTAATGATTACAAACATAGGTGATATATTTTAAAAATTTATTACATCCATCTTAAAAATAGTGTCATGTTTAGAGAATTTTGTCAGTTTAATTCGTGAGAATCGCAATTTTTAAAAAGTGACACTTTTTATGAGACGAAAAAAATAAAATATATTCGATGTATGTATATATATATATATGAGAGGAAAGAAGTAGGTGTATTTCTTTTGGCAACTTTTTTCTCCTTTTCCATCAGCGTGTCATTCATTTTGATCATAGAAGCAATGTGAACATGACTTTTCTTGGACCTACAGACGTGGTCAATTCCGACTTCTTCAAACATTGTGTTCTATGATTACAAATACTATTTTAATCTTTATTTTATCTTACTGTTTACAGTCTCCATATTGAATTTAATAACAATATTGTTATGTAATTGAGTATACGGCATTGCTTTCTGTGATTATATTATTCAACGAATAATTGTTAACATATCAAGTATTTATCCAATTGCATGTGTTTTATAATGAAATTTAAATATATGTAGACACGCTAATGTGTCATTCCAGTGTAAGTATATGTCAAGAAAGTATTAAATACTTTCGAATATAGTTTTTCGGTCTTTTGATGTGATAGTACCCACAACCACTTTCATGATTCAACGACTTCCATTGTCCCAAAGTATCATTCACAAGGTATTTAATATTTTTTCTACCCCAAAGTATCATTCACAAGGTATTTAATATTTTCTCGCATAAATCATGGTATATTGTTAGATGATGTCAAAAGAAAATGAACTGGGAAGCATTGAAGCTCCAAAAGGATCCCCTCTCTTCTCCGGCTACGCTTTAAATAAATTCTTTATCAAGGAGTTTCTCACTGTGGATAAATCTTGAACCCGACCTTTAAAATTGTGAAAAACTCCTCCAAATGAATAAATCTCACTATTATATCTTAGTGGAGTTCTCCCATTGGACGAACCTCGAAGTGAAATCTGTCAGGGAGTTCCTTTCAACAGATAATCCTCAAAACCTTGAGGAATTGCTCCTAATTTTTTAAATTTTTTCCATATGTATGAAAAAATTATACAATGCTCCTCCTAAATTTTGTGATTCCTAAAATTATCTCTTTATTTTTTCTTTTATTCTTCAAATTTTTTAAATTTCCTGAATAGAAAAAGTCAAAATTTCCTTCCTCAATTGAAATTCTTTAATTTTTTCCTTTTAAAGTTCTCTAAATTTTTTTTTTTCTACTTTTATTCTTAAAATTCTTTTTTTTAAGGTGCATATTTGAATAATTTTCTTCTCCATTGTCTTTTGAAATTTATATATATATATACACTCCTTTTTTTTTTTTGCGCACCCCTAGTTAAAATCCTGACTCTATCCCTGGTTCGTTGGGTGACTGAACCCCTATGAAGCACCGACACGGACACAAGACACGGGTACGATACGACACGGATACGGTGACACGGCAAATTTTAAAAAAAATAGAACACGGACACGGCGGGAATACGCCTATAAAATTATATATATACATATATATATATATATATATATATATATTATATAAAATTATATATTCAAAATATGATAACTAGAACCTTGCACATTCATTTTCCTAATAACAAACAGGTATATATAAATACAAAATTGCAAGTAAAACAATAACAAATAACAGGACCAATTTCAATAATTTCATCTCTGTTATAAGAAAAACATAGACAAGACAAAACAGAAAATAAATGAAAAATAAAATTGATCCAAATTCTAAAAAAAGATGTGCAGAAAAGACATAGCTATAAAGAGCTAAATATGTACATGAATAAACATATATACTCTCAATCTTTCACAAAGTATTGTTCATGTAACTAAAAAAAAAAAAAATGTCTTGTTCATGTAGAGAGATAATTGAAGAAGAGGAGAGACTAAGAGAGGAAGTGAGAGAAAATAAAATTTCTGTGTAATACTCTATTGTCTGTAGTAGTTTTTTTTTTTCAAAATTTTACTTTTAAACTTTTAAAATTAGTAAATTACATGAGGTACCCCATTTATCTTTTAAAAAAAAATTACAAAATATACCCCGTCGTGTCCTATCTTTAAAAAAATTACAAAATATACCCCGCCGTGTCCCCCCGCGTGTCCACCCCGTGTCCGAGCAGTGTCCAATAAAAAATAATTTCTGGACACTTCACAAAAGTGTCGAACACGTGTCCGAGCCTCGGACACGGGTGTCGGTGTCCGAAAAGTGTCTGACACTAGTACGGGATCTCTGGGAGGAGTGTCCGTGCTTCATAGCTGAACCCTCAAGATTCGTTGCAGGGATCGATGTTGCCCTCTAAGAGAAAGAAGATAAAGTGTTTTATAAAAAAAAAAGAACCATGACCGGACTCATTTGGAAATCGGAGGACCCTAGTTAAAGCAAAATAGAGGGCCCCACTCACAATAAATACAAGCCTCTTGTCGTTTTAACAAACCTATCTTGGAGCCACGAGATTGTCCTACTTTCGTACAATTGCCCATGCCGTATAATTTAATTTGTTCTTGGATTTTACTCCAAAAGAGCTTATACCATTTGGAGTTAGCATCACTTACATATATAACACTTTTCTTCTCCACATCCAAACAAAGTAGAATCGCGAAACCATCCACAAGATTGCCACATTTACCCTTTGCCAAAATAGTATACAAAGAGCACTTGATGTTCTATTAAAATGATTCACCAATAGTCAGCGGAGTTAGGATTGCAAAATAAGGGAGGCTAAAAATAATTAAATCCATGATTACTTAGTGTGTCATTCATACTCTAAATACAAAATTTTCATGCATTAGTCATTTAATTAGACCCAATAATCTACAACCTTTTAACACATTTATATTTCCAAATTCTAACGTATTTTCAAAGTCAAGAATCTACTGAAGTCTGTTTCATATAAGTATTAAAACAAACATTTACAAGAATACAAGATATATATGTTCTTTATCAATAAATTCACATTAGAAAGTCAGACCTATGTGCTTCGCCCCTGACTAGTTATCAATACATTATATAGTAATTTACCCAATTTAACAAGAAAAAAATCATCAACAAAGCCCCCCCTAACAAAATAATAATCCATGATATCCATCCACCCGCCTTACACAGGAAGAGTTTAGGTCTTTTCCGTAGACTAACAATGTGTTTTATTTATTGGGCTAGGCCCTGTTATGTTTTATTATGGTTTATTTTGTGATTAATTTGTCCGTGGTTTGTGGGTTTGCTTATATTTAAGGCTTAGTCTTTATAAATTTTATAACTCTTTTTATTTATAGAAATCCAATGGATTAGGCTGCGCTGATAGGAAAAAAAGAGAGTAGTATATGGACTTATAAAAATAATAGTACTAATTTTTTTTTTTTCAATTGAACCTGGGCTATAGCCCATGTTAGCCCATTACTAGTTCCTCCCTTGACAATAGTGAGAAAAGAGACTTACTGATTTAGAGAGAGAGAGAGAGAGAGAGAGAGATACGATAAAAGAGAAGATATAAACTTGTTCAATCAAAACCCTCTAACTTATGAAAGAGATCACTTAAATACATTGATTAAATGACTCCTCAATTACATCAAACTACAAATAGGGGTGATAATATAACTTTTGTATTATGCATTATGAACCTAAGAACAAATCAAAAAACACAATTAAAAAATAATTGCACCACACATAAAAATTACAAAGATTTAGCGTGGTTTGGTAAAGCCTATAACCACGGTGAAAATTTCACAAAAATTCACTATGCAAAAAATAGGAGATTATAAGTTTCAGCTCCTTAAACCCTATCTCCCTCGCACTTTTTTTCTCTCCATTCCAAATCCTAAGTGCCCTTCTATATCGGGCTACAAGAGATTACTAATTAGGATATACAACCGGCAAGCAAAAGCCGAATAAAAAAAGTTTTCCTCATTCAACGGACCCGATACCAAGTTCGGGCCACAACATTACAAAAATCTATCCTTTACATCATTAGTAGTTGCGGTCTTCCTATCCACTATAGTTTATAATGAAAAAACTAGACAAAGGATATTAGATATTTCTTGACACATAAAAAGATTGATTATAATTTAGGTATTACTTATGTTACTATTTAGATTATATATATATATTTTTTTGAAATAATTACAGTTTGTGGTATAATATAGATTGAATTACATTTATTTCATGTGAAATTGCTCCTAATGTCCCATTTTAATTGTCTCTTTTTGGAATCCCAACTTTTTATGATGTAACTTTAATATTTATTTTTTACTGTACCGTAGTAAATGAATTATCAAGATTCAGTAAGATGATGTTTTATATTTAATTATTTTTATAAATTTAATGTAAGAAGGATAAAATAGAAATATAATAAAATATAATAATATTATATTGACATTCCAATTGGGACAATTATTTTGATACAACTACAAATGGAAACACGGTCATTTATTTACATTGAAAAGTAAACTAATGTAGAAGTCTATGGTTCATGAAAATCAATATAAAAAATAATTTGTTTAACAAAGTCGAAAGCCCAAGTTTAGTTATCTAAGCAAAATTAATTATAAAATACCAGATGTGCCCTTATCTTTCAGTTTTAAAAATATAATAGTACGGAGTACTTCATTTTCCTCTTATTGCCATCCAACTATCGGACGCGAAGGGACCTATCAGCTTTACCCGCTCATAACGTTTACGCGCCACTCTCGTCAGCTCTAACCTCCAAGTACCAGTCAAATTATGTATATATATATATATATATAGTACGGGCACATGTGTGCGTGTCTGTGGAGAGAGAAAATTCAAAGGACGTAGGGATCATTTCATGGACTTTGGAAAAACCTTTTTAAGATTCAAGAACCCTCTCTCTCTCTCTCCCTCTCCCTCTTATCCTGCGCATCCCTCAATTTCTCTTAACCTGCGCATTCCTTCTCTCCAAACGCTCCTCTGCTTCTCTCTCTCAATATCTGAGGTAATTTTCACATCTGGGTTTCTTGTAATTTTAGTTGTCCTGCCTTCTGTCACTCTGTGGGTCAATGATTATGTGATGATGTTTAAGCATATATAGGTATTGGCTTAAAATTTTTGTGGGTGTTCTGTTTTGATTTATATTTTTTGATTGTAAGATGAGTCTGGTGCAGATTCATGACTTCAATGTGAGTAAACTGCTAGTGGGCTTCGATTTTGCTTGTGCTTTGTGATTTCTGATTTTGGATTAATAATTTTTTGATATTTAAAGATGTTATTTAACATAGGCAGATTCCTGACTTCAATGTGAGTAAACCGATATTGAGCTTTGATTTTGCTTAAGTTTGTGGTTTCTGATACCGGGTTGTGATATTTAAACATATATAGATATTGGGATAAAAAGTTGTGGTTTTCTGTTTATAGATTGTAAGATGAGTCCGATACAGATTCATGAATCTAATGCGAGTAAATAACTGTTATAGTTGGTTTTTTTTTTTTTTTTTTACCTTTTTTTCTTCCGGAAATTGAGTTAACTGTTGTGGAGCTTCTATTTTGCTTGTATTTGTGGTTTCTGATACTTGATAATTATGAAAATAATAGGTTTAGAGTCAGAATCCCGTTAATTAGTCATTCATTTTCCTTAAATTCAGTGGCACAGCTTTAAATATTAGTTTATTGTATGAGAGGGGGCATCTCTAGCTTTCACTTGCAGGAAAATTTCTATAGGAATATGATACATGAATGATATCCTACTTGTTTTTGTTGGAACTATTTTAGTGACACTGCTACATGCAAAAGCTTGTTACTCAAATTCCTATTATTAGAACCCTTATTCCCAATGATTATAATTAAATGTTGGTAATTACTTGAAAGTCCAAAACTTGCTGTGCAAATAAATTAAAGTGATTAAAAAAATAAAGAACACAACTGACAAATATAAAACAAGAGAGCAGAAACATACATGGTTCACCTAAAGAGAGAATTCAACCTCTTATTTTCTGCAACTTGCTGAAACCACTAATAATCTCTTCTTCTGATTGACCTGATATCTTCACAAGCCCATAAAAGAACAAATGAAAAGAACCCAAATAACCATGGGAACCAATAAGAAGAAGAGACATTGTACAGAAAGATCCCACTTTTGACCACTTTCCTAACTCAAAATGAAAACCCAACTAAAGATAAAAGCCTTTGTTGGTGGACCATAGTAGGTGTCAATGGCAACTACCTTCCCATCTCTCAAGTTTGAAAATGCATTTCCCAGAATGACCTTTCATAAAGTAGAAATAATCAACTTCAGATTAGGAAAAGCAATGCAGCGATTCATATGACTGTTTCAATACAAGTTTAATACAACCTAGGTTCTATTTTCCTTAGCTCATCATGGAGTGCCTGCCGAACTTCAAGTTTTTTGTAGAGCTTTCCAAACACGTCCCATAAATAAAGAGTCCAATTTTTTTGCATTCATAAAAGGATGGACTTTCTACAATCTGTTTATATGTTAACGGGAAACAGTCTCTCCACATGCGGAGATAAGGCTGCATACATCTAACCTTTCCCAAATCTTGCAATGACGGGAGCCTTATGCATTGGGCTAGCCCTGTGATCTTCCTTGACGAAAAAAAAAAAAGGGCAATTTGGTTACTACACAAGTAGGGAAGAGGCAGGCCTTGGCGCAGCGGGAAGGTCATGTAGCCCCACATGGCAGGAGCCTTGTGCACTGGGCTATTCTTTTTTTTATTATTATTATTGTATTTTCTTTTTTAACATAAGAAGTAGGGAGTTGTAGAAAGTAAATAGGTGATTCTTACATAGAATGTTTTCGCATTGTTAATGTGTTAATGCCCATTTTTTATTTTTTGTAAATAACTGAAAGTTGTCAAATATGGCTTACAACATGGTAAATTTGACCATAAACCTTATTTTATCTGATAATTCAGATGAGAAATCATTGTTTAAACATGCATTTGTGATTCCAACAATTATCCGATACATAATAACTGATTAGCTAGTACAGAAAATTACTCAACAAACATGCGGTAAGAAATACAGTATGCTGGAAGTTTCTAAAATCCAAAATGAAAACCAGGAGTGAATAAAGAGTATAGGTTGCACCTGTATGCAACACGGTGCAATAGCCTACAATCTTACATCACTGGCTTGTTGACCGGTGAGTACTGTTTATGTAAAGGTGGAAAAACAATACATCAGCATCAATATCATGTGGACTTAAGCTTAGGTATGTTTGATGACTCCCTATTCATGCAACATCTTTGGAAAAATGACATAAATGCATCTGTCAATCATGCACTACACCAGATGCTATATCTAAGGAGGACCTGAACTTATTGTTTCTTGTTTGTTTTCTATAGGATAAGTATGTAGCAAAAAATATTCTTTGATAATGTTTCAAAAAAACTAAATTAGAACTTGTCTAGTTAATCTTATTGACACCAACAGTCTAATCAGGTTGTAAGTTATTAACTGAAATTTAGATTTATTTACAAGGCCTTTTGTCACATACAATGAATTTTCCTGTTCGTCCTTTCATGAAATAGTATACCAAATTTGTTTCCAGCCTTGTAATAAAGTTGATATGATGGGCAATTATATGTTTCGCTTCATGTGCAACTAAGCATATTGTTTTATGTTAACATCTCCTATTAGCAATATTAGCAGGAACTAAGAGGGAGTAGTTCAGTGCGAAGTTTCATTTTGCATTTTCTAAAGAAATTAGTGGTGGACTAAGTTTTACATGATGACATTGTCCAAACATGTGACATATTCATATCGGAGATAGGAAATCATCTTCAGTGTTGCAATAGTTTATATCTTCAGGGTTCCTTGCTTTTGATGTTAGGATTTGGTCTCATTTTTTGTGAATTTCTGGAAGCAAGCCCCACTTTTGCACAAATGAAATTTTACTTAAAAGTTTGAAATATAATTTTCAATTGAAAATTATCTTCCAATTGCATAAAATGATGTATTTGGAATAACACGCTTCCAATGGTTCAGTTTGGCAGGTTCTGACTTTGATTTTCATCACAAACATTTATCAAAAGAATTCCGTAAAAAGGCTGGTCATTGGTGTATCATTCAGTTATGAATTGTTTCTCTTTCATATTCAGAAGGAGGTTGGATTCATCAACTAATCCGCCTACTGAACTTGATGAAGGTATACTCTCACACTGCTACAGATGGACATGGAATGTTGAAAAATTATATTATTTCTGTTCTTATTAGATAATCCAAATGACCTGGTCATGTGCTTGAAAAAGTTATCCATACATCATTAATCTCTCAATCTATGTGTTGCCAATATTCCATAATCTCCTGACCAAGTTGAATCCTGAGCAGAGCTTTCAGGCATCCACAACGTTAAGCTGTACACCTACAAAGAGCTAAGAATCGCCACTGATGATTTTAGTCCCACCAATAAAATTGGGGAGGGTGGTTTTGGTTCTGTCTACAAGGTAACTTCACATACACTGTCTATGATAATAATTCTTACTTTGTCATCAGATCATAAAATGGTAAATTAGCTGTTTTCTTCAAAAGTCTAAACACTGATACTGTTTTAAAAACCACAATTTGTGGATGGTTAGGGAATGCTTAAAAATGGGAAGATTGCTGCTATAAAGGTTCTTTCAGCTGAATCAAGACAAGGAGTGCGGGAGTTCTTGACAGAGATTAAAGTAATATCAGATATAGAGCATGAAAACTTAGTAAAGCTCTATGGCTGCTGTGCTGAAGGAAGTCATAGAATTTTGGTGTACAACTTCCTTGAAAATAACAGTCTCGCGCAAACGCTTCTTGGTAATTCCAAACTTTTGTTTTTGTTTTGGAAGTCCTTATGTGTCTAATGTTTTGGTGAGCCTGTGCTTTGGCGGGATGTAATTCCAATATAGAAATGGAGATGAGGAGCTCCAACAATCCTTGAGTTGGGCATATAGGAAATTTGACAATTTGTTCCAATTGTGAAGGAAAATTATATTATTTAATATAATGCAACAGGAATTGGTAATGGCCTTATTAAATTTCGACGGGAAGGTGTACCATTTTTTGTAATCAGATGTTTTTAGTTTACAGAGTTGCTGCAAATTTCATGCTTTATTTATAACTTCTAGCAAAAAAATTTATTTTATTTTTCCAAATTAACTTAAGGACATTGTAGTTTCATGTACGCGTATAATTTCAATCAAAAACAAAGACAGGCATTGTGAATTTATTCTCTGTTAAAGTAAATGGAAGAAATGGTTTAAATTCTTTTGGCTCTCAGGTGGGGGTCACAGGAGCATCCAGTTTAGTTGGCGAAGACGGACTCATATTTGCATTGGGGTTGCACGTGGACTTGCCTTTCTTCATGAGGGAGTGCGACCACATATTATTCACCGAGACATCAAAGCAAGCAATATTCTCCTTGACAAAGACTTGACAGCCAAAATTTCAGATTTTGGTATGGCAAAGCTCATCGCACCTGACATGACTCATGTTAGTACGCGTGTTGCTGGAACAATGTAAGTCCAAAAATATTGCCCCCCACTCAATTATTCATACGACCACACATTTTATGTTGAATGTGTTCTTGAAAGCATTAGCTATACAAAGTTCATTGCAGCAGTGCACCAGACTGGCTTGTATGAAATGGATCGTGAAAAATCGAAAGACGAGGTGTAACTGGATCACCAGGACCTTGAGTAGGTTGAACAGGGCCAATCTAATTCTGTGCCCAATTTAAAAAACTCTACCTCATAAACAATGGAATCAAGAAAATATTCAATTAATAAGCGGACACACAAATTTGGGCATGTCTATCAATAATCCCTAAAAGATCGTCCAGTTTCTCAGTTTCATTGGTAAAGCAGTTGACAGTCTCTTTTCATTGATGCAATTTAGATTTTAATTTTTTCATCCTTAATCTCAAGACTCCTTGAAATTATTAATCTCATTTATTTTAGTTTCCAGATCTAGGATGGAACCTTTTTCAACTTTCAACTATTTCAGCCAAACTCAGGAAATTTTCTGTCTCTTGTTTAAAGTTATCACATTCATGCTTGTGATGTTTTGGCCTGGATTTTGTTTCGGCCCAACCCTGTTTTTACCCAAAAAGAGAGAGAATTGAAAATCACAGGAAAGAGAGTGAGAGCGAGAACTAGGGTTTGGAGGCTTAAACTTGTAATCTCCTGATTTTTGCATAGTGAAATCTTTCACCGGATCTTCACCGTGGATTAGGCAAAACTTGTGTCGAACCATGTAAATATTTGTGTCTTGTCTGGTGCTTGTTTTTGTGTGTTTCATGATTGTTTCTTGGTTTGCGCTGTTTGTCGCAACAACACTTAACAATCTTAGGTTTTTCTGTCAACTTTTAGTTGTCTTTTTCAATATTAGACTTCGAACAAACCATTCACATTAAAGGATGTAAACAATCCAAAAAGCTACATCAAACTTACACTCATAAGACTTGGGGGAATCTTTGATTTGATTTAACAGACAATGGACTTGAGGACTCAGTCATAGATGCAATACGTGTCAGAAAATTAACGTAGTTCTTACTTTCCAATTTAGTGGTAGAAATGCCCTCTTGATTCAGTGAATCCATTCCACATTTTAAAAACAAATCATAATTTTACTCGTTTACTTGAGTGAACCCACTCTGATACCAATTGAAAAATCTAGAAGTAGGTCCAATCTAATGTTATGCCCAATTAAAAATAATCACATAAATTATGCAATGAGGCAGAAAATTGATTAACAAGAAAACACAAACCAAGGCAAACACATTTTTTACATGGGAAACCCCAAAGGTGATAACCATGGGACCTAGTCGAGCACTGACAAATTGCAAGTTACAATCACCCCCCGATTTCACAAACTTGAATTGCTCCAGTCGCTGCTTAATACATCTATGACCAAATTGTCGACCTGACAATTGGGTAATCACCAGATCTCACACACGATGAAAATAGAGCAAGCACACAACAAAGAATGTGCTTAGAATTTGGTCGTTGTTGAAAACAAGTTCTATTATGCAAGTACACAAATCCCTTAATATTCTTCGAATTCTTATTATTTTCTCATATTCCCGTGCTCTAGAATGCTCTAGGTCCATGTTATGGACTTGAATAGTCTAGAACAATTTAGGAAACTTTAGAAATCAGTTTCCAAGTAAAAAAAAGATTGAATTCCAGCCGTATGTTGAACAGAATTAGGACTTAGGACTAAAGGGTGGACTAATCGGATACAAACTAGAGCAACCTTGACCGATGCTCTCTGGAGTGACTTTGACTAGGCCAGTCTTGTTGGTCTGGTGGAGGCCTTGTATCCTTTGATTGTTCTACATAAACCTTGGATCAATCTCCAAGTTATGCAAGTTTTTAATAATTTAAAATATCCTGTTTTCATTTAAATTAAATAATTAATTAGGAACAATTTAAGGCCATCTTGACTAATAATTACCACCCGAACCTTGGCCTTGTAAGTCATTTACTGAACTAAATATATTTAATTAATTAGCCCAAACAACATTCAAGAACGGGAATGTGGCTTTTCATCTTCGATTGGCATATAATAATGATCCAACAGGCAAGTGACACGTTTACAATTAACATTGATTTTTTTTTTTTTTTTTTGTCAGAGAAGATTCCAGCATCAGCTTTATACCTAACAAGTTGTAAATTTAGGATCAAGTAATCTGCAGTCCCATATTTGATGTCTGGTAATGAATTTTTTTTTTTTTTTTTAAAAAATAATTAAAAATTGAACGAACTGTCTTAATAATTCCACTTTTGATCTTTCCTTGACCACTTAAAAAGTTTATTTTTTTTCAGTTGACTATGATTTACTAGACAGTTCCTTTTTTGATGATTTTGTTGATGTGTGTTTATATAGAAAATCCCATTATTAGCTTACTCTTGTTGTGACTATGTTGATTTCACTTTATCAAATTGAGTTGCTTCAGTCCTTGAATTTTCTTCACTTTCCTCAGAAGGTATCCCAACAATGGGATGAGGAAATAAGCATGGATCTGCATTTGAGCACGCTAGGATATAGTGAAATGCTTCCTATCAAACTAAGCATGAATATTATTTAATAGGAAAACATTCTGATCATCAAGTTCCCAAAATCTCTCTCTTACTCTTATCTTCTGTATGTTTTTTCTTTTTGGGTTGCACACCATCTGTTATGACCTTATATTCACGTTCCTTTTGTTTCAGAGGTTATTTGGCACCAGAGTATGCAATAAGAGGGCAGGTGACACGTAAAGCAGATATTTACAGTTTTGGCGTTCTCCTTGCGGAAATAGTCAGTGGGAGATGCAACACAAACGCACGGCTACCTGTTGAAGAGCAATATCTTCTTGAAAGGGTAGGGAGATTTTAGTCTACCACAAGCATAGATGATCTTTTTTTTCATGAAAGAGTGACTGCATGTATCAGTGATGCAAGTGGATGTCATTGATCCATGAATCCGCTTCTCATACTCTTCCTCACTTGAAAAACTTACATTATTATAAGTTATGGAGGAGTCAAGATGTAAATACTAATGGAAAATCTGAAAGCGTACAAAAATAAGGCATGCACTCACCCTGAAAATTTTTTGAGGGGGCAAACTTGAACAACAAAATTATACAGTGGGGTATTATAAAAAATTCAGAGAGAGTATGGCTTGGTTTCTTCTGTTTATCATTTGAAGAACCCTGGACGATAATTCCTTGGTACAAAGTTGCATTTCTTTTTGTTTGACATTGAAGTTATAGAAGGAACTTGTGTGAGTATATGCTAATTGCTATTCAGATGTAATGCACATAAAATATTGGTAAACTGGTACATATACTAATCCTTAATATTTGAACACAAATAATTAATTCTTGAGCATGTACATATCTCTTGGTCTGCTTCTGGGCTGAAGTGATTTCATCTGGAATCCTGGAAATTGTTTTATTCCCACATCATTTTATGAAATATGCCCCTCATGACACTAAATAATCGTTGAATGAGTTAATCTATAGGTGATGCTCAAACACAGTTATCGAAAATGTTCACACACTCCCTTGTGGCACACCTTTATTCTGTGTATTACACTGGAGTTTAGACTGTGATTTTGCATGGTATAAAAATTTACTTTGCATATCATTTGATTGGATCTTACCGGGTATAGTCTGTCAAGTGCTAATAGGTCTTTCCAATGCTACAAGTAGAATTCATAAGAATAATATATGCTGGATGCCGTGGGTGATCAGAAATACTCTAAATATTATAGCCATTGCTTCCCTTGTTTTGTGCAGCTTGTCTGTGTGAATGATTATAGTGCAAACTTTATGATGTTTTAATACCTTGTTTTCCATTACCTTGTGTTCTGTGTATAATCTCGTGCTGATTTTGAATGTGGAGATTCTGAGTGTTGTGTTACATTCAATCCCTTAGACACTATTTACAATTGTGGATACACTTTTCACAGACATGGAAACTTTACGAGCGAAGGGAACTGGTGGCGCTGATAGACACGTCGTTGAATGGGAATTTTGATGCTGAAGAGGCCTGCAGATTCTTAAAGATCAGTCTTCTCTGCACCCAAGACATTCCGAAGCTTCGGCCATCTATGTCAACTGTGGTTAAGATGCTAACAGGTGAGAGGGGTGTCGATGACAGTAAGATAACAAAGCCAAGCCTAATCTCTGATTTCACGGACTTCAAAATTAGTACCCCTAAACCCATGCCTGATACAGACATCACATCTTACAACATATCATCTGGACCGTCAACTTGCGCAACCATGTCCTTTACTGCTGTATATGATCGGACCATTTGAAATATCAGAGATATATTTGTTGATGCAATTTAATTTAATTTAATTTTTTTTTTTTTTTTTTTTTTTTGAGGCTTGTTAGGCTGTGTGAAATTGTACAATGATATGTTTCTCTAGACACTCGATCAAAGTACTCCTTGTATATGCACATGGTTCACTATAGAAGAGAATTTCAACCAACTCACTTATCTCTCATTTTCTCTCTCCTTTTACCATATTGGAAGTTTTAATTGAAATTCTGGTCATCAAGCGGTGTTTCAGGCACCAAATAAAAGTAACTTTTCCCTCTCTTTTTAAATCAAACCCAGGCCCGTGGAAAAGGACAATACTTGAGTGCCATACTCGAGTTTTGTGTTTTCCCGACTGATGTGGTTGAATGAAAATTTGACATCTGTGACAAAAAATAATATAATATTAAAGTTTTTTAAATTTGTATTTTTTTTCCTGTGTAATGGGTTGAAGAATCAACTCAAGTAATACAGAAAATAAAAAATTCTCGACCTAATCCCAACTTTTAACCCCACTCCAAACTCTTTACTTATTTATTTTTATTAAAAAATGCTTAGTCTAGGATTAAGATTTGGGCATGTAAGGTTGCACTCAGATCGGAACCGAGTTATTAATTGGCCTTTGCTCAAATGGCACTCATACGAGAGACACACACACGAAAAGGAAAAAAAGGAATAACCCAATCTTTAACCAGTGGATGAATGACACTAAATATGGTATAATTAATTTTATATAACTAGTGGAATCCTAATCTCTCCCTCTCTCTCTCTCTCTCTCACACACACACACTAATAAGGAAAATTAAAAACAAAGATGCATCGCGGAGGGTATACATGAATTAAGCTGAACATCATGAATCCTGGGAAAACAAATGTGGTAAAGCTTTAGATATTGTTAGGAGCCAAACACCATGCATCCTGAGATCCAAATCATCCAACCAGTTTGGACCACCTTTTCTCTGTAAATGTGAGCTTTAATGTTTCCATATAAGGAGATCTCTAAACTCCCACCAGGACCTGAACTTATTTAACAGCTGATTTTTCCTTGTGCCATTGTTCCTTGGACATTCAATTCCATTTTATGAGTTCAAAATTGTTCAATACAGGCAATTGCTTCTGCACCATAAGCTCGTTTGCCCCGGCTTTCACGTAAACATGAACGAAATGGAGGAGAAAACTGAGATCCAAACTCAATCAGAAATCCGTGGATTTGGACGCTGAAATGAGTCAAATGATGAATGAAGCAGCTCTGGCCTCTGGCTCATTTTGTGAAACTTACAAACGAAGAAAATTCTAGAGTCCCTTCAAAATTGCATCAGAGGAAGGGGATGAAACAGTGGCAAAGATCTTCATGATTGACAGAACTGAAATTAGTTGTAACCCAAAAAGAAATGTGAAAAGCAATCTAGGATCTCACCATGGTGAGATGACTTCAGATATCTTCTTGCAGCATTTCCTCTGTTGTGGATGTCAGTTTTGTTGTGGTCTTATAGAGATGTTAAATATGATGACTGGAGAGAATAGAACTGAGTTTATGCTGTTCATGTACATTGATGAAAAGATCAACCTTCCCCGATTTGATACTGTTCCTGAACTACGAAGTTGTAATAGAAAGAAAAATGAAAATTCCTACAGATTACATGTGAGTATAATATGAACGGGACTAAATACGAATGCCTTGTTGGGACTTGCATTATCAAACCTTGGGTTGGTTTGATTGCCAGAAAATTTGTGAGACAGAAAAATATCAAGGTAAAAATAAAATTTTATTCTATTTTCGTACTATTTTCTGAATCCGGTAACAAACCGCTGGATACCAGCAAAATCTGATACAATGTTTAAATCACAGAAGCTGCCGTCAGTTCCATTTTTCATGTAATCCACAAGAAACTTGCCCTGCTTTTCACCATTTGTCTGTAGCAAGAAGGAAAAGGAATTCATAATTAAATCCATGCATCTCACACTCATGGAGAACAGCAAGACAAAGTAATACTCTTAACAATAAACCCTTTTAGTCAACATTTGCTGGTCCTAAAATTATTATCCAATGCCAAACGTCAATCACTTTTAAACTTGTAGTTCTTAAGCTCTGGATGAAATATCATTTGGTCTTCATTTAATAAAATTGGAAATTTCAAATAAAAAATTCTAGTTGTTGAATACTTTAGACTAATGAATTTGCAGATTTGAGAATTGAAGGTAAGATTTCGGTATAAAGTAAAATTGAGAAATGCCCTCCTCTTCGTGTGTAATGCATTCAACAAAACGTCAAATTCTTTTTTACTTAAAATTCTGACTTTTTGAGTAGAATTTTTTTCTTAAAGTAGTTCTTACTTATGTGTTATCAAATGCTCTTGATAGAGGGGCCACTGAATCATGATTTTCAGCATTTAGTAGAGTTATAAAGCCAGCACTTATTATTCTTTTAGGAACTTTTAACTTGATCTGCAAACAATTAAAATGGATTCATCCATATATATAGAGAGAGAGAAACCATTTGCATCTGATGGAGTCCAACATGCAGTACTTAATTCTAACTAGAAAACACTTCACATTCTCTAAGAGAGCATAATCTGAAATTAGAAACACACACACATATATATTGGTGAAGGCCGGGTTCTATAGAAAATATGTTTCTACAACTCATATTAGGAGGGAGGGAGGGAGGGAGAGAGAGACCACCACAGGGTGTTCTTCCAAACTACCAACCTTCCTCTCAAAGAGATGAGTTATATATAAAAATTTCAAAAGATCTTAAAATCCTAACAATTGGATTATTAATTATGTGTCATCAACACATATAATCTTAAATGCAATATCACCAGTCATTAAGTTACTATGTTCATTTCATGTGACAATTTAAAGACAACTTAAGAAGACTTCGTTATCCCCCCATGGTAGGTTAAACATAAACCAATAATTAATATTGATCCAACCAATGCGCCTACACAGTGTGAAGAGGGAAGTAATAGGAGACCCTAATCATTGGTACTATTTTGCCCAAAGTGATTACTCTGATACTCCAATCTGCATTCCCACACTTTATAGCCCAAGCTTTTACCTCTATACTAAGCAATGGACCCTATAAATTTAAATAAACAAAAGTAATAAATTTAAAATGGAAGTATCGAAGTACTGAATAAATCTTAATAGCCAAGGTGCAACGATATTCTTGTCAAACCCCTAGGTCAACCATAGGGAACAAAAGTTTGCAATACCTAGGTGTGTGACCATTTATAATCTAGATCATTAAATGGATTTTAATACGATTATTAGCACAGACCAAACCCACATTTCACAATGATCATGGATGATGTTATGCATCTTATCATGTACTTGTACAATCAAAAGAATCATGACTTCACCAACGGGCATCTAGCCCAATGGTATAACCTCCCCATCCTCAAAGAGGCAGGGAGGGGTTCGAGCTCGGGTGTAGGCAAAAAGTGTGCGTGGAGTGGGTGTGTGAGTTGTGTTTCTTGCCAATGAAAAAAATATAGAATCACGACTTTCAGATAATGTTTCTTCTATCATTGAAACAAACATTCAAAACCATGTTCCAAGATATTATCTCCCTAATATTAACAAAAATGTCGTCATATTGTTTGGCTAATATTTGAAACCGTATTCAGACTAAATTAACTAGGATGCTTGATAATGACGATAAAAACCCACATGGAGAGTATGACACTAAAACCCTATGTACTATTCAAAAGTTAAATCTTGGGGGTTAAGAGGATCCTTAGTTTGGTTAGTACAGGTCTAGGTAGACGTAAAAGACACGTGGGGCCGAATCTTGCCTTCACCTAGGTAAAGGGGTTTATGGGATGAGGGAGGGCTACCCCTGGTTCTGTAGTCCAGCCCTAGAATCCAGCCACACACACATGAGAAAAGAGGTAATCTTAGTCGCACAGATTTAATCAAAAGGTTCCTACTGGTGTGGGCTAACCATAACTATACCCACAGAGAGAGCCAAAATAGGACAGACATTAACAAGTGAAATTCTTAAACATTAGCCAAGAATCAGGTTCCATAAAAAAAAGATGCACCCTTAACAGTCATCTTCTAAAATGGGTTATCATGATGTCAACCAGTTGTCTCCATTGCTCAAGATGCATGCATCACTAAGCCATCAAAGCCTATCAAATGAGTATCAATGCATATTCCTGGTCAAAAGAAGTGACCAAACCATCGACCTACAGCTAGAAGATCACGTGTGAAGGAATATAAAAAGAACTAATTAAAATAGATTTTGTGATGTAAACAGCATAAATTTCGAAGAAAAGACCCATTCTAACTTGAGAAGAAGGGAGCTTGGTACCTCAAAAGCAAAAAATCCGCCTGGTTTCAACATTGAAGCGGCACTATTACAAAGATGAAGAAGATCATCCATGCCATTTGCACCACCATCTAATGCAAGTCTTGGTTCATGTTGAGCAACTTCGGCTTGTAGACCGCTGATATGTTCACTAGGTATATATGGTGGATTGCTCACAAGGCCTACAAGCTCTCCTTGAACATCCTTCAATGGTTTAAACCAAGATCCTTGCTTTATCTCAACTTTATTCTAATATACAAGTTAAAACAGAAGATTAAGATAGACAGAACAATTTAAGATTATGATACAGAAAACATGAAAATTATAAAGGGGAAAATAAGGGAGAAGACGAATCGTGGGGAAGAACAATTAAACACCATTTTCATGCCATATTATTATGAGCATGACAGCATAAGACATGGGGAGGAGCTACAAGTTTTTCCTTGTGCAAGAAATCCATTTCTCAATTTCACCATCTCATCCAGATGGTATTAAACCATTCAATATCATGCAGTTTCAAAATATCAAAATATCCAGTTCTCAATTTCAAAATATCCAGTTCAGAAACCGTAGATCCTACAGGGGTACAAACATTTTTGTGTGACTCCTTCATTAATGCAGTTTCCAATTAAGAAATGATACCAAAGCATCATTTTCTATGAGCATATCTGTCTAATGCTTTTAATAATTTTCAATATCACTCATCTACACACTATAGTGATTAGAAACTTGCAGCTTTCTATCAAGCAGACCTTACACGTTTGAGATTGCAGGCTTGCAGTCATCACTTGGACAACAGGTCCACTCTCCTGGACGACTTTTATCAGATCTATTATTGATGGTAGTCTTTTGTGGAATCCAAAGCATTCATGACACAAGAAGACCTTCAGATCAAGGACGCAACTACACTCTTAAAACTCTTACTAATCCCAACAAAAAAAACTATAAATTGGGAAACAGCCACATAAAAATCATAGCACCTTTTTTACGGCAGTTCTTGTGATTTTATCATATGACAAGATAAAATATGGTTGTTTCATTATTGTGTTAGTGTTTAAGTTGGAATTCTGACATATGTGTAAAGTCATAAAATGTAAATTATCATGAAGGCTCAAATCAACCATTGTGAAAGCCCAAAAATGCCACCTTAGCTCCTTTTGCCAAGTCTTTAATGTGTATGGATGGTTTAAACTTTCCTTTTTCTTTTGTTTCATCTTCTTGCTTTTATATATTCTCATCTTCTATACTTGACACAACCTACCTCCTCTTTGATCCATTTTCTTTTGATTTTTGGTAGCTTTATTATCAATTTTGGATTGTATACCCAATTCTATTATAAAATTTGATGTTTAAGTCTCACAAGCAAGAATCTTTCACAATTATACTCAAAAGCCAGTTGGAAACCCTATTTCTATGGTGATGGAATTGTAAAGGGAAAGTTGAAACAGATTTGAAGTAACTGAAAACACCACATAAATTAAATAGTTCAATATAATATTCATACACATTCATATTTATAATGCTACTCAAAACTTCTTTAGATGAATGACAAAACCTAATGATAGATAAACTTCCACTAACTACAGCATTTGATCAATTTCATACAAAAGCTAATTATTCCTCACCATTAACAAGTTCAATCTACGTAAACGAAAAAATAAAACCAATGATTTGGAATAGACTTTAAAATCACTAACCTGCAAATTATACCTCTGCACATTATAAGACGCCACTGCGATCGCAACCGGGCTTAAATCAGTTGCAATTACCCTCCCACAAGTCCCCAAAATCCTCCCAATCCCAATAGCAATTGCCCCAGTTCCAGTCCCCAAATCAGCCCACAACCCCTCTCTCAACCCACCATTGTTCTTAATCACACTATCCACCAAATCAACAACCAATTCAGTCTCAGGCCTTGGGATCAAAACCCCTTCTTGAACACTCAACACCAAGTCCCTCCAATGCTCACACCCAACTATGTATTGAAATGGCCTCCTCTCTTCAATCCTCTGTTTCCACAAATCATAAAGCTCTTCCAAATCTGCTCTTAGTGCCAATAACATGCCATCATTGTAGTTATCTAGAAAACCCAATTGGGTCAACAGTGGTTTGGGATTTTCCATTGCATCTTGTATGAGCCAGTTGAGTTCTCTGTACAGTAGCTCGGTTTCTGGGCCGTTGTCTGACTCCAAGCATGTGGAACCGACAGAGAAGGCTAGGGTTTTGGCCCAGTCTCGCCATTTTCTGAGGTCTGATAGGGTTGCTGAAGAGGTGGGTGGTCTGAGAAAGAGTGGTGTTTGAGGTTTTAGCGAAGTGGGTGGACACGAAATCGATGAAGAGGAGATGGGTCGACCCGGTTTGGCGCGAAGGAAGATGGGCGAAAATATGGAGGAAAATGATGAAAGTGTGAAGCTCAGCTTCATCTCTCCCGCTCTATACAGAGATGTATATAATAAATTAGGTCGCAGTTGCGGGCGCATTGTAATGTAATGGAATGGGTCTGTGTATGAAATTTTTTTTTTTTTTTTTTAAATAAATTTATTAAACTCTTAAAAATCTTTTTAAATAACTTTTTTATAAATTTTAAGGCTTGTCATTATTAAAAAAAACTTAGTATTATATTTTTTAATAAATAAATAAATATAAACTCAATTATGAAACAAATGAATAGCGTCCCGCACTAAAACTCTCATGACAAGAACTGTGTGTTTAATTTTCTCTATATTCATTCTTTTAATTCTCTATATATCACTCAAGTTTCTTTTTTTTCTCATGTTAACTTAATTCTCAAATTGTCTCAATCATCATTTTAGCCATAGTGTCCCACTAGCGTATTTTAATTGTCATTACTTTTGCTAATCTAAGCCTAATTTATTGGATTACAGTAATTTACACCGACTTTTTTGGTCAAAATAAGAGCCTATGTGTTTAAAATTACACTCATCACCCATGAATAACCATGATCTTAATCACATTTTCCTTTGGATAATAGCCAAGATAAGGGATGACAAAATGATTTTCTCCGTTTGGAGTGGTTTTTGAGATGTATAATAGAGTTTGGGCGTGTTAGATTAGGGTTAACCATCATCTACCCTTATTACCATATATAGCATTATTTTATATGACAATAACTTGATCTCCAAGCATGATCTCTCCTATAAAAACCTCATTCTCTTGTATTACATATTTCTTACATCAATACAATATACCATATCTTTATTCTCTATTATTATTTTTAATTGGAGACAAGAGAGACGATTATTTTTTATTTTGTGAAATTATTACAAGTCTATAGTACTCGTCTATTCTAATTATGCTCTCTCTTTTGTTTCAGTTTTGTTTTCTTGTTAGTGTAATCTACTTTCATTATTTCTAGTAAAAAATGTAAAATATATGTAAATGTGAGAACATATTAGCAAAATTACAACTTTTTTGAGAGCTATCCCAGGACAAACTATTTTGATAGGGAGGTTAGTGTAATTTTTTACTAGTAATACACAATGAAAGTCCCTGTAATTTACCTACCACGCTACTACAAGTACTTATTTTATTTACATTTTACTATCATCAGGGTCTCCAAAAAATTATATGTGGGGGCAGTATTGAATTTCTTTTTAATAATCTCAATTGGCCTAATAGGAAAATTTGATAGATATATAATTCAAAAAGAAAAAACCACACGGAATAATAGGTTAAAAATTGTCCAAAATATCTTTTGAAGTTTACATTTTCTTTCTAGAGCGTTTACCAAAACTGATTAGGTTTGAATTTTCTAAATCTAAGTCAAGGATTGGAATTTGGTAAAATTACAGATCACTCAATTGAAGTTTGGTAAAATTACAGATTAAATCAATTAGTAATTTCGGGAAAAAATAAAATAATCAAATGAGGAAGAGAAATATATCTTGGTCCCTTAAGTAAGAAAATGTTTCAAATGGTATATACCTGATTTTACTATTTGGTGTCCCTTGTTATGACAACGAAATCAAATGACCTCCCATATTATGATAAGGAAATCAAAAGGGCAGACATACCAACTGACCATTGTATATATATATATATATATATTATTTTCTCATACTAATTGTTTAGTTCACAAAAATAAATAAATAAATAAAAATTAATTGGTTAATGTGGCTTCTTAGTGCAGTTGCTTAGTCACAGTCCATTTGTTTATTAATTGGGTGTTGGTGGTCTCTCATTATACATGTCATTTGATAATAACTTTCTTTATGAGATTCGGTGGTTATAGGTGAGACAATGTCTCCAGGGTGGGGCCATATTTTACAACTAGTTAATCATCTGGCTAGAAAAGGAAGTTTCAATATTTTTTTTTTAAAATTATTTATTTTGATTAATAAGCTAAAAGATGTTATAATATATATCATTTTAAACAAGGAAGTTGATATATGATTGTTGTGTCAATGTGTGTGTCTTTTTTGCCTCCCTTTCTGGCCACCTTAGGGCATTTCAAATCATTTTGATCATAAACCAATTTTGATTCAATATGTGTTTCAAAGTACGTGGGTGATATTGGCCGAAGTCACAAGTACAATGTAAGAATTCGAGTTTGTATTGGCGAGATGTAATGTAATCGATCTTATTTTTTTTTTCAAACTCGTACATAAGTTAAAAAATTTACCAATTTACAAGTATAATGTATGAATTTAATTAATTTATATTAATTTTATCTGAATTCGTTACCGTGAATATCGCCATTTCATCTTTAGACCAAACCAAATTAAAGTGAAATGGTAAGTCTAATCTAGCGTTTGACTGCGTACTAGTTAGTAGCCTAAGTAGGCAAACTACAAAAGTTGCATTTTTAGAGAATATTTGAGTTCAGATTTTGGCTAATGATGAAGGTCCTGTGGTCCAATGCCTTTAATGCTTTTGCCAACTCCTTTAGAGGACACCGTGTCCACCTTTTGTCCATTCCCATTCTTATCTGGTCAAAATTTTCCTTTTTCTTTAAGAAATTTGAAATTAGACAATGACCATTAATTATCTGAGAAATGAGACAATGACCATTAAAAATTCACTTTTCTCTTCTTAATATTTTTCTGTGTCTGACCAAATAATATATATATATTGATTATGGACACTTTCGAATTCTATTAGTACAAATTTGTGATAATGATATTCACGAGATTTTGCATTATTTTCCTCATAGATATGAGTAATGTTGTGACATTATGATTCAATGAGAAGTTAAAATTCAATTAGTCCTTAGTTGTGCCTGAATTAATTTTGACTTTAATACCATTATAAAAGATTTCATTACTCTTAGTACTCAAAAAAACTTAAATGGTTCATAAGAATCCAACACTTACTGATTTAAGAAAAATAATTTTTATTTATTGTAATGAATTGTTAGTATTACTGTTTTTAATTAATTATCGATCCCATCCACTTATATTTTACGTAAATAATTAATAAAAATTATTTAATTTAAAAAATTCACTGCAAATCTTCGAATGTATCACTGTACCTGATTTAAAATTTTAAATAGATAAGTAATATTGCATAACGACCTCTAACTAAAACACTGTTTCGTTTAAAAATAATTTTGTTTTTTTTAAAACTAAATTTATTAAAATAATAATATAAATCCACCATGCGTACTCAACATCATCAGCTGATTCTTGCTCTCCTCTCTATATTGCTCTGTCAGACATTTTTAAATTTTCAAGTTCAATATTTTAGGGTTTTGCTCGTGATGAATTTCAATCTGATCTTCCTTCTCTCTCCACTATTAATCTCCTATCACCATTTATTGATCTCTGGAGTGAAATAGCAGAGAGTATTTGAATCTCTTCTGATTTGGGTGGAGAGAGTGAGGAGGAAGAAGAAGAAGTTATTCCGATCGCTTAGAACACGAAGATATTGAAAATAGTCAAATGGGTATTTGCTATTCCTCAGTAAGACGCACTCACAAAGAAGATAGTTGGAAGAAGCACAAAAGCACGAGCATAGATACAACACTCAAGAAGACGAGACACTCCGGTGATTTCACCTCCTTCATTAGCAAGTTTGGTGGTGGTGGCGGCGCCGGCGGCCGAGCGTCGGTGACGGCGGTGGCTCTCCATCAAATCCCGGGAAGGCTGTTTGGGAACGGCTGCAGTAGCATCGCGAGCTTGTATACGCAGCAGGGCAAGAAAGGAACCAATCAAGATGCCATGATCGTTTGGGAGGTAAGTTGCTGAATTAATTATATCAGTGGCATTGTTCTGCACATTTCATTTTCATACCTAAACGTATGATATGTTGTGTTGCTCTGTATTGGTTCAGTTTTGATGAATTGCTTGGAATGTTTCTACTTTCTACCATAGAATTATAGTTCAAGAAGTGATACGGTCTTTTGCGGAGTATTTGATGGTCATGGTCCTTATGGTCATATGGTTGCAAGGAGAGTTCGAGATTCTCTTCCTGTTCTTCTTTGCAATCAGTGGGAAGCTAATTCCAATGGCGATCCAAGCTGTCGGAGTGAGAATGGAACCACAAATAGAAGCACAGAATTGGAGGAATGCGCGGATTCGTTGGAGGTTGAAGAGAAAGAGAGGCTCCCTGAGAGATATGTACCATTGAAGCAGTCAATTTTGAAGGCTTTCGAGTTAATGGATGAGGAATTAAACTTGCACCCAGTAATTGATTGTTTCTGCAGTGGATCAACTGCTGTTACTTTGGTAAAGCAGGTATATTTTCTTGCAGTATTACTAAATCAATTTCTACTTGAGTTTTTGATGTCATTGTTTTGGTACACATTGAGCAATCATTAGAAAGAGGACACAAAAGCAAGAAAAGAGCAAAGGGATTACTGAGAGTTGGAGAGAGATATCATACAGAGCATCTGTAAATCTTTTAGAAATGTTAAGTTGAACCTGCTTGTGTGTAGATAGATAAATTGAGATAAGAAAGAAACAGAAAAGGAAAAAAAGAAAAAAGAAAGGAATTTAATGAGTAACACATTTGCACAAGTTTGACAAATGTAGGAATGTGGGCTGTATGCTTTTGCAAAGTCAAACTTTTAGAAATTTATGAAATTGGGAAGTCTTCTGAAAACATTGTCTACACATGAATAAAGTCATCCATTTCAGACGTGTCTTGTGTCTTTCGTTACCGTTTGATAGGTATTCTAGTTATTTTTCTAAACTATGATTTTTTAAGCAAATGGGGTAGTTGCCAGCTTATGTTCATAAGTTTTGGCCTTTGTCATTTTGTATATCTTGTATATAGAAATTCTCTCAAATTTCTCTCCTTATTTTATGAATATGGAATTCTTTCGGTAGTTTTCTCTTCTTCTTTTCTATTCAATCCCATCTTTGTTTAAGAATGTTAAATCTCTGTGCGTTTGTTTATAACTCTCCCACTTTTTAATCAGTTTCTCTGCAATTTCCTATTTATTACCTTACAAAATAGTATATAATCATTTTAATGGATTAAGGAGTTTTATCTTTCCTTTGTAGTCCTTTCTCAATTCATTAATGTTATTTATCAATTTCAAATCAATGGTGGATTCTTTTTCCCTCTCAAAACATGATATTTACAAGTTTAGTGATGCAATGTCAACTTTTTGGCCAAAGTATTTCATTGACATATTAAATTGTGAAATTTCCGTTGTTGATATAGGAGTCTAGTTGGCAAGTTATCTAGAATGGCAAAAGACTAGACATTATCTCTTTTGTGTGTTGTCCATAAGTTTATGGGAGCTAAATGACACGATGGGCCGATTCCACACTCAAAAGGACTAGTCACTATTGGGGACCCACAGCCATTTTATGAAGCTCAAGATTACCAAATAAACACCCGATGTGGGACAAAACACATCTATGCGTCGGTATTAGGCTTCCTGGCTAGACCATTGTGCCCTTACAAGGGAGAACCACACCTACAGTGAGACCTGCACAATTTCCCCCCCAACTCACATTATATTACCTTTGGATTGGCTTTGATACCATTGTCACAATAGGTTCTTCCACACCCATAAGGACATACACACCTGATGCGGGATAGAACATGTCTACGCATTCGTGACACAAAGCTTAAGTTAAATCCTTAGTGAGCAGGATGAGGTTTCTATAATTGAAATGTGTTTTGTGATAACTCAATATGAGTGTTTGACTTAGTGATATGCAACTTAACTAAGGCTGGCTTCATTACATAAGATCATTGAATCTATCATTTAGTCTACACATTAAAATATGTAGCAGTTTCATGCTGTGTTTTGTACTGATTTGTTGAAGCTCTATATCCCAAGTGATAATTGGATCATCTTGCATTAAGTTATTGATTCACGTCCATGCTCTTCAGGGTCAGGATCTTATAATTGGAAATGTTGGTGACTCAAGAGCAGTACTGGCAACAAGGGATAAAGAGAACTCTTTGGTTGCTGTACAATTGACCATTGACTTGAAACCCAATCTTCCAAGTCTCTCTCTCTCTCTCTCTCTCTCATGCACATATAAACACATACTCTAAACTGTTTGTCAGAAAGACTATGCTTTGGATATCCACAGAACTTAAACGCTTGCCATTTCTATTTAGGGGAAGCCGCTAGGATCCAGCAATGCAAGGGAAGGGTCTTTGCTTTGCAAGATGAGCCGGAGGTTCCACGTGTATGGCTGCCTAATAGTGATTCACCAGGTTTGGCAATGGCTAGAGCTTTTGGGGATTTCTGTCTAAAGGATTTTGGTTTAATTTCTGTGCCAGATGTTTATTACCGTCACCTCACGGAAAGAGACGAGTTCATTATTCTTGCTACCGATGGGGTATTCTTATCTTATTCCATGTTTAGTATACTTTCAAGAAATTTTTATTATTCCATGTTTTACTATACTTGCAAAAACCTTCTACCTTTAATTTGAAATACGGTGTCGTCTCTTCATTATCTGGGTGACAATTTGTGGTGGGCAGGCTTTCTTATATATGGTTTGTTTACTGCTTTTCCATGGTGGTTTTCATTTTTTTTGTGCCGCCACTTGAAATATAATTTTTTTTTAATGCCACAATGCAAAAGTCTTAATTTAAGCCGAGATCATTGATCTATTTTATGTGGGTAGAAGACTAGAAAGGCAGAGCTGCCAATCACCATGTCTTAGGTTGCATTCAGTCAACCTATATTCGTGTTCTAAAATCTCACATCATTTGTCACAGATTTGGGATGTTCTCTCCAACAAGGAAGCTGTAGATATTGTGGCCTCAGCCCCTGATTGCGTAACAGCAGCCAGAGCTCTTGTTGACTGTGCTACCAGAGCATGGATGCTTAAATACCCCACATCCAAGATTGATGACTGTGCTGCTGTATGCCTATTTCTGGAACATGGTTTTGCAACTGACTTTGAGCAGGCAGAGAATGATCTGACTAAGGGTCCAAAAGAGGTGGTACAAAGGATCTGTGAAACCGATGGGGACACCAAGAGGTTAGACACTGGTGATGTTTTAGCATCACAACCTTCTGTTCTTGATCATTCCGGTACTTTAAGAGAGACTGGTGAGATTGTGCTTGTTTCTGAGTCAACTGAGGAAAAGCTTCCCAAGAGAAGCCTGAGCCACTCTAAGAGGAGCCTTGCGGAGTGCCTTTCAACAGCTGAGGACAATGAATGGTCAGCTCTTGAAGGTATTACCAGGGTCAATAGCCTGCTAAGTATTCCCAGGCTCCTCTTTGGAGACAAAAGATCAGCCAGTTGGAGGAAATGGTTATGAAAAGTCCGAGGGCTGTCTCGACTTTACACAAAACCAAATAGAATTGTTTCATATGATCAAAGATTGCGCAAGTGCACAATTTTATTCCACAAAAAAAAGATTGCACGAGTTCAACTCAGAGCTATAAGAGTGTAGATTTCAAGTTGCCAGAAGCAGATGGAAGTGTCAAACTAATGCTTATATACGTGGTGTGTACTAAAAAAAATCACCAGATGGGGTCTCTGTAAGTTTCAAGTTGCCTGATGCATATGGAATGGTAACATGCAATGCCTACAATATCAGCATACCAGAATGGATAGAACATCAACTGAATTTTGTAAGTTTTGCTGAAAGTTACAATTACAGATTTTGATAGTGATACTTTGTAGGAGGATGGATCATATCTATGTATGTACTATGTACATATGTTCGTGATAATGTGCTTTGATTCTCAACTTTGTCTTGCATATTTTGCTCTGAAAATTAGTATATGCAAAAGAGTGACAGGATAATACATCTATATAACAGATAATATGATTTGATCTTTGACTGTGTTGCATCATTTCCTTGCATATTTAGCTTTGATGGTCCTTTGTAGTTTGTTCAGTGAACAAAATTTAAATTAGGGATTCAATTAAAATCAACTACTACTATAACTATGAACTGATGATGATTGGGTGGGTTGAGTTGGGCCTAAGATCTTGGATTGAGTTTGGGCTGGGTCTGGTCTTGAACTCATCCTAATCATTTATAGGATATGTAATCACATCTTGACCTACCCAAGTGTGTGTATCTAGCCTTGAAAGCAAAAGCTTGCCTATTGTTGTTTTTTGTCAAAACTTACAAGACAGTAGTATGTGATCATAAAATGAAGTGGGCTCACTCTCTGTTTCTCTTATTCCTTGTTGGGAAATGTGAAAAATTATTTGAACCAATGATTCTCAAAAGTTCATACATACATATATAGATATGTATATATATGTTTGTGTTTGTGTGTGTTGCTTTTTCTTGGAACTTAAAAACATGTGTTACTGCTAAGCCTCTTGCTAGAAGAAGAATCTTTCAGATACTGTCCTTCCATATTCTTCTTGGACAGAATTGAGAAAATGTAAAACCACTAGTTTAGAACAACTAGTTGTATGTATCATTTTATTTAAATTTGTTTGGCATAATGGTAAAAGATTTCTGGTTTGACAGTGGTTTCATTTTGTGGTAATAATTTTAATATTAAGTTTGTATTTATTTAATCTGCCTCTGCCAATACATCCTTAACTAACAGACCAACATTCTATAGCAGTTTTTATTTATTAGTTATTTGGAAAAGTAATTTACAATTATATTTGCTGGCAAACTACTGAAATCTAGTTAAAGCAACTCCTGAAGGGCCTGAATAACAAAAGAAGATTCTCAATATGGCAAAGGGTGGACCTTGGGCATGTCAAGTCATGAAATACATGTGATGAAGAAAATTTCAAGTGCAGCTTTTTTATGCTTGCACTCCAAAATGCAGAGGAAAGGACATATATAAAATGTCTGTTTCCTTTGGAAAACCCCAACCTCACAAAAAGAAGAATAAATTAAATGATTTTTACAAAAGTGCTATTATTTGATTGAAGGAGTGGAAAGGAAAGAAAGGAATAGGAGAAGTAAGGGAGAATGGAAAATGATCCTTACTGTCTCTAATATATTTGTATTGTGGAATGGTTTCTACTCCTCTAATATAGTAGATAGGATCCACACTTTAACTTATCTATCACATCATTAAGCAAGTTATAATTTTTCTCATTTCTCTTTTGGATTCGAAGGAATTTCTTTTCCCTTATTTATACTCTTCTTGTTAATATATGACTTTCCATCACTGTCAAATCCTTTCTTTGATCTCTTCTTGTTGGTTTTTTTTTTTCATCCCTATGTGCATGTAAGAATATTTGAAACTCCATTGCACTTTGTGCAACTCAGGAAACTAAAGTAATATTTGAGCAATTTTATATATAGTAGCAACTTATTTTGGATTATATATATATTTTCTAAATAGGCTGCCACCATCAACATCTCCCATTTTTACTTTGAACCCTGATATATTAGAGCTTCTTTGGTTGATTTAAGTTTGCGCCTCTTTAGTTTGTAATTTTGAGATCAGTTTTATATTTTTAAAAAAATCTGAAAATAGAAAACTATACAAAAGTAAACTTTGATATCAGTTTTATATTTTTTTAAAAATCTGAAAATAGAAAACTATACAAAAACTTTTGTTTGGTTCAGTTTTTTGAAAACTCAGTTATAAAAAAACTTGTTAGTCTTGAAAACAGTTTTCCGTTTTTTGAGTTTTTGATAACTGTTTTCAGAGTTGTAGACTCTTAATTTTTGTTGTATTTCAAAAATAAAGCTCATTCATTAATTAATTACACATTTGGATTATTAGCAAATGTGTAAAGGATAAGGAAATTATTATATATCTGTATATAATTTGCAAGTAACATCTACCTATTTGGAAAGCAATAAATAAGACTTCTAAAACACTCAGAACCATCGACACATGTTATGTAATGATATCTCTTTTCATTTCAAAGTAAAATGTGAAAGATTAGAGAGATTCGAGATTATATGGAGTAAAAAATAAAACATTCTAAGAAAAAACTTAGGCGAAACTTATAATTATCGAATTCTTAGAAAAAATTAATGCTGAGGCATGAGTAAGCTTTTGCCATTTGTATACTTTATTAGGTTTTGAAATTAGAATTAGATGCTTTAATCAATCAAACAGTTGAGATTGCACACTCATAATGAAAATGTATTTTCCCTCGAAAGGGATCTTCACGACTTGGATAATCACCCTATCTAATTACCACAATTTGGATATAAAGTGATGGCATGAGGATGGGAGGTTCTCTCTTTTGGCCTTAGCTTGCAACATTCTAATTGTTTGCTTGTGATTTGTATCCATCAAAGATAGATATAGATAGGCCTTTTCTATCTTTTGCATCTGTTACCAAGTAAACATTGGAAAGCACTCAATGGAAATGAAATGTGATAGTAGTTTTGATGATCACTCTCTTTCTCTCTCTCTCTATATATACATATCTGCATATATATATATATATATATATCTCTTTTTTGATGATCACTCTCTTTCTCTGAGGAAGAAAAAGAAAAATGAAGAAAGGCGCGTGGGTGAGGCATATATGTAACAAAAAAAGACTACTGAGTTTGAAGTGATTGCTTGTATCAATCAACGTGTCTGTCTCTGCCCACTGCTGACACTAAGGAGGCTACTTATTGCATCACCAAACTAAATGGGCTCACTCACTCACTCACCAACTATGTGTATTATCATCTTATTGTTTCACAACTTGGTTTTATCGTCATTTGTCTATCTTTCGTGTACATGTACAGTAGTAGTCAGTCCTCATCAAATTAATGAGAGCAATTTCATTCAATCCACGGAGTACTGGACTCGTTAATTAATATTCTTCCTCAAATTCTACAATGCCCCAAAAAACGTTACTACCCTACATTGGGGTGCAATTTTTTTTTTTTTTTTTTTTTTTTCAATTTTTTTTTTATCCTAATCATGCAAAAATGTGTAAATACCATCACCAAATTTTTAGGGTCACTTTCTTTCGGCTAACATGATTGTCATATTTGATTGAAACGTAATTTTTTATTACATTGAAACTATTATAATATGGATAATATAATAATATAATTTGTGCATTATTATTTTTATTTAAAATATATGTACTAATTTAAAAGACAGTATGCGACATTTATCGAGAGAATGGTCTCATGGTGTAGTCTTACCCTTATATGTGTACAAATGACCGGTGTCTTATGAACTGATTATTTGTCAAATGTAGTGTTCCTCGTAACAAAATTGTTAATGTATATGTGTGTGATAAAAGCTATCACGAAAGAGCTTAGGCGAGTTCTCTATTTTAGTTATGAAAATGATATTTTCAATAACTTTGTAAAATGGCTATCTCTCCACACTAGTGATCACTCTATCCAACATAGGACTATACCTTTACCTATCTATTTCAATTCTCGTTGGGCCACATTTTCTTCAATTTATAACTTTCGGACAATAACCTAAGTATCTATTTACAATTTTAATGATTGTTAGTGTGGGATATGAACTATAATTTCTAACAATTTTCACATTCAATGATTGATGGAGCAGAGCATGGATCATTTAAGGGTTAACAATACTCACATATCATCAGTGACGGAGCCAGGATTTCAAATGAGGGGGTACACGCTGTCAAAAAAAAAAAAAAAAAATGGAGTGTGTGTATATATATATATATATATATATATATATATATATATAACAATTATAAAATTTAAAAGACAAATTAGAAAAAAATTATTAAAATATAAAAGGAAAGAAAAATGACAGAACTTTAAAAGGAAATAGTTGAAAAGTTTCAATTGAGGAAGAAAAATTTGACTTTTTCTACTAAGGAAATTTAAGGAATGCCACGAAGAAAATAGAAAATAAAGAAAAAATAAAAATATAATTTTAGGAACTAAAAATTTGAGGGAAGGCACTGTATAAATTTTTTCATATATATGAAATTTTTTAAAAAAATTACCACATATATTATAAGTTGTTGACTAACTCAGGGGGGCACGTGCCCCCCTTAGGCCTTTATTGGCTCCGTTCCTATATATCATATGTGTGAAGATTGCGATTTTTTGATATATTAAGGGTCTATTTGGTTTGTAACGTTGTATGTTCTCAAAGAACTGAAAACAAAAAATTATACAAAAATTTTACTTAGATTCAGTTTTTTGAAAATTCAATCATAAAATTATCTGTTTTCAAAAAATTATAAAATATTATTTTTTTCTATCTGAATTCTTAAAAATTATTTTCAAAATTACATGAAAACCTTAAAACACTAGTGTTTCCAGCTCAATGTGAAAATGGTCTCTTATAGGAATGCTCTGCTAGTCGTATAATGTTTTTTTAAAAGGTGTGGTGGACCAAGGTGCATCTTTTCACTAGCGGGGTTGGAGTAAGGTTTGCTAGTTCCTACCCCACGTGGGTGAGGCAGTACTCAATTTTCCTGCAGATATATATTATTATCTTACACACACACACACATATATATGTGTGTATATGCATATCTGAGACAAATGAAAAGGCACAAAACGAATCCAGCAAAGTGACAAAGAAGGAAAAATGGGTGTGTCAGTGTTTAGCTAAGGTTGGGAGGGTGTATGTGTACGTAGCATGTTATTTACCCACGCATTCAAAGCTTTGCGTGTGTGTCATTGCTAGCTGTTGTAGTTGTAGTAATTGGGTGCAAACTGGAGAATATTTTTCTTCCCCTACCTTTATATATAATATTATATATATATACATATATATTCACGTATATACACATACATACGCAGACACCCAAACATTATATTCACTTTCTCCAAAATTGGAACATGAAGAAAAACTTATATGTATACATTTTAGAACACAGTTTTTAGCCTATGAAGTATGAACCAGCCAAACGCACGTACCTGAATATATGCATGATGTGTGAAACTGGTATGCATGTATGTGTATGTAATTTAAAAAGGAGATTTTACCTTTCCACTTAATTAAAGAAAGAATATTACTAATTAATAGTTTTGATTTATAGACTTGAAAACTCAGTTGGTTGTGTTTAGGTAATTATCTTTTATAGTTATTTAAAAACATTTTCCTTATTTTTTTGATAATCATCTAAAAATAATTTTTTATTTTTCTGAGTTCTTGACGAATGATTTTTTGAATTACAAACCAGCAGACCCGTAATCTTCTACTAAATCTTCACATTTTATAGCTTGAAAGTGAAGTTTTCCTTCCTTATATTATAAATCCTGCATTCTTTGATGATATTTTGAGTTATTGAGTAAAATAATGCTTTCTATTAAGTTCCCAAAAGTCCCATCGATCAACAACGTACAATAGAAAATTCCCAAATTGTTGCAGATTTCACTCCAACTGCTATTTATTTCCCTCAAAAATTTGATTGATTTCTAATAATCGTAATTTTTACTAGCATATTTAAATACATATTTTTGGAAAATATCCTCAGAATTAATTTTAAATTTTTTTTTTTTAACATGTCTTCCTCTTATTATTACTGATAGTTGTTCCTTTTTCCAAGTTAGGAGCTAGCCATACAATTCTTATAGACGGAGTACTTCAGAAAGAAATAAATATGTGATTAGTATTAGCAAGTACTATACTTTGTCTTCAAAATTGTAAAGCATTTTTTTTTATAATTTGGTTTGCTGGTAAAAATAAAAAAAAAAATAAAAATTTGCTTAATTGTTTTATTTAGTGGTAAAAGCTTAATTAATTAGGGTGGGGGGAAGGAACCCATAGAAAATCACTGGTTTAGAAGGGCTGTTGTGAATCTTGTGACATTGGATCAGATTGGAATCTAGCTAATTGTTGTTGAAATCACATCATTGTAATGATAAGATATATTAGATTAAAGTCAACTGGCCTGGGGTGTCAAGCTAAACCCTACAGCATCCATTTTGGCTCATTTTGCTCCCCCAGTGTTTGTTACATACGTATGTATGTATATATGTGTGTGTGCACATATACATATTCTATTTATAGAGGGTTGTCTCTGTTGAGAGAGAGAGGGGGGAGAGAGAGAAAAAAAAAAAAAAAAAAACTGTTGCTCTTGCTAACTACTACTAGTATATGAGTGAGTGAGTGAACTATTCCCTATTTCTTACCTAGTGTTTTGTCACACAGATGCTACTCTCACCTCTATCATCATCATATCATATGCTCACTCTTCATTAAATCCACAAACCTCCCATTTCTAAATCCCCCATTGTTTCTCTCTCTCTCTCTCTCTCTCTCTCTCTTATACACACACACACACATATATATAGATATAGATATAGGGTTGCATTTGGGGTTGCTATTGGATGAGAGATATGTTGGGCTCATTTGGTTCTTCATCCCATGATGAAGAGGAGGAACCAACAGCATCACCATCAGATATTGTGCCTTACCACCACAACCACCACCAGATTCAACCACCTCCTTTACGGGGCTTCACTTCTCCGGCAACCCACATGCGCCAATTACTAATAAGCTCAGCAGAGCTCATTTCCCAATCTGACTTCCCCGCAGCCCGCCGCCTCATCGCCATCTTATCTGCAAACTCTTCTCCTTATGGTGACTCCACTGAAAGATTAGTCCATCTTTTCACCAAAGCCCTCTCACTCCGCCTCAGTTTTAACACCACCGTCACCACAACCACTAGTGGTGGCTCTAGTGTTAGTCATGTACTTAACACAACAGAGGAATCACTTGTTCAATCCTCATATTTATCACTCAACCAAATCACCCCTTTTATAAGGTTTAGTCATCTCACAGCAAATCAAGCAATCTTGGAAGCCATTGATCAAGGCCAGCAAGCCATCCACATCATTGACTTTGACATTATGCACGGCGTCCAATGGCCTCCCTTAATGCAGGCCATGGCGGAGCGCCACCCTCCGCCGACGCTCCGCATCACCGGAACCGGAAATGACCCCAACACACTCCGAAGGACCGGTGACCGCCTCGCCAAATTTGCTCACTCTTTAGGCCTCATTTTCCAATTCCACCCACTCCTCCTCATCGACAGAGACGACCCGGCCTCGGCCGCCTCAGCGCTCTCCGCCGTGCTCCTCCTCCCGGACGAAACCCTGGCCGTGAATTGTGTGTTGTACCTCCACAGACTCCTCCGGGACCGGGACCGGCTTCATTATTTTCTCAGCAGAATCAAGGCCATGAACCCTAGAGTGGTGGCTGTGGCCGAGAGAGAGGCGAATCACAACCAACCCATTTTCTTGCAGAGGTTTGTGGAGGCGGTGGAGCACTACGCGGCGGTGTTCGACTCCCTTGAGGCGACTCTGCCGCCTAGCAGCCGGGAGAGGCTGACGGTGGAGCAGGTGTGGTTGAGGAAGGAAGTGGAGGACATCGTGGCGGCGGAGGGCGGTGGAAGGAGGGAGCGGCACGAGAGGTTCCGGTCGTGGGAGGTGATGTTGAGGAGCTCAGGGTTTAGCAATGTACCATTAAGCCCTTTTGCTCTTTCACAGGCAAAGCTACTCCTGAGGCTGCACTATCCTTCTGAGGGTTATCAACTCCACATACTCAATGATTCTTTCTTCTTAGGTTGGCAAAATCAACCCCTTTTCTCTGTTTCTTCTTGGCACTAGATGGGATATGATCATATATCATCATATATATACATCTATATAGACTAGTTAATAAATTAATTCTAATCCCTCCCATATTCTCATCAAACCCTAACCCTAGCTGGTTTCTCTTAGCTAGCTTGCATGTGCTTGTGAATCTGTACGTTGCATGCAAAAATTTGGAAGAAATCAGCGTTTCAAATTTGGGGAGACCTGATTAATTAAACTGAATGCTTTTGTTTTCATACTACTAGTTGGGTTGATTTATATATATATATATATATATATGAAGTTCTCTGTAGAATATTTATTGTTTTTGAAGATGCTATAAGGAAATCCATTAATTATTATATGCCTTTCAGGAGGCAGCAATTGCTATGTTGAACATTTTGATCACTTAATATATTCCATTTAGAGGACTCTGTGGGTCATTTATTTATTGGTGGGTTGGTTTTACTTTTTGTTCTTTAATGCTAAAAAGACTTCACTTTCTTTCTAATAGTCTTTTTAATCACTTTCTTTATAGTATTAATATATTAATTCTAATATATAAGGTGGTGAGGCCTAAATTAGTGTGTACAAATGAATAAATGTGCCACTTTCGTTTCCTAAAATTCGTTTTTTTGGTTCATGGTTTGTGGTTTTCAAGAATAGGTGCATGAGGGTTCTTGTTTTCTGGAGTAAGTAACCGCAAACAACTGTGGGCTGTCTTTGATATTGGACCATTTGTTGCCCTAATTTGTGCCTCTTGTCCCCTCAACAAAACCATCAAAGTTGTAAAAATAGAGGGTCACTTTGCCCCCCTCTTGAAGCATTTGCCTTTTGAGTGCTTCCTACAACTTGTTACAAAGGGATCTCTCTCGTGTCTTGTGGTTCTTCAAAGGACCACTCCTATATGTCCCTCTTTTGTCCCTTAATTAATCCCATAATGCCCACCTTCTCAATCACCCACCATATGTGAAATGTCCCCTCCCTATACCTCTCTGCATGAACCTGTGCTTGTGTAGTATGTCTGTATATTGTGTACTCATTTGTCTCTGTGTTGTGTGTGTGTGTGTGTTGTGTTGTGTGTTTGTGCTGATTGTACATGTAGATTTAGATGAAGTGGTGATCTAAGAGCTAGCAGTAGATCAATCAAACCTCATGCATTAACTATATAGGCCTCCTAATTATCAATGCAATTCATCACTACCATCAGTAAGGGAGATGTACAAATCCTTTGTGTGTGCCTGTGTGTGTTTATTTTTTTTTGAGAGAGGGAGTAGATTTCATGGGAGTTAATCGTGTTTATGAGAGTCACATGTCTCGATCTCTTTTTTTATATGTTTATGTTTTCATTGTGTATAATTGGATGAAGTATTTGATCTAAGAACTATTAGACCTCCTAACTAACCATCCATATGGCCATTAATTCATCAACAGAATCAGTATGGGAAATACCCAAATCCTTTTTTTTCAGTAGAATGATGCAACAATATATTGTGTGTGTGTGTGTGTGTGTGTGTGTGTGAGAGAGAGAGAGAGAGAGAGAGAGAGAGAGAGAGAGGAGTAGGTTTATAGGTTGTAGAGGTAGTGATAGGGGCTGACAGTGATAAGATGGTTACTAGTGGGCAAACATAGCCTCCACGCAAGCTAAGGCAGGCACTGAGCATCACACAAAAAGGCCCTTTGCTTGCGAGTTGCGAGTTACTCTGTTAATACTACTTAAACACTTGTACATGTCGTGAGTTGAAGACTTGCAATGATGGCGCACGCATGGCATCGCAGAAATTAACATCCATCATCAAACCCCTCCATTGATCCATCCATCCATCCATCTCTCTCATGATTCAGACCTAACCTTTTGGCCTGCTGCATGTGTTTTGTTGGAACTTGGAGGATACCCAGGTTCTATTACCATCATTCTTATTGATTGCTCATTCTTTCCATCCACTATATATATATATATATATATATATATATATAATAATTTAATTTAATTTAATTTAATTATTATTTTTTTTTTTGGTGAAAAAATACAGAAGAAGAAATGAAATGGTAGGAAAAAGTAGTCTATTCCAAGATTTAAGATTTTGATCTTCAAAACCTTAGAATTAATAGGTTTGGAGATGATTCTCAATTTCTCTATGGGAAGTGCTGTGAGGCATTCTCTTCTCACCCGCCTAGCTCTTGGACATGAGGCATCATCAGCCTTTTTTTTTCTTCATCTTTTCTCTCGAATTAAGTATCATTAACACCACTAAAAAATTAGTTTTATCTATCTAAGCTATTTTTTTTTATATATATATAAGAAAATTAATTAGCTAGCATTATGCAACGTAGTCAACAACCTTCACCTAATGTCCTGATTACTGTCCAAACAAATACTGAGAGGATTTCATTTCCTAGGTACACTAAGAAGAACAAAAAAGAAAGTAAAAAATTGCAATACGCAGAGGATATGTTTGATACTTTGATACTCTTATTGGTTATATGTATATGTGTTTGTGTATATATTATGTATGCATGTTGCATCATATATGTTGTTTCTGTTAATATGGTTCAAAGACATTCACTTCTTTTTTCTTCCGTGTGCCTTGGGAAGCCATGATTCAAGTAAAATTGAGATTACCATTTTGTTTTGCTTTTCTTTGACCTAGATCTACTAGAAGTCATGTTATGGTTCTTTTGGAAAGGAATCTAGGGCATATGTAGCAAGTGAAAAGCTGGAGTTCTCCAAATATATATCCTGATTCCTTTGATGTATCAGTACATAATATTAATTAATAATGATCTAACTGACAGGTTTAATCATTAATTCGTAAGGAAAACAACTTGTTACTCAAACTTAGTACTGCTCTATATTTCATGTACATATATATATATATATATATGAGTTTTTTGACAGACCTATTACTGAGTTTTACAACACATACGAGTTTTAGGTTGTTTGGAGGTTATATATATATATATATATATCATATATATGGGCTCAGTGGAGTGGGTGAAACTGCAACTACTATTGCTAGTCATACTAGAAAAAGTAAGAAAAATTGTTTTTCGCCATCTTTTATATATATATACATGACTGATTGAGAATTTAAGAGATTTTTTTTTTTTTTTTTTTTTCCCTAAATATAATATTTAAGAGAATATAGACATAACATGTAGTAGAACTTTTTCTTTCACTAATTAATGGCACATCAAGTGATCGCTATAAAAGATGGTCAATCATGTTTGTAGTGTGGGTTGCTGTGTGAAACGCACCATAAGTTCTCATATATGGGACTAATCAATGAACTTGGCAGGAAAAAAGAATCAAAACTTGATATTTTTGTTGCATTGTCTCTTTTGGCCACAGCAATGCTGATCGATATAACTGCATTGTACAAGACATAACATAAATCTTCAACATGAAATCAATCATTTATGCAACTTGAAGTGATCCAAGCTCATGACCAAGTGAAAATAATAAATACAGTAATCCTCCATCCGAAATGCATACGTATAATATATATATATGTGTGTGTGTGTGTTTTGCGAATGTAAACTTAATTTGTATAGATATATGTAAGAGTATAACCATTGTTCGCCAAAAATCCATAGAAACAGGCGGATTGTCCCCGGTGGACTAGTGTCATCCATGCCATGACATAATGTTGAGTTCGATCCATTCGACTGAACTCAAACATTTTGCGCGCCATCTAACGAACGCCTCAAGACTTTTCATCTCCCATTTGATGAAGACAAACCAAAGAAATTACCATTGCAATTAAAGTTCGTCTAATTCAATATATGATCCTAATTACTGGCTATGCCCAAGAGTCAGAAATAGGGTAACAACAAAATCCAAATGCATGCATTTAATATTTTAATGTGTTGTTCATTCCAATAGTACTTGGTGGTCGAAATGTGAACTTAAAACCACCAAAATTAGGAGATTTAGGCCCACAGCAGGAGCAAGAATGAACACACAACAAGAGTCTCCCATCATCATTTAATTTGTTTGAAGAAGAAGAGGGTGAGCTACCACCCAGTAGCTAGGTCATGCACTGTCCCTTGTAGTGGACAATGAAAAGAAGCTAACCATAAATAGACTTTTTATATGAAAACACATGTGAATCTGAATATACATACTATGATCACACACACTTTTGGTATATATGAAAAGAACTAGGCAGCTGTTTATAAGGACTCCATTTATTTCATGATAGCATGAGAGATGAATCTCTCTCTCTATATATATGATCATTAATGAGCTAGCATATATCATATCATATATATATCTAATTAATGCATTAATATAATTCATGCATGTCACAGGTGTAAACTGCATAGGATCCATAACCCATCGTGTAACTGTTGAAGAGCAGAGAATGGTGATGAGAGAGAGAGAGAGATATATATATATATATATATATATATATAGCTCTAGAGAGAGAAAGAGGGGATGTTGTGGACTTGACACAGGAATGGGAGGGGTCATGTGAAGGAGGATCTGCTGAGTCTGGAGAAGAATGGGACGGTAGATTTCATTTCGTGTTATGTGATATTATAATATAATATGCGAGTACTCCCTCCAGCGTATATTTTTTTAATTGAGTACATATATATATATAACAGAGGCACAGGGGCTAATATGTAGGGGTGAAGCATAGGGACATGTCGTGGATTGGCCGTGCGCGAGAAGTAAAAGAAGATAGCAGGCAGTGCATTTATTTTGGTACAAATTAAAATAGTTTTGATAGTACTCTTTTTTTTTCCCATCAGAACATGATCCAACCCAAATGATTTAGAGAGAGAGAGAGATATATCTATAGAGAGACAGAGAGAGAGAGTAGTGTCCCAATAATATTTGATGACCAGGAATAATGGAGGACCAAACACTCACCCACCCCTGTGATGCCCAAGAGTAGTTACTATCCTTACAGGGGACCACTTTTGGACTTGTGACATCGATCTATAAGGGTTGTTTGTTATTTCAGCTAAATTTATGGTATTATTTCAATATTTTGCCCAATTATATATATATATTTCTGCACCAATTCAATTTAGGATGAATTCTGAACCCCAATTGAGGTTTAATCATATGAACTATCACATTATTATTATTAAAAGGAATGATCTTATATTTCACCACACACAAGGGTTGGAGAAAGTTATTACAAGTAAGTTAGATTTTTTTTTTTAAAGATCAAAGTAAATTTAAGGAAAATTTTTGGAGAAGTAAGCCATTATAATTCTTGTTAATTGTCTAGGGTTTTCCTAATTCTTTCCAAATTCTTCTTCTTCTTTTTTCAAAAATTATTTTGGCTTCACAATTTGACTTTTTAGGATCAACGGGCCAGTGATCTAGCGGTATCAGTCTCTTACTTCTCAAAAGGAGGTCAGGAGTTCAAATCTCAGAAGAAACAAGTGTGTATGAGTACTAACTAAAAAAAAAAAAAATCCGACTTTTTATGTTGCTAAATCAGCAACTAAACCAGATAGCTCCCACTTACTCTGAAATGCTTCTCTAGGCTTCAAGCTAATAAAAAAATGTTGAAAATCATAAATTTTGTCATTTCAACATTATAACCTTGTCCAATTTGTAAATAAGGTCATTCAAATTCAAGTAGTTTCCAAAAAAATCCCCGGTTAAATATTCCATAAGTCCTGAACTTCCAGGAACTGGTATCCCAACCATAATCAATCAAATAAATTCATAAAAAAAAAAAAAAACAAAATAATAATAATAAAAAACAGTTCTATTAATTGTACTACCAACTCATCCATGGGGAAATAAAATAAATGTGCTTAAAACATTCCAATATCTATATAGTTTGTATTACATGAAAAAAAAAAAAAAAAAAAAAATTTGCCAGGTTACTTAATTATTCAAAAGTGAACATTATTTCAAAGCACCATAACAATCATTTATGTAAAAACAATTTCCTCCCCCGGTGATTCTCTAGCCACTGAACCAGCAGAAGAAAATAGTATTACATTTGGCACGACCAACTTCTGTACTCAAATGCCAAGAAAAATACCGATTCAAATAATCCTAACACACGAAGTGGGGTAGGATGAAAGAAATACCATCACGGCTACTTTTTTTTTTTTTTGGTACTCACACACGTCTCATTTGAGACTCGAATCCCTAACCTCTTTTTTAAAAAGTAGAGACTTGGTACCGCTAGGCCACTAACATGTTGATCAGCCTACGGTTAATAAATGAATAATACAAAAAAAACTTGACAACACTCTTTGCGGTGGCCCTCCAACATAGCAAGGAGTAAAATGGTTAAAAAAAAGAAGTATGTATTTTTATATATATATATAAAGTGGAAGTAATACTACTCTTTTAATTGTAATCTAAAAAGATTAAAACAACATAAATTCATAATTAGGGAGATGCTCTCCATTGATGATGGGGCATTTTTGTGTAGTAAATGTAACTCCATCTACCCCCACAAGATAGCTAAGTGACCACAAGGCCTTCCACCCTAGTTTTATCCGATAATCGTGGTTTGGGGATGATTGTAGCTAGGTATTCGAAGGGAACAGAGAGGTCTTAGAACAAAAAACCTAACTCCATAGAAGTTCCACAAAGACTTAAAAGTGATCAAATATGAAATACATAAAAATAAAAAATAAATAAAAACTTTAACTTTCTCTCTTATATTTAAAATTGAAAATGAGACACGTATCATTCTATCACTTTTTTTTCTGTTAATTTCATGTCAATTTATCTTTGTGACACATTGGTGGTGTGAAACTGATATGTATTGGTCGGTAATGCCAATGGGTTCCTAAATAAGTACAAACACAATTGGACGGAAAATGCAGAAGGAATGAGTTACATACACATTGTATTAACCTTTGCACACATACATATAAAACAATATATATGTATATATATACAGTGATATATGATAAAGAAAGAGTGGCACCTGGTTTTTGGAGGAATAGGCGATGAGGGCGTTTGAGGAAGAAGAAGAAGAGCCAGCAACATTGCAAGCTCGCACATCGCCACACTCTCTCCTTCCCCTCTTATTTTTCAATTCCATTTCGGTTGATGTACGGAAATTATAACTCTCTGTTTTCTGTTTCTTTTAACTACTAAGGTAACATAACAAGTGCAAAATGTACTAAAATGCCTCCTAAAAAATGGGTCGGGGCAAGCCCCCAACCCCCCACCTTCGAAGAAGGGGGCGCTGCCCCTTGCAACCCCCACCAACTTACCGTGAAGTTGGGCTAAAGTATACAGCATTTATTAAGGCTCCGGAGTTCCCACTTCCCATCAATCTCCTGTCTAAGCAAACCACACACATATATACTCGAAGCTAGAGGCCTGAGTTCCCAGTTATGCTACATTTCAGTAAAAATTGTTCTAATGATTCATCAATGGGCCTGCAAATGACTATGTATGGTTCATGAAATGAAACCTACATTTGTTCTTCAATTAGCAAGCAATACACTTCACAGAGTGTGTGCAATACATGCATCTTGGCCTTTCATGCCACACAGACACGTCATTGTTGTACAAATTAATGTTGGGGGAAAAAGGTTTTCCAAAAGCAAAAATACAAAGAATGTGTACATCAATACTGTGAAATATGCTTGCTCTTGTTTTTTGGCCTTGTGGGTGGCATCCAAGCACAACTAATTCCATATAACAATGCAATGCCATCAACATGAGAAGTGATGGTAACACATTAAAGATAACAATATAGTGCATAAAATCATTTTATTGAAAAAGTAAAACTTAAAAAGTATAAATATGATGAGCTGTTGAATCCTTAAATATTTTTTTAACTCTTTTAGGATAATACTCACTTTGTACTTTGTCTCACAGCTTAATAAATAAATAATATATAACAAAGAAGAATCTATTTTAAAATATTTGTATAATACATAAGTGTAAATTATGAGACGACAAAGATCTGCAACAGTCATTCAAAAGAGCACATTCAAACTGAAGTATATTCCATATGCAGAGAAGAAAGCTTTGGATTCATCTAATATTGTTGAACAAAGAAATCAATACAAAAGTAAATCCCAGAAGACCATAGTTGGAAGAACACTGACGATAATTCAAGCCTAAAACATCAGCCAAAAAGTTTTTATGTTCAAATATCATTTTTCTAATTGGAAATTAAAAGCCTATGTGAAGTTCCTATACATTTTCATCCTACCATCCTACCAAAGAAGAATGCAAAACCTTTTGAATCTCTCTTTCACAGCAAGCCGGCCTGTTAGAGAAAACAAAAAGGAACCAAGTTTGGTTCCTCAATCCTATCTAAGCCACTGCCTTTCCACTACAAAACTCAACAGCTGAAGCATCACAAGGTAAAATTAGAGGAACTGACCTCTCAGTAGGTCAGTTCCATTAGAAGCTGCAAAAAACTGAAATATTCAACTAGCTCATAATCATCATCATTCTTCATCCTCCACAGGAGGAAGCTCATTGAGATCAAACCCTAAAATTTTACGAACCGTCCGACTGCCTTCCCCTGGCGAAGCTGCTAGGCTCGATGGAGCTTCAACCGGACTACTGCTCAAGCGACAGTACCTCTTGTGACCACCAAGAGCCTGACCTGTAAGGAAAGGTCTGTTACAAATCTCACATTGGTGTGTGTTCTGCACAAGCTCTCCGTCCACTCGTGAGGCGGGATTGTGATGGTGTTTATCCTCAGCAGCTGCAGATGAAGGGTCATCAATGGTGTTATGAAAGTTCTTGTCTCTCTTGTGGTAGGGACATGTGACCACCTAATGCTTGTTTGGTAGAATAGACCCTATCACAATTGCTGCATTGGTACTTATTGGGAGTACTCCTTATCACAATTGGCTTATTCCTCTTGATCTTCTTGCTACTAATCATCACTGACCTAGGACTAGTTCTCTCACATTTGTAATTCATGAGCTGTCCTTTGCACAAGTACTCTTCAGTGTCTTCGATATCAGACTCATCATCTGTACAATTCATGTAATCTTCAACTTCTCTGTTCCAATCTTTTGCATCAACCCATTCACAATTCTGAGTCTCCAATATAGCCTTTCCTTTGCCTTTATCCATATCTTTAGGTACCACACCAATGTGTCCACAATTAGTATTGAACCCTCTTTCTTCAATTCTCAGCTTCTTCACAGGATAATCCCTTCTGTATCCAACAGGCGACGCCTCAATTCTTCGTTTATTCGATTCAGAAACCCGATGTTTGTCCTCAATTTCAGCCTCATTTGTCAGAGCACTACAGTTTGCAACCTCATATTCCTCAATTTCATCATTATGGACTAGGCCAGAGTCAAAAGAATTATCTTGAGCTAGCCTAAGGAATTCATCCACCGCGTCACAGAATCGCTTCTTCTCCACCTCCACCTCCTCTGAGCTCGAATTCTCCAATGTGTCGGCCATGACTCTCGGGACTCTCGGGGTTCGCCTGCCTGTCCCCGGCCACATTGGTAATGACCCCATCAAATCAATTACTGGGTTGTCCATAGTTGCACAATCTGAATCAATGTGATCATCAATTTTCCTAGGCACGGATTCAGATACAGAGGAAGATGGACTGTTCTTAACCGCCATAGGCGACTCAATTCCCCTCCGTTCCTTCTCAGGATGGCACCTCATGTGCCCAAACAACGCCTTCGACGAGGAAAATTTCTTTCTGCAAATAAAACAAACAGTTGGCTTTCCATTTCCCTCCGAGCTCTCAATGGTGACTTCATTAGAATCTCTTTTCTTGGAAGAATAGATGGCCCATTGTAGATTTTGTTTCTTCAACTTATTGGGTTTTTTATCACGTATTTTGAGCTGCTTGAGAATTTGTTCTTTGTTGTGATCCTGACAGTGTACTTTAACGTGACCTCCGAGAGCTTTACCAGAGATAAACTCTTTTTTGCACACAGTGCAGACCTTACTCTGAGAGTTCTTCCCTTGCCGTCTAATCGGATCTTCTTCAACCCCCTTTTCCACATTCCCAATCTTGAACCTTATCGTCAGCTTCCGGTCTCGGGAAACTGGAGTTTCCGGCACCGGCAATTTCTCATTGTCTTTCTTGATCGATTGATACTGATTTTCTAAATTATCGCTCATTGTAGAATCAATTAAACACGATAACCAAAATTCTGCTGAGATATATATATGTATGTATCTCTACATCTATATAAGATAGCAAATCAAAAAAAGATGTCAATATCTTCAGGGTAGAGAGAGAGAGAGTAAAGATTAATTTTACTGACCCAATAAAAAAAGAACTCCTCAAATCAACAACAGGTAGGTTTCTTAGCTGACAAGGAAACAAAGAAGAAAAATCAACTGCAAAACAGAGATTGATAGAGAGAGAAAGAGAGAGGCAAGAACAAGGAAATTCTTGCAAACCCAAATCGACAAATCAGGTCAACAATGACCCATATAATGACTGCCTCAATATGTATATAAATCCAATCTAGATGAGCGATGGGATCAAGAAACGAATCTTGCAAAAAAAGACCCAGATGAGAGAAAACTCTGAATTTTGAAGAAGTCTTGGAAAGGAAGCTAAAGATGATATGAGAAGAGAAAAGAGAAGAGAAGGGTCAGTGTAATTAAGTGGTGTGTGTGGGAATTGACTGTCAAAGTTCTTCGTTTCGTTCCTCTTTGCCTCTTATTCCGGTTTTTTCTCTCTCTTACTTTCTTTCTCTACAACTCCCCAAGTCCAAAACAGAAGATTACAGTAGGGAAAAATAATAATAATAATAATAATAATAATAATAAGGAAAATATTCTATTTTCTTTTTCTTTATAAGTGAATTAATATTTTCCTCGAGCTCCGTTTGTTTAAATATAAAATATTTTTTTAGTGTTTGATTGACGTAAAATATTTACGAAGAAAAAATATATTAAAATTTGACAAAAATAACTTATTCATAAATTTTAAACAAGTTATTTTACATACTCTACCGGATGGACTCAACCTTAATAGACCTTTATCAAATACCGAAAAAGAAAAAATAAAAAAATATTTAAAAATATATATATTTTTCAACAAAAAAAAAATATTTTAAGTTGAAACAAACAGAACGTTAAATGTTTGTCCCTTGATAACTATATACTAAATAACCATCACTCGTTTACAGTGTTTGTCCTTATAAATTATTTTTATATTAAAACTATTAGGTATATTCTAATTAAATCCTAAGTTATACAATGATGATTTGTATCTCGAAACGAGTAAAGTGGGTGTGTGAGTTTATTGCCAATGATAATAAGTAAATAAAAATAAAAATAAAAATATTCCTTTATATTATTTTTATTTGAAAATGTTCAATTAAGAAGTTGAGTTTTATTCTTGTCCATATAAGAGAAAAAAAATTATTGTCATAGTTAAAAAATTATTTCACTATTTACCTTCAAAGGGTTTATTGTTGGGGCTTGAATGGTTTTGTGATCTTGTTCTAGGCTTTAAAACTACAACGTTTTGAGGCATAATAACTCACCCTTATTGTAACTTTCTAAAAAAATAAAAAATTTCCCATTATTATATTTATTCTCTTTCTCCTCCATCCATATTTATATTTTCTCCACATCTTATATTCCACCTTTTGAATGTTACAAAGTGAGACTTGTTCCGTCTCGAATTTAAATGGGAGTTGAAGTGTGTATAAACGGATATGTATATAGCACTGTCCAATAACTTAAACTTTTGGATAAATGAGCAAACGCCCACCCGTGGTATCAAAGTCAGACCCAGCCCTTAGTCTGGTGTTATGCCAAGGGCTTAGCCTAGAGGGCGTTTGGGTCTGGACCTCGGTTAGGCAGGGTGACTCGACCGCAATGAAGGTGTTGCGTGGATTCAAATGGAAAAGAATGTTACAAGTGGGACTTGTCCCACATCGGATTTGGATGGAAGTTGAAATGTGTATAAATGGGTGGGTATGCAACACTACCCAATAGCCTAAGTTTTGGGTAAATGAGCAAGCGACCACCCATTACACTAACCATGGCCACCTCTACTTCTTGCACCTCTACCATGTACCGTTGGCCATTACCTCTCCCCTCTTAACCTCCTATCACCACCCCCTTTCCACCAACCACCATATATTATAAATGAATGCAAGAAAAAGCTCTTCTATATTAAGTAAGGATTTTTTCACACTCCAAACAACTTGTCTCTTATTCTCTCTTTAACTTCTATTTATAGAAGTTCACCCTCTACCCTATTCTTCCTTCTTGGTCTCTTTGGTTCGAGCCAATGAGTCCTCTTAATTGGGTTAGGGATTGGTCTTTGTTGGCCGCCAATAGGCCCAAAACGTTAATTGGCTTTGTTGATCTGTATCTTAATTCTCTTTCTTGAATCTCAAGTTGGGAATAAAAATGGGCTTGACTCTCCTCATGGGCCATTCCACTCATGGATCACTATTCCAACATGCTGGGTTGGGCCGCGTACAGACAAGTGAGATTTTTCGCCCCTTCAACTTACCCCTACATTGTCCCTGTTCCAAAAACAAAATAGGCTATTTTGTGGAATGGACAAATACCACCTTAATTAGTTTTAAGTTACTCTCAACTATGCCTCCAAACGTTAACGTGTCCTGTGATTTAAACCGCTTCCAAACGTTAACGTGTCCTGTGATTTAAACCACAAAAGGGAATCCGTATCCTTATAGATGTGGAGAGTTATGAGCCTATGATAAACGGACAGATCAACCGTCCCACTCATACTTCTCCAACCAAATTTGATGTGTGACAAGTTATTTTAAGGTGGAGGATTCAAGCTTCCTTATATAAAGTAAAAGTGACTAACTTTTTTTTTTTTTTGCCTGCATTAACCCTTCTTTTTGTTTTTTTGGATTAACCTGGAGTGTCCGGAAAGGCACGAACCCTACCTGAGTCGTGTAAGGCACTGTAAGGACAGCAGAGGCTAGCCACCAAAAATAACCAGCGAGGACTTGAACCCAAGACTTAGGACTTATGAAGCACCTAAATCTAGCGAGAAACCCGCTAAGCCATATCCAAAGTGGATTACATTAACCCTTCTTACCTTGTAAAACAAAAGAAAATTGTTTAATGATGATTCATTGAAAGAACACTCATAATGTGATTTTATTATTTATTTTAGAAATTCACATATGAAAAATTACATTATCTAAAGAACATGCACCAAATTAAGTTTAACTAGCTTTCATATAATTATTAAGTGATAGACTATTTAATTTATGCATTTAAAGTTTGATTGGTAAAATTATTTGGATAGAATCAAAATATATTGATTATGGAACTTTTTTTATTTTATGAGATCATTGAAATACGATTATTATCCAAATCTTATTTCTGTCCAACCCATGTGATTAAAATTAATAGTAGTTTGGATTAAACAATACTACATAAACAATACGCTGAGAAAAAATAAAAAGACAAGACTGGTTTTCCAAGCCCAATTAAATACTCCGTAGAAAGTTTAGACGATCGAAGGGGAAGAGATATATATACACACAAATAGAGAGAGAGAAAGGAAGAGAGAGAGAGAGAGAGAGAGGATGGCTTCGTCGTCGAGCAGCGGACTGACATTCAAGCTCCACCCACTGGTCATAGTGAACATATCCGATCACTACACGAGGGTCAAGTCCCAGTCCCAACCGCCTCACGCCGCCCCTGACGGCGGCGAAGAAACAACGCCGCCTCCACCTCCGCCTAGGGTCTTCGGTTGCGTAATCGGCGTCCAGAGGGGACGCATGGTCGAGATCTTCAACAGCTTTGAGCTTCTCTACGATCCCTCCACCCATTCTCTCGACCGAACCTTCCTCTTGAAGAAGCAAGAACTCTGTCAGTACTTTCTCAAATTCTCTCTTCCCCCCTCTCCCTCTATCTTTCTCTCTCTCTATATATAGATGCTTTTCAATTTAGAGGATTTTTTGAAAATTTTCTAGGGTTTGCCGAAATAATAACGCTCTTTTTGTAAACCAGATAAGAAAGTCTTTCCCCAGTTTTATATACTTGGGTGGTATTCTACTGGGAGTGATGCTCAAGAATCAGATATGCACATTCACAAAGCTGTAAGTTCTCGATCGTTGTAATAGTTAACCTAATGCTCTTACCACGCACAGAGGTGCTTATATATTACACACATATATCAGAATAAGTAAGTGAACTCTACATGTCTGCCCTTCGAATTTACAATAACGTGAATTGATGTGAATCTGTATTATATAGATACAAATGCGTGTACTTGTGTTTGATAATATCAGGATTGAATTGTTCTGCATATGTTGGGATTGTTTCCCGCTGTCATTGTGCATTATAGTTGATATTGCGAGAGATTCCCTTTTTCTGTTGCAATTGAGTTTTTCCTTTTTTCAAATACTGGGAGTAAACAATTCTCATATCCCTGTCCATACTTGTAGAGAAAGAAAAGAAAAAAATCAATAGCATAAAGCATACATGGTCATGTTTAGATGCATTTGCTAGTTACATATATAATGCAGTAGGTATTAATAAATATAAGAAGCAGCAGAAATATGCAAAGGGCAGCTGAGGAGGTTTTGGGTTCCTCCTATTCTTTCATTTGTATTATATTTATTTTTTATTTTCCTTTAATTTTTCTTTTTCTAATTTTTGGGGAGCATGCAACTCAATAATCCAGTGAGTAAAGTGTTTATTTTTATGCGATGCATTGCTGGTGGAATTTAGCAAGATCAGTAAATCCCAATCAATTCAGCTTTTTGCAAATCAGGTGCAAGGGCTTTGGAAGTGCTTGTGGATGTATACAAATATTTACATGAACACAAATTTATTTTTTCTTCTTTTATGGACTATTGCTGCAACAGTGGATATTGAAAAAAATATTGGTTCCAGAATCCATACTCCAATTGTACCTTTTTTTCTTCTTCTTTATATCAAGGCTTAAAAAAGAGCATTTAGTAAAACTCTATTGAACTATTGTTGCCTTATCTGAGATCAAATTATATCTTTCTTTTCTTATGTTGTTTCCCTAGTTCAGATTCACCTTGCCTCCTTTTAATTGAACAAATTGTTCTGATCTGTGCATGGTGACTGGATCCATTATTCCATTGAGATCACCTTTTATTGATTACTCTATAGTAAGAATGCTATATATTTATCTATTGAAAATAAAACTCTATAGCTGGGATGCTTTTTTTTATTTGTCAAACCTTAGTGATAAATGGCTTTCTGTAACAGTTGATGGATATTAATGAAAGTCCTGTCTATCTTCTCCTCAATCCTTCTATCAATCATGCACAGAAGGATCTCCCATTGACCATCTATGAAAGTGGTATGTAACCTTCATTCCTATCTTCTATTGCATATAATGCCCTTACCAATAATGCTGTCAGTTAAATCTCATAAGTTCTTTATTAGCTTGTGTATCTGCAAACTTTTCTTAAGCTCCCTCTGTTCTGATTGTTGAATTGCTGGTGAAGAGTTCTCTTGTATTATGTCATTTTTGATTTCAGTAAAACACAAGACAGGCCTCTTTAATTCTTAAACTTATTCAATATGACAGCATTTTTAATCATATTTTACCAGTCTAAGTATTTTTGGCTAAAATGTAAGATCAGAGTTGTTCTTAGGAACTTTCTATATGAATTTTTTCTTCGGCTAAATAGTCTTAAGTATTTAGTGCATTGGTGCATTGTTTATTCTATTAACACTAGGACCAGCTTGTTCTTTCTGAGGTGTAATATCACAAATCATTCATTTTTAAGTATTACATGGAAGTAAATCTGAAATATATATATATATATATATATATATTGGTAAGTAAATCTGAAACACATTCATAAGCATTTAGGTACTGTTTCTGATATTTTGTATCCTGTGGATTAGTTCTGTATATAAAATATGGTGGCCAAATTACAATGTTGAGGTATATCAATCTGTGTGTTTGCTAGTTCATGCTTACAAAAGCCTTAAATGTTTCCATTGAGGTGCTGTATTTTTCTGAATGGGTTCTGGATATCATAGTATCTTGGGGCTTTGCAAGGATTCTCTAGAGCAAGCTACCATGAGTCAACAGATCTTCTTTATAGTACTAAATAGTTGGGTTATTTGAGACATGACTTTTTAAATTGATACCAAACTCAACTCAACAAAGTCTTGTCCTACTATTTAGGATTGGCTATAAGAAGTTTCTTTAGCCATTCTATTTAAGGGTATAACTTCAGTAAAGTCACATGCTATTTTTTCTTTCTGTACTATATGTGATTCTGGTCTTTCCATTCTCCTATTATTACCCTCAATGTGAGCCACATCTTTTTTTCTTCACTGGTACAATTATTGGTCTTTGTTGTGCATGACTAAACCATTTAGTCGATTCTCTTCCATTTTGTCTCTAATGGGTGCCACTTCAACCACTACACTAACGTAATCCTTATTATTTTACCCTATACTTTCTTTGCTAGACATCTATCCTAACATCAATTTTTTAGACGATGCTCATTTTATGCGCAGGTTAGACATCTATCCTATGGGTGCCCATGCCACTCTTTTCTTTGTATATTTGTATTTTCAAGACGTTCTTCACTTTAAGTATTTTGCTAAATTTAATCATTACCTTATTTGCTTTTACTATGGTTAGATATCCTCTTCCCGCCACCAAGTTTCTTTGCATAATATTCGTTTTTCTTTTTGTTCTCCAAGGACCTCTTTTGATATTTTTTAAATATGTTGTTCAGCTTATTTCACATTGAATTCATCTCAATTTCTAGTTCTTTGTTACTTCTTTTAGCATCTTCTTATTAAATAATTCTGGTTTCCACTTTATTCCTTTTTAAAATTTTATAACCTAGTTCTTTGGTTTATAATGTTCTTTTAAATTATAAATAACATAAAATGTAAAATCAATATGGCTTTTAACTGATCTACTTGTAAGCATTATTAATTCATCTCTCTCAAATAGGTATTTGCTTTCGAAGTTAAGGATAGTCTCTCTCAACATTTCTATCGCCAAATTTGTGCTCACCATCCACTGTTTCACACTATCCACAATATTTTTTCCATATGAACATTAAAGTCTCGTTGTCAATAATCTCTCTTTTCTGGGTGTACCTTGAATAATTCATCCGTTTGTTCCCATATTGTGCTTTAATATATCTGGTCCTACTTTGGGTGCATAAGTGCTATTTATATTGACTATATTTCTCCAAATACAAATTTAATTAATATTCTCCTAACCCCTTTCTAGCGCAATTACAAAATTTTCTTTGAAATTTTTATCAACTATCATTCTATGCCAAAATAAGTCTTTCTTTTTTGATGTAATTGAGTATATGAATTGTTTTTTCAATTTCCCTGTCTATCCACTTTATCTCTTGTTGGCTTGCTATGTTAATCACAGTGTCTACCAACTCCGTCCTACATGTTAATATATTCATATTCTAAGTCATTCTTGCAAGCGTACTATCTTGGGGCTGTTTTTTTACCCATGCTTGTCGGTGGTAATGTGGGAATAATTACCTACTTTTTACCGCTTCTGAGTACTGATTTGCCACCCTTTGTCCATTTCTCAACGCACTAGAAAGAAGTTGCAATGCAATACACAATGTCACTGTCCTAGTATGTACTCGAATATTCCTAGGATTCCGTTCATACGAGTCTTCAAATGTTTTACATCGGCTGTAAGTAGTTCTTCTAACCAATCCCCAAGTTCAGGACTGGTTATGAAAAGATGGAGACTGGGCCTGACACGTGGCTAATTGATCACATTATGAAAGAATGTATTAATTGTTTTTTAGTTCATTTTATGCAGAATTGTGTCTCACATTTATGGAGTCTGCTGGTTGAATAATTTCTTATAATTTTTGCAATTGCTACTTTCACTGATACGTTGACCCGTTATGTTCTCATGGAACCAACCGTTATGCCTTAAGAGTTGCACGTCATCGATGGGATTCCACAGCTTATTTTTGTGCAGTCAAGCTACACTATTGAGGTTTGGCCTGTTCATTTGTTTTATATCATTTTTGACACTACTTTTTAGGGCTGGGGTGACTCTATTCCTTTCTTATTGCTTCAAAGACAGTAGAAGCAGAACGGATCTCAGTTGACCATGTTGCACATCTGAAACCATCTGATGGGGGTTCTGCTGCAACTCAATGTGAGACCTCCTCATCTCCTTTCAGTTTATTTCCCAATTTCATTATAACCGTATCTACTCCTCTTTTGGGCCCAAAAAGTTCTGTAGAGATTCTTTTGTGATTATATTTCTTTGTTGAGAAAAGAAAGTGATTGGCTTGCATGTTTTGATGTATAGTGGCTGCTCACCTTACGGGCATACATAGTGCCATAAAGATGCTGAACAGCAGAATCAGAGTGCTTCACCACTATCTTCTTGCCATGCAGAAAGGTATGTGTATTTATTTCGTAGTGAACAGACTTCTTTAGAAAAAAATAAGTAAGACAAAGGAGTCCTTTAGCAAGAGTAAGGGGGCAAAAAAGGAAAAAAGAAAAAGAAAAAAAGGGAAAACTACTACTAATGATATAAAGCATTGCCATAGACTAGAAACAAGAACTTTTGTGTAGGCAGAGAATTCTCATTTTTCATAGAAACCCCACAAGTTCAGAGCTGCCCTTTAGAATTCTCATTTTTCATAGAAACCCCACAAGTTCAGAGCTGCCCTTTCATTGGGGTACGCTTTTAGATAACTCTGCAATTTTCAAAAGTTTGAAGTCTTCAAGGATCTCCAAACTTTTGAAATTTTGATTGTATGCGTACTTGCTTTGATCAGTTAGGTAGAAAACAAAAATAATATATTGCATGGGACAATGTGAGTAAGAAGTCCCTCAATCATGTTCATAGTAATTTTTGCGCAAATGCAGGTGATATTCCTTGTGAGAATTCGTTGCTTAGACAAGTGTCAAGTCTCTTAAGGAGATTACCAGCCATTGAATCAGAAAAATTCCAAGATGATTTCCTGATGGTTAGTGCTTTCTTTCTTTTCATTTTTGGCTGACAAAATGATAGGATTTTTCCTCTAGTAAGAGGACTAAACAAATTCTAAATGTTCATGCTTAATTTGATTTTTATTTTCTTCCAACTTGTTGAAACTATACCCGTGGAGAAGGGAGAGCGGGTTATTTTATTTCTTTGTTGACCAATAAAATGTTGAAATTTTTCTAGTTCATTAGGTAATCATTTTTGCATTTTCATTGATGTGCTCTTCTTTCTTTAGTAACTGTACAAGTAAGGGTCAGTGTTTGGTGCAGTTTTTGGGAAATTTAGGATTGAAGTTTGTGAAGGGTCACTCTGTAGTTTGTGTAGAATAGTGCCAAAGTTTAAGTCCATCTCTAGTCATGTCCACACAGCACCTAATGTATGTGGGACTAGACTTGATAATTGCCTTTACATTGTTCACAGTTCATTTGATTGTATCATTATGAGGTACTTTGCTTCTTAAGTAGTCACCTTCATGTTACGGTTGATTCAATCACTTCGTTTCTTTTTGTAGGAATACAATGACACATTACTAGTTAGTTACTTGGCGATGTTCACCAGTTGCTCAAGGTATGGTTTATAAGATTTCCTGTTTTAGTTTATTATTATCTTTTCTACGTTTGAAATTCTTGGAAAATATTACGTTCTTGGTTTGGAAAAAAAGAAAGGATTGTAATCTCTAATGAAAAATATAGCTAATCAAAATAATGATTGTTGGAATTGATTGCGTTGAGTTTGATTTATGTCAAACTTATGGAGTGGCATGAAGATTGAAACCTGGTCCTGCTAATTTATCTGTAGATAAATCCACCACACACCGTGCAGGGGACACCAAATCAACATAAAATCTTATAACACAACATACATAGGACCCATTTTGTAGATTAATTGTACCAAATTTCATCTTCATTCTACTTATAAAAATATAAAAATAAAAATTTCATCTTCATTCAATTAGTTTTCTCCATTTGAAATTGTTTGAAACCGGGCTCTGTAAGGTAGAATGATTGCTGAGCCAAGGTTTCTGGTAGTTCCCACATTCCTTTCTTTTCATTTTTATTTTAGGCTTTTAACATTCAGGTTTGAAAGTTACCGAAAATTGGGTCAAGCATATAGGGCGGGACGAAGAATGAAACTTAATTATGCTAATTATACCCAAGGCCCTTCTTGGAATATTGGTGTGGTGCTCAAATTAATTAGTAGAAAATCTGCTTGAGGTGCTCAAATAAATTGGAACGTATCGTTCATCCTGCATGGGTCAAGTTATTTATGGTTACCAAGAGTTCAAGTCTAGCAGTATCTCTTCTACTTCTCCAATCGAAGGTTGACTGTTAAACCCCAAAGGGGTAATCATGGGTGTGTGCGTGTATCTATTTTAGTCAAAAAAATAATAATAATTAGAATTAAGCATTCAATAGGACCCACTTAATTTTTTTTTTTGTGAACTTGATCAAAACCGAAATGTATGAAATGAAAACGATTTGAGCCAAGGTTCACGATTCCCGCATATTTCTTTTGCCTTCCCGAATTTTAGTTAGGATTTTGATTTGGAAGGTATATAACATTGAGTAATGGCCTTGTGGTATGTAAAAACAGACCTGGTCATTATAATAACTAGTCATCCACACCCGGGTTGATATATGCAGTTCAGTCGGGCAAAATCAGCCATCCTATATAATTTTGTTTGAGTTGCGCATCTTATATAATTACCATTCTTGAATTTGAAACAAAGGGCAATTAAGTTGACGTTTTGAAGTTGTTGTAGATTTGAGTTTTGACTTTTAGCCGCATCAGACATTAACTATTACAATACTTTGGCAGTACAATGAATGAGCTGGTCGGTAAATTCAACACGGCATATGACAGGCAAGTTCGAAGGGGAGGGCGAACTGCTTTTATCTGAAAGCTGCTCATCTTACTTGTCACGATCCTGCATACTAGAGATAATTATTTAGTGGCTGCAGCTCTCATTTTTGTGTGCCTAGTACGCAGGAGTTCTGAAATTATACTACCTTGGATGGTAGACAAGTCATGACATAGTAGTTTTGTTTTCTCCGTCCCTTTATATTTCTTTCTTTTTCGAAGTTGGAAAATTCTGTGGATTGTGGTTTTCTTGCTTCTCTTTTTGTTTTTTTGGCACTTTCACAATTCAATTTGCTGATTATATTAAATTTAATCTATAGAAAGCTTAAGATGTTTCTGCTGTTGTGCCTGAAACTTGATTTCATGTCGACTTCTCGGCTCATGCTGCTACATTTGCTCTTATTTTTTTCCAGTCTTTTATGTAAAATAGTTTGTCGAAAATTGATAAATAAATGATATATACTATGTCTTATAAAGCGGGAGTGAGAGCGATAAAGCGCTGTTGAGTTGAGAAGGGTTGTGTAACTTAGAATATATATATATAAAGGTAATTATTACAAATAATATTAATATATTAATGTGATAATTATCAAAAGCAATGCAAACTACCATTCTATCGGTGAGTCTATAGACAAAGGTTTAAGGTGGGAGACAAGGGGAAAAAGTGAGTGAATACTGAAACTTTGTTAAAACTATTTACAAGAGAAGATTAAAACTAATGATTCAACAAATTTGAAGAATCAACTAAAATACGAGATAAAGTTTTTTTTTGAGCCCAACATAAAAAATTATCGGCGATCTTCCTCCCTTCAAGTATTTGCTGAAATTTGTCAACAACTTAATTCAAGATCAAATTTGAGCAGCCCATGGATTAAATTAACAAAGATGGAGATTAAATTAGCAAATTAGAGGACATCTTCTAAATCTAAAGATTACTTGGAGGATTCTACTCATCAATCTTTATACATTAATAAAATTTAAATTTGTGTAGAGCATATGTGAAGTGTGGTATGACGTTAGCTTGACATTGATATTTTCAGGGTCAATAAATATTTTAGTATATTTATGTGGAAAATTCTAGAGTGTAGATTAGCATTCTAACCCTCCTCCATGGATGCCTACATATTGAGAGAAATCTAATTAGTTTTTGCTCTTTGCAACTTGTACCAGTATTCTACATAGATGTTCATAGAGCTCTTGAAAAATGATAAGGAGTTTGTATGGTAAGTTATGTTGTCCCAGTTGACATTTTGTTCATAATCATTACAGTGACTACGGAACATAGTAGGTTTATTACTGGGAGATTCTCACTTTTAGAACAATTAATTCGGAAATTTATGAGAATAATTAATTTGGAAATTTATATGTATTTATAAAATATTGTATTTATGGAATACATGTTTCTTTTCTTTTTTAAAAATTTTCCCGAATTAAAATTTTTATTTTTCAGTAAACAAAATTTTAATTAAAAATAATAATAACTTAATCCAATTAAAAAAAAAATAATGTAGGTTCTACCCAAATCAAGTAATTAAAAATGCAATTCACAAATTTCATCAAAATCATGTGGATTCGATTGGCTTATTGGTGGTGCTTTGGTTTTTTTTTAACACAATGTAATGTCATCCCTTCCTAAATTCAACCTTAAATTAAAATCAATCTAACTCTAGCAAACTTGATTGCAAATATATACTCACCGAGCAAGACTACTAATTCTACACAATAACATAAAATTAAACAATTAATGTTTTTAAGAGGTCTTTCTTGTGAAAAAATTATAAGCTCTCCCTATTTAATCATTGTATTAAATTTTTTTTTAATATGTGTAAAAAATCAAATTAATTATTTAATATATCTAAGTTAAAAAAATAGAAGAGCTCATGGCTTTTCTCCCGAGAAGGAACTCTTAAGAACATTACTCTAACATATAACAATAGGACTATTTCAGAAGAAAAACGATAAGTAGTCCGTCCGACTCTTGAACTAATTCAATTATTTTGTTGATTTAATCCAAGGTCATTAATAACATTGAATTAAAAAAAAAAAAAAAAAAGATTTGTAACCACGAGATGGTAAGCCCCGTTTGAGGAGGGCCAAATGGATAACTGTATTACTCAGGCCAACGTACTTCGACAGAAAGTCCCATTGGGCATCACAACCGTCTCTGCAGAAAAGGCCTGGGGACTTTACCGGGCCCAAAGACCGCAACAGCTGAATCGAGCCCACCCACTTTCATCCCGTGATTTAGGGTGGCTGTGGGCTTTCCTTTCTATATTAATACACTTTTCGGTAGTATCTTATTTATCGATGTGGGACAAAATAACTACCAATGAGTCTTCTCAACAATTTATTCCTATTTCCTACTAAACACACACACGTACACTGGTATAATCTGTTCAAACCCTAAGCACAGGATTGACAAACTTTTGAAAGAAAGCATCCACATATAATCCTGTTGATTGTTATCTCTATACGACGAACTGATTTGCACGCGGAAGAGTTTGATCTGCAAGACTTGGGTGCACACATCATCAGAGTGGTTGTATCTCGTTTCTGTACACAATCTTATCGGCAATTTCCTATATATATATACATTATAACTGGAAGAGAAACTTGAAGGGAATGAGAACTATTGATCCACAAATGAAGGTCATTCGAATTGCAATCTAAAAATCTCCAAGTTCATTTTTGTACAGCGATTTTAAGCAAATATTTCAAGCAACCACCATAATCCAATTGAAAATTCCTCAAATTTTATCATGTAGAGCTGATCTACACCTTGAAGAAAATACCTGAGTATCAGACCACCAGTGTCCATCTATCAGATTTCCCATGTCAAAAGCTTTAAACAACAGGTAAAATTTACACTGAGTTTAATGCCGACCTTTCATCATATTTGCTTACAAAAAGACATTTACCTGAAAAAGAACAATTTCGATATGAAAAGTCAATAAAAACAGCAGCACATACTACTTAGAATGACGTAATATTTCTCTAAATGGAAGCAACACACAATGCTACAAAAATGATTTTTGCTATACAACCTAATCAATTTATACAACATCGTGACAGGATGCAAAAAAAAACTTGCCAATAGATTAAAAATAAGTGGATTACAACATTATAGTTCGACCCATACCATTTATAACCATGAACTAATCCAAACACACATAGTTCAATCCTAACAACAAAAATAAAAACATTGTTTTTCAATGAAAGCAAGCATCAACAATCACAGTAAGCATAAGAGCATCATAGGGAGAACAAGACTATAGGTTGAGCACCCAATCTTTCTTCCTAGAATCAGACATGTAAAGAAATATATCCCTTGAATGTGCATCATCGCGGAATTTGGTTAATGCCTTGGAGTAAGCAGCACCAGCAATGCCCTCAATGGAATTCAATGCATTCACGCATTCAGAAGCCTTTGCATGTTTGTTGGCATAGCGCGGACCTGAATTGCATCTATTATCAGCAGCAGACACAGGTGAGGTGGAAACCTGAATGATTACCTTCTCTAGTATCTCAATTTCCCTTTTCAAGTTTTCATTTAAAACAGTCAAACTCTTAGCGCATACAGGAGAGTAGCTCTTTCTTTCTCCTGAACGACGGCTTCTGGGAGACCGACTCCGGTATCGATAGACTCCCGGTGAGGTGGAAACCCGAACGAGTACCTTCTTTAGTATCTCAAACCTTTTCAAGTTTTCATTTAAAACAGTCAAAATCTCAGTGCATACAGGAGAGTAACTCTTTCTTTCTCCTGGACGACGGCTTCTGGGAGACCAACTCCGGTGTCGATAAACTTCCCTTCCCTCGTCCTCATTTGCATAATTATTACAAGACGGATCTCCATCTTCACTTATAGATGAACTCTTTGTTGGAGAATAGGTTTCAGCACCAGTATAGTTGTTTCATCAAATAAATTAAATCAATTAAAGTATCAAATCACATGGTGAAAGGGTATTGAAATACATTAAATCACGTTAGGCCTAAGTGAAATATACATCTGAGGAGGATTCTAACAAAAGAAAATCAGAGCGAGCAAATTGTGAGAAAGAATAGCCAAGTCATATGAAATCTACAGAAACAAATTCTCTTTACATAAGGGAAATCATGAAGAAGGTTAAGTCTATTTTGAGAATTTAGGGAAAAAATAAGAAAGAATTTGAAATTGAAAAAGCAACCATTGGTAGATTTTGTGGTGGTTATAACTAATATATTCTAGACAAGTACATCTCACAATTCTCAAATTTTATCGTTCCCAAAACCAAACCACCATGCCTCCTGAGTATGATATGAAAGCTTATACAAATCTTGTCTTGTCAAGAGAATATATATACTTGCTTAAAACAAAAATTCAAAGTTACCCCATTATTTCTAGACAATTTCGCAGGATTGTTAGAGCTTCCATCAAGTATGATAGCTTCCATCAAGTACACGTCTAATTGTTATGTTTATACTTTTTACTATTAAGGGTCCAACCACATTCTAAATTAGAGTGCTGGTTGTCGAATAACTTCATTTAAAACAAAGATAATTTCACTCCTTTTGCAACCACAAAATTACATAACGTATCTTTTTTAACTGCTCAATCTCATGTCAATTGAATAGTTCAGGTTTAGAATCAAAAGATAATAGTTTATAAACACTGAATTATACTTTGTTTCCAATCATTGAGGATTGGCACCATTCATCAGTTTGCAAATGCCTAAATGAAAGATATAAATATTCAAGATAAATTAAATTTCCATGTCACTTACAAAAAAAATTAAAAGAAAACTGGACTTCCATATGTCATAATTAAAAGCTCCATGTACGGTTCTTCACACCTCCTCTAATTATGACTCTGTAATCGTCACCTTAAAACCACTCCCAACACTCGGAGAAGTATAACACTACCCTCCATTTGGATGAATAGATTTGACAATGAAGGATTTTGGAGTTCAAATCACAAACTTTAGGAAAGTCGACTATAGGAGGTAGATTGAGGGATCTAAGAAAGACGTATAGGATGTGCAATTGAGATATTATTCAGAACTCAGATTCAATACAGAGATAACAAATCAAATAATTAATGACTACTCCGATGATCAAATCGCAGGCTATCATTAAACAAAAAACAATAGTCATTTCCTCAATCCATCTGACATTATGAAACAACGCACTGTTAAAAATTTGGAAGTTTGGGAAAAGGCTTGGTGGTTGTTGTGAACATAAATCAAACACTTTCTCAGATCAACTCATCGACCATTTTCCATCTCTTTAAATGTCCTTTCCCGGGAAAGCCATTATTAAAAACTCAGATTAACACAGAGACAATAAATCAAATAATTACGACTATTCCAACAATCAAATCATATACTATCATTAAACAAGAAATAATCATCATTTCCTATATGTATGTATATATATATATATAAATTTCATCATCCATTTGACATTATAATATTTTCTCATATTGTTATCACTTCTCATAAGTCTATACAATTAATCAATTACTAACATCTCTCATCTTTTGCATAATCATTCCAAATCTCCAAGTTAGAATGTTAATAACAGCATTATTATATTGAGTTAGAGAGCTCTCATTATTATTGAATTTTCTGATATAGGCACACAACTAGAAAACCACCAACACCACCTCTCAGTAGAATCATTCCAAAACCATAATTCACACTTTATGCCTAAATGCCTATCATAACCTACATAAGTGCACACACATACACACACATGTAAAACTATGCATAAATACACGTGTTCATGTAGAAAGAAAGAGAGATGTGTTTAAGAAATAGCATTGCCTAAATCACTTTATAGATTTAATACCACAATAAACCCTAGTTAAACAGAGTATAAAGCACAATGAAACAATTATCAAACGCACCATGAAGAATCTGAGCTGAGATTCGGTGGTGAGCTCTTGTGATTAGATTTGCCGATCTGTTCGGGTCTGCTATTTCTAGGGATAAGAGAGTTTCAAAATCGAACCAAAACAGAGGGGCTAAGAGAGAGAGCTTACAGAGGTGTCTACGCCTAGGGAGATGGTCCACGTCAATTACATTTTACAGTCTTTGATTCGACACGCATACCCATATTACATTTTGAATTCCCGCCAAAAAACACAACAATCATTTTCAACCCTCACAAAATTCATCTTCTCTGTGAAAGATTAATGAGAAAGATTATGGCATGTTTATTCTGTTTTTAACTTTTTATGAAAATTATAAAACCGTCTTAAAAAAAAATTAGTACTCCAGGTAAAAGAGAGTTCTATAAAAATAGTTCATAAGAATTTTTTAAATTGAGTTTTAAAAAACAATTTTCCGAAAATTTTGAAAACTACAATTCAATATGAGTAAATTTCTATACAAGATTTTTTTTTTATTTTCAGTTATATGAAAACAAAAAACTGAACCAAAAAAAGGTTCAAACATTCATCTAAAAAGTTTTGAGTGTAAACGATATGTGTGGCTTGTGAGTGATTACACTCATATTTGATTTACCTTGTAATCATAAGTTCAAAAAATCACAGGCTAACACTTACAAAGGTTTTTGTTTTCCAAAAAAATTACAGATGAAAAAGATGTAATTGCTGTCTTAAAATATGGGATTACAAATTGAGTTCGACTTTTACTTTCATCAGTATTTGAATGAAGTGAAAAACACAGAAAAAACTATATGGAATCCTTTCAAGTAACTTTGTACAGGACAACTTCATCGCATTTATTTCGAAATTTCACCATCATAAACTTTATCATTTTAACAATCAAACAACGAATTTCTCTCACTTTTATCACTTTCAACACTATAAACTTCATTTTAAAATTTTAAAGGATGAATTTTACTATTTTTATAGGCAAGAGTAAAAAATAGGTGAAATTTCACAATTAAACTGGTAAAATTTCCCACTGCAGGAACGTATAGAAAAGTTACCGGCAAGGGCAAATTCGAAGGAAAAAAAAAAAAAAAAAACTACACATATTAATTCAAAACCAGAAAAGAAGTCTGCCAATAATCTAAGACATGCCTTTTAGCTCCCAATGATACTGAGGTCATAATACACCAGCCTGCACAGGCAATTGCAAGGTCTGCTGCTGATTGTGGTTGCTCTAGGTCTCGTCGCAAGTTGATCTTTGTCGATGATCATGCACGCAATCATCAACAAATCATATGCATAGGACAACCTCAGTTCCTGAGTTGCGTGGTCTGAACATGCCGAAAGTAATATCTTTTCTCCGTTTGGACTTCAGCAATGGGGCAGCAGTTTTTGGGAAGAATGCCTCGTGGTAAAAGAAATTAACATGAATCAAGTCAAATTTTTATCAGAATTATGAAATTGCCATCCATCATGACATCCCACCTCGCAGCCATCCACACACACAGTCAACCATGGCCGTTCCTCGCGAATTTCAGCCAGAACATCTGGTTTACTAGTCAAACGAGTGCGCCCAAAACCAATCCACTGTAAACCGCAGAACGAAGGCTTCTTCAGCAAGCCCAATGATTCGATAGAAAGCCCATTGCAGTGAAAAAGATCTAGCCTCCGAAGTAGTTTGCTTGTGTCTTGGGAACTTCTCCAGGAAGCCAATATTTTCATTGAAGCATCCGTCACATGGAAGCAATATCTGATACACAGTTCAGTAATCCCAAGAGCAACTTCAGCAATGGTGAGAATTGTTTTATCTGATATTCCTGGCATGGAGCCCACATCAAGGGCAGACAATGTCTTGCTCATTGTCCCTCCGCCACACAACATACGAGCAATTCCTTTGTCAGTTACCCTCTTACAGCCTCTAAGACACAACCGTGTGATTGATAAATTACCTATAACAGCTAAACCATTATCAGTAATATCTGCCCCTCCTAGATTTAGCATATTTAGGTTATGAAGGCATGAAACGGAGCTAAGGCAGGCGTCTGCTACGCTCCTACAGCCACACAGGTCCAGCATCTCTAAACCACTACAAGAGGCCAGTCCTGTTACAGTTTCACTAGTTATAAGACTGCATGACAACAATCTCACCTCTACAAGGGAACACGGGGCTCCAATCATATCATGAAAAGCCAGGTCTGACAACAGTGATGCATTGTGAACTTCAAAATGTTTCAAGTTCTGGCAGGAGTGGAGAATTGCTGCAAAGCCAGCATCACTGACTTTAGAAAACCCACCAAGTCTCACTGATTCAAGACCTCCACAGCCCTCAGCAAGGAGAAACATGCCCATATCATTTATTCTTTTGAAAGAAACGGGATGGTTCTGTCTACTTCGTATAAGAGAGAGACTAGTCAACTGCTGACAAGAGCCTAAGGACTGAAGCCCACTGTTGGTCAAGTCATAGGGCAGGAAAGGTTCCTTGCTTGGTCTGTCTTCAAGATCCAACTCGGCCAAAAGAGAAAGGGTGTTGGCAATGGAGATGATAAGTTCATCGGATATAATGTCAAGAACAAGTGACAAGTACCGCAATGCAAAACCAGGTGATCCAGGAAAGGGAAGTCTGAAATTGGGAGACGTCTCCAAGAAGCTCCTGACAACTCCAAGTTCATGGTCAACTCCAAGTTCATGTATAAAATGGACAACATCTCGTTCCAGTACGGGCTGCAACTTCAGAACTTTTACAGTTTTGGGTAGGAAGTGTTGAATGTACTGCAAACCATTTGGATAAAATTCTGTTGCTCGGATTTTTATACATAGAGACTGTAACAGTACAAACAAAAGGGTTGCTTAAGCGAATAAAACTTGCATAAGGTTAAACATATTTGGAAGAACATGGTGCAAGAGTGTGACTAAGATTAGAATTGTATCATATCTTACCTCCAAGTATGAGCAACCTCCAAGCATCGGTACAAGGTCTCCCCTGAATATTTTAAGCAAGTCCCAGCTAGCTAATTCCACTGCAAGTACCCTGACATGAAGCAAATAAAAACCATAACATAATTTACTAAACCCAAACACTTTCTTGTCAATATACCTCTAGAATTATTTAAAATATATACACAAATCTTTAGGCAGGTTTTCCTTCTTTTTTTCAAATCCCCCTGCTTTTAAGTGTTCATATGGCATGGTGGGTCTGTAAGTTATTTGTCAATACCCAAAAAAGAGGACTCCGCAAGTAAATTTTTCTAGGGAATTCAAGTCTCTATAGGAAAAAAAAAAAAAAAAAGAGGGCCCTACAAGTATAAATTCTTGGGTCTGCCTCTGGTTTAGTTGAATACTATGACATGGTTAAAAAAACCATACATACATAATCATTTACCCAATTCTATGTAAACAATAATCAGTGTTTGTTACAGCTAATAGAAGATGTTTACATTAATTTGTGTACATAGTAGTTAGATTAATACCCCAATATTATTTCTAATTAATCAGTCACCTGAATCAATGTACTCAGTAATCAAATATACAAAGGATTACCATATGGGAAAAGCTTGCATAAATATTTGAATGAAGATTATAACCATTTCTCAAATTAGCATCTAATTGTGCTGTGCACATGTGAATTTGTAATGTGTTGGCATGTCAAACTCACTTCCCCAAAATAGAAAAGTTCGTTGTTCTACAACTATTACAAAATCATCATCTAATATTTCATTCATTTCGTTTCATTATTGTTATGATAAGAATTTTGGAAATGCAAATGACAAGGTAGTACCTCAAATTGGGGCACGACTGTCCAATGGAAGCAAGAACTCCATATGAAAGTGAAGAACACTTGAGCAGGGTCAATTCTTGAACATGTGCTCCAAGCAAGTTAAGCAACCTGCTGATTGAAGAATCATCTAGGCGGAGACAGTCAAGAGTGACGGTTTTGAGGCCTCTGAACCGATGAAGGATGTGATTTAGAGTCTGGACATCAGGAGAAAATGCCTGCCGCACACATATGCAACCCATAAATGCCCATTAAATTACACATTTAGATACCCATATATATTATATATGTAGGTATTCATTTCATTTATATACATATATATATGCGTAAGTGTATTATTATTATTATTATTATTTCTACCGCAACAAACCATGCCAATTTTAGAAGTTGATGAAGTTTCAAGGGTTCATTATATAGAAAGCAATATACCCATATAGAGTTAAGGAGCTACATATAACTATATGTATAGGTATTTATGTATGTATACGTAAATACCCATTAAATTACGCAAATAGATACCAATATATATTACTTATGTGGCTATTCATTTCATTCATACACATAAATGTGGGTAAGTGTATTATTACTATTTCTACTATAGGAAGCAACAAACCGCGCCCAATTTTAAATGTGGTGAAGTTTAAAGAGTTCATTATACGGAATTCAGATACCCATATGGAGTTAAGAGCTATGTATAACTATATGTATAGATATTTGTGTATGTATTCATAAATACCTATTAGACAACACATACAGATAAGTGTATCATTATCATTTTTACTAAAGGAAGCAACAAATCACGCCCAATTTTAGAATTAGATGAAGACTATGAAGTTTCAAGGTTCGTTAAATAGAAACCACCTACCCATCTGGAATTGAGAAGCTATATACAAATATATGTATAGGTATCTGGAATTGAGAAGCTATATACAAATATATGTATAGGTATTTGTGTATGTATAGGTGACTGAGTACTTACAGAGAGATCGAGGGAGGAGAGAGAGGAGAGCACTTGAGATACAGCGAAGCGGAGGGTTTTAGAGACACAAGCTGCAGAGCAAAGTGTATCTAAATCCACCTTCAGCAACAGTTCGTGGAGAATGCTGTTCGGGAGTTTCTCCAAGAAGCCACCGCCACCGCCACCGCCACCGCCATATGCTCTTTTATCACTCATACGGAATAGTGAGGGTTCAGTTGAATTGGATTTGTCAACAGAAGTAGTATTCTATAGACACCGTTATTCTAGTAGGCATTGTTTGGATTGAGGGATTAGAGTGATTTGGGGATAGGGAAGGACTTGGAGGGGATCACTGAATTCTTCCAAATTTGACAAGATTCTAAGGAAGTAAAATTTTTATTAAGACAAAATTAACCTTCAAAATTGCGTACACAAAATTTTTATTACATTGAATTCCTAATAACATAACACAATATTATGGCAAATCAGACTCTGGGCAGCTCCTCTTCTCTCGCTTCTCTAGTTCCTCTTCTCTCGCTTCTCCGGCTTCTCTAGAGGATAATAAAAATTTTAAGGGACGAAGTAATTAAAGATCTTGTTGCAATGCACTGAAGATTAGAGGAGTAAGATCTTATACTGGAGATACCCAATTTTAGAAGATCCAATATGAATAATATATCTGACTATAATCCTTATGATCATGTGATAATTGTGATTGGATATATATATATTTCTATAAACTAGTATATAACTTTTACGCATGAGGATGGGCTGTTGTCATTGTTAGGTTTTTTTTAATTTCTGGTACAGTTGCTCTCCAATTACAAACTATTCTAACTTGCAATCTTTGGTCTTCATGTTCAACACGTATTTATAGCCCAATTTCACTTCTTTAACTTCTCTAAAATTTTCTATTCTTACCAAATATTTACAATTGTAGATTATTTATGTTTAATTTAAAATGTAACTCTGACTTAGATACCTCTTATTCTTTTTTTATTTTTTATTTTTGCTTTCAATGACATGGAGCTCACTCTGTTTTGTTTGTACTGAGATGGGATGATACTAATGAAAATAGTTATAAATTATGTTCTCTAAAATGTATATGGAGATTAATTTCTTCTAGAAAACGTTGACAGTATATATATGCGAGAAAATGTATGCACACCTTAAATATTAACTGTTACATTACATTAGGTAATTAAAAAGGTAGTTTATTCTTTTATATCCCACGGTTAAGATTTAATTAGTGTATAAATTCCTTGCATACCAGGTGAATAGTCCTATATATATATATATATATATATATATATATCTTAAAAAGTCTAACACTGCCTTATGCTTCAAATTTGATCATCACCATGAATATGATCTTCACACACACACACACACATATCTTAGAAAGGCAAACTTTGAAAACAAGTTATTTTATTTAGATTAGATATAAAGGGGTAAGATAGTAATTTGATTATTTTCCTTTCTTTTCTCTCCTCTGTTTTATCCAAACAAGTATATTATCCATTTATTTCTTTTTCTTCTATCTATCCAAATATGAATATAAATTATAACTATTTTTTCTTTTCTTTTCTGTCATAACTAATGTAATGTGTATTCAAATGAAGCTGTAATGTACGAGTAATATTTTACAGACAATCATTCTAGAGTTGGGGATAAGTATCTAAAACACCCCTTAGCTTTATTTTTTAAAGGAAATAAGACCCATCTTTTACTTTGAGTTTGGGTATATAACTTACTCAAAAGAATTTAATAAAAATATTATAAAGAAGGATTTTTCGATAAATACGCTAAAAATACACGATTAAAAAAATATATTTGGCACATGAGTGATTAAATTTAATAAACACCAAAAAAATCTCTTTATTGACTACCAAAACGCCTTTCCTTTTACATTAATTGAATTTTTATTTTTTTATTGTAAAAATGGCATTTTAGTATTTTTATTACTCTATTAACGGCTAATTGATAGGAGGTTCTTATTTGCCCTTATAATAAACTTTAGGGGATTTTTAGAACCTATAAGAGATTATATGTAGGGATGGCAACGGGGCGAGTTTGGAGCGGGTTTCCCTAAATCCCGCACCGCCCTTTTTAATTTTTGTCAAGTTCTTGCCCGCCCCGAGACCCGCAACGGGTTGGATTTTTATGTCCAGCCCCGCCCCGTTGGGGAATACTGTGCCCCCGTGCCCGCCCCGCTAACAAATTTTTTTCTCCCACTTTTTAGAACTTAAGCTCCTATTATTTATATGCGGAAATCCTGGAAATGGCACAACATAAATGAAATTATGTATCCCAACAAAAATAAAAAAATAACATGCACATGACATAATTTAGAGAACATAACAAACAAAAATAAACTTTTAATACAACCAAATCACAAGAAGTTCTAAACTCCAACGTCCACCATAACTAAAACAAAAGCAAATTTAATATCAAGTTTACATCCCAAATTAAGATTGTAAGAGATGGATATCTGGGTAAGCCGCTAAAATAAGTTATTAATATAGTATATATATATATATATATATATATATATATATATATATATATTAAATATAGTTATATGCTTAGCGGAACGGGACGGGGCGGGCCCCTAGGATATGTATACTGAACCCTTACCCACCCCGTGACCTGCAACGGGTATAAAATTTGTATCCATACCCGCCCCAACGGTATAAAAAGTGTTCTCATATCCGTTAGGGGACGGGACAGAGCCCCAGCGGGGCGGTAAAAATTGACATCCCTAATTATATGAGCTATATAGCCTTCTAGTTATTTATCGACTAAAAAATGAAATAAAATAAGATTTAATAATCAGATTTTTTTTTTCCCCTTCTCTTTTTTGTTTTTATTTAGGTTTTTTCTTTTAAATAAATGACACCAACACCAGTTGATTTTAATTTTTTTTTTTGTTTTAAATAAACTACACGGATTTGAGATTCAAATACAAGCACATTTACTTAGGGAGGTGAACATTTTACCAATTAGATCCGGGTAATGTGCATCACTTAATTTTAATTGGGAGTTCAACTTTCAACCTCGCACTAATATTTTAACGGAATATGAACATGCAAATAATGAACCGAGTGCTTTAAATACAGAAATTCCAACACTAAAAGACAATTTATAAAAATAAATCTGTTTATACTTCTAACAAATTTTTTTAAATATTTAAAATTAGGAAAACAAAATTCTTAACTATGATCGACTTTTGACGGGAAAGCACCCTACATGAACACCTAAGCTGTAAATTTTTATGAGTTGGACGATTTCTCTTCACATATGAGTCTTTTCAGGTCAAAACGGACTTGTTGAAACTACTCCCAAAACTGTCACCCCCGCGTTTGGTGCTTTGGTTGTCCAAACGGCCACACTAGGCTTCAGCAATCACGGGCACATCATATTTATATAATTTTACTCATAATGTGCCCCAATTAGGTTTTAAATGATTAGACAAAATGCTAAAACAACTACCCATTCGTTGTTTTGAATTCCAATTTACAACCCTCGGTGCCATATTTTTGCTCGAGTTAGTCCCATCAAAAGAAGTATTTTATCCGCTTGGTTTGAAAAATTGTGACACTTCTAATCGTGTCTCCAGACGTGAGAGACACTTATTTGACGGTGTCCTACGCGTGTAAAATTATAACATTTCGAGCCATGACAAATACGTGTCTGACTATATTCCACACATATATATGCCTGACACCGCAAGACACTCCCAAGTATCCGTTTTTCTTAGGTAGTCCTACTAATAGTCTAATACTGACTACTCACATAGGTATGTGTGAACCTACCATATAATGAGGCCTACACATACCCCTATTACTAGTCGGAAATGTCACGTGGCAATGAAATGAATTTTCATACATATCTCACCTACCTCCCAAAGTGGATGAAATGGTGAGTGGTGTGTATTTGTTTCTTGAGAGGGGAGAGAGATATAAAAAAAAAAATATTCAAAGCATTCATTTGATACTTGATACCAAGCTTCAGTTCACTTTCGAGTTGATCTTCCCCAGCTCAAAAAGAATGAATTGCAGTTCAAAGTTCATACATGCTGCACTGGCATATATATTATGTAAATAGCAAATACAAAAATAGGAGAAAAATACAAAGCATTAATTTAAAATTTTTGAGCTGTAAACCGATGTTTAACACCTGCAATCACTAACAAAAGGGAGCAAATTTCCCAATTACATTTCACTTGTTCAATACGCATATTGACCATGCTACTATTACTCGATAGATTGAATTGAACTCTTAACAGCTATGGTTTAATTGCTGGTTCAAATAGACAGCTCGGTTTTTGAAACCAGAATGCCATCACTATCTGCGTACAACCATTCCCCTTCGTATATGAAGGTTCCTCCAACATTGATGGGAACGTGCTTTTCGCCAATGCCTCTTTTGTTCGATTTCTGGGGATGGGATGCCAAAGCTCTAACCCCGATATCACAGCCGTTAATCTCATCTACATCTCTAATGCAGCCATTGACCACAACACCAGCCCACCCCATATTCTGGGCCAACTGTCCCATATTCCCTCCTAACAAGGCACATCTCATGCTCCCTCCACCATCTATAACTAGAATTCTGCCTTCACCTTTGGTTTCAAGTAGCTCCCTAACAATAACGTTGTCCTCAAATACCTTAAGGGTGACGATGGGCCCCGAGAACGCTCGACGCTGCCCATACATCTGGAAGATAGGTTGCAGGACACGCACATCACCACTTGCCAGAAGTGCAGCATTTGTATCACAAGCTTCAGCAGTAGCAAAGGAAGCCATATATTGTCCTGCAAGTACAGTTTTCTAAATATCATGAACAAGGGTGCAAAATAATACCGATTATTGAGTGTTCCTAGCCCCTAGTGATGCTTTCAACATTTATTATCTTCTAAATCTTTGACGTTTCTGGTCCGCCAGAGGGCTGAGACAAACACTTAAAGAAAATCAAAGGTAAAGAAGAATCCAATATAGCATACAAACAAATATGTCGCCCCAACACCATCATGCAGGCATTTACATAAATATATCTTTTTGAATTTCTTCCCAATGTTTTCATTAAAACTAAGGAAAAAGGAATACAAAATTTCACTATTTTAATTCAAAGCAACCATATACCTTAAGCACCATGGTGGATTAATCAGTTTTTTTTTTTTTTTTTTTTCAGAATGGCTTTCTGGTGATCAGGAGACTAGAACTTCCAAACCGTTTCTTTGTCCATTCTTGGTTCAAACAGCCAAGAACATTTTTAATAGCAAATTCAATCTACAAATTCACATAAGGATGTATGTGCTACACATGATGAGCTGAAAGAGCATCATATGGAGGATCCAACTTTTATTGTGTTTGGGTTTCTATGCAAGTGTGTGTGTGTGTGCATGCATGTTTTGCTGCTATTCAACAAAGGGACTGGACTATACACAAATGAGTTGCTTCACAAACAGGCAGTCCTCATCAGAAATAGAATCTTAGTTGAACAAGTACAAAAGGGTAATTTAGTTAAAATTCTTCTCCACTGTCCAAAAATAAAGTAACTAAAGAAGACAAAATTAATGTCTTTAAGAAACATGATGCACAAATGTACCACATACTAATGCTAAAACGTGAAAGGAAAAGGGAAATGCAACGTCATATGAGCACTCAAATCAAACACAGTAACGGGCTTGAATCTGATTCTGCGAGTTTGACTGTTCAACTTGGCTTTAAAATACTTGGAATCATATTGGACCTTAAATATGTCTTTGAGTTCTTGAAATCAGGGATCAGTTCAATTGAGTTAATCCTGAATCAATGAACTCATACAATTTAAATGATTTTTAAAAGCCAAGAACCTTGCCATGTTAAGCCCGAGGGACAGAAGAGTTAATCAAGAACTACACTTATTAGTTGGAGCTTCACATGGATTTTCCCTAGATTAAAGCTGGCATGTGGCATTAGGGCCTACCACGTGTCTAGAGGGGATTAGTCTTGCCCAAAAGATGGGGACACCCCTCTAGTCACCCAAAAAAAGGGAGTGGGGACCTTGAGTCCATTTGGAGTGTATGCACTTAAAGCAAATGAATAATAGATTTCTGCATATACAGCATATCAAACTGACTTTCTCATTACTTCAGTCCTGGAATTTATGTTTGCCTCACTCACATTGACCTGATCACTGGAAACCAGAAGGATAAAAAAATCCAACCAACATCAATGCACTAATGGAATATCAGAGATATTTCAACAGCTACGATTTGAAGTGTTCCCTAAATCATGGCACCGTTGGCAAATAAAAAAGTTACTCCATATATAACTACTGGCGTGTCCGTTGTCTTAGTTTTGTGTCACAAAAAGGCTTGGAGCAGAGTATAAGTTGCCTCCCAAAAATGTACATAGCTATCTGCTACCAGAGAGTGAATCACCATAAAGAATTTGATTCGGAGAGTGTTACTTCGAAAGAAGAGTTTGAGATTTTCCTCGCCGCCAGAAAGAGAAGCATGGAGAGGATACTTGAGAGTGTTACTTGGACTAGAAGGTGTCAGCTTCCTAATAAGAAAAAAAGTTCTCTAGATGACATATATAACGAAGTAACCGAAATCAAATATGGAAGCCTGATGGTATGCTAAAATCCCATATAATTAAGAGGGCCTTGAATAGGTGTGCTGCACCTGCCTTTGGGACTTTGGCTACATTGGTCGAGGTTTGTAATTTTGAGTAGATTGTGAGTATTCCCAAAGAAAAAACAAGAAATGTGCCACCATGTAACAGAGTGAGAACTGCCACGGAGAGGGCAACCTAAGAGAGGTTACATAGAACAGAAACTATAGGTAGAACTACGGTGAGCGGTCTAAACTTTGACCCTTGTTTCTTTCTTCATATTGTAAAGGGGATCAAAGCCTGTGTGCACGACTCCTTAAGTTATATGTCCATTGAGATAGCACTCCCTTCTATAACAGCTACTGATCTCACATTGGAACAGACAAGCACTATGGGAAGGATAGTCTTCACAACCACTATGGCAGCTAGAGTGAAGTAGTCTAGACAACCACTATGGGAGCTAGAGTGAAGTAGTCTAGACAAAAATCCACAGACAACATCCCTTGTGGAAACATGATGGTCTGCCACTATCCCAATTACAGCTCGGACTCTGACTCTGTCTCTTTCTACCAGTTCTGAGGCTTTTGGAATTTTAGTCGAGATTTACAACACAAAACTACCTATGCACAGATTATTGCAAAAGCTTCTATAATTGTCAATTAAAATTCTGGCCCTATTTTTCAGAAGGAGCACCTACATGTTAAAATCTTTCCTAACAACAGAAGAAAACAAAGCTATAGAAATAACTACCCATAATGCCTATAAAATGGGCAAAGGAAGTAACTTGTGATTATAAGTTGAACAATTATCCAATTAGCCATTAGCCCAATGGTATAACCTCTCCTCACTCAAAAGGGAGGTGAGGGATTCGAGCTCTGCAGTGGGCAATTTGTGAATGTGTGTGAGTACTTTACCTAACCCGGAGAAGAAGAAGAAAAAAAAAAAAAAAAACTTCTAAACCATCATTGAAACGCCTTTTCTTTAATATAAGTGAGGTTTTAAAAACCCTCATTGGAATCCAGCATGCATTATTGTTGAAAAGTTCAATTTCCCAGTGAGTAACAGAGCTTGATTAAATAAATAGCACAAGCCAAATACCCAATTCATCAAGAAGATTACAAACATAGAGCTTTAGGGCTAGTCACCAATGTCTTTAGTAACTCCATCCATTGGCAATTCAAATTACTAATTAATAAATGGCAGAGAACCCAACAAACATCTTTAATCCAAGATTAAATTAATATATAATAATCAAACAATTACTAAGATTCTCCAAGCACGTTCAATATGATAACAGCATGTCTAAGAACTCTGAATTTGTTCAGAAAATGGGTACTAAACTAAAAGCCAAAAACAAACAGGATTATATGTAACACATATACCAATATTCAGAGTCACAAAAGTAAAAGCTTACAAGTTCAGAGAGTGAGAGATGAACCCAATTTCAATAATATCCAATTTCAGAGAGCTGCTATGGTTCTTGAATCCTCGGAGCTGAAACTAAAAATGTATAGATATACCAACACATATGTGTATGTGATATGAAAAGGTAATTCATGCTCATCTCACCGTTCGTGAGTTAGGAAGATGACGGTATCCTATCTTATTGATTTGTGTGCCGCTCTCCGTACAACGTAAGCAGTGAGCAAAGGCGTTGGGAATTTTTTATGTTTGTTGCTGTGGACGGGAGAGGTCGTCGATTAAATCAAAATGGCGTCGTTTTAATATACACGCAATTGGTTAGACCGTTTGACATTTATACCTGAGCCATACTTCTTGAGAAAAACTTCTTTACGTCTGATACACGGTGGGCACATCTAACCTTGTACCATGCATATAATATATGTATAGACGGGTGTCTTACACAGATGGCCGGAATGCATCTGTTGTATGATTCAATTAACGTAAGAAGGTTTTTCTTCATACTTTATACTAGTAAAAGACTAAAAGGAGATCATGGGTTAGAATTTTAGTAGAGGCTGTGTAAGTGAATTACTTTATTTATATAAAAATAATAATAATAACAACACGCAAAAACACAACTTCAAAATATAAGAGCATTTCTAATGAGTTTGCCAAATTTTTGCAATTCAGTGAATCTATGTCACCATTTTTTAAGGGGTAAAGTACAGAAAACTCCTATTTACTATTAATATAGTGCATATCAGTTCCTGTGTGGTAAAAAATCCCCCTATATTATCAATTTGGTGCAAATAGGTCCCTGTGTGGTGTAAAATGACGATAATATCCTCACTTCAGTTGAATAAATTAATGATTATAAATACCGGCCATGTAAAATGACTCTTTTGTCCAAATTTGTGTAAAATTATATTTGTTTGGCAGAAGAATAAAATAAAATCTCAAATTGTATAAAATAGGGATAACCTAATCCTGAATATAATTAAAACTAAAACCAAACATTCCCCAACCTCCATTACCATCACCCATCACCGCCTAACCCAACCTCCATTACCCCCACCCATCACTGTTCGCCGCCACCAAACAGAAACAAAATCTAATCAAAATTAAGACCAGGTCCAAAGAGCTCCAACAATAGCTCGCTTCCACTGGAGAGGTACGTAGCAGCGAGGAACATCAGGTAACCGTAGACGATTATGAGGAAGAGATTGCCGAGTACGGTGGTGATGCAGGGCAAGAAGCCGTACGTCTAATCGCAAGACTCGTCCGCAAGGAACCGATTGAGCCGGAGAAATTGCAGACCCCGCAAACCATATTGGACACCGTCGGAGATGAGATCTGAGGATGGATGGCCGGTGATGAATTGGCTATAGGAGAGGTCGCAGAGGATGAGAAAGAGGAGAATAGTTGAGAGGAAGGTGGGAGATCGTCTGTGAGCCATGTTTGGAGCTTTGTTGATGTGTGTCAGAGATGGATATGCATATCTGTATATATATATATATATATATATATATATATAGAGAGAGAGAGTTAATCTTCTCTGGCCATCATCAACGTCACCACCACCGTACTTTCGCCGAAATCGTGACATCCTTACAGTCATCGTCATATCGTTTTTGCCGGAGTAATTGCTAATTCAGTCCTCTTTGCTAGCCGATTCAGTCACGCCACTAATAAATGCTCATCGTTGCTGCCCTCTTGTTGCATCGTTGTTGTAATATTCATTCTCTGGTCGCCGTTGTGAAGCTCTCACTGGTCGCCGTTGCATAATTGAAAAACAAGTTTTTTTTTTTCCCCAAATCAACTCATCATCACCTCCAATTGAAAACCAAAGCTGCTTTGTTGCTTTTTCCCAGCCCACACCAATCCACCATCACCACCAATTACCCAATATATCAGAGTTCAAATTCCGAAATTCATTTGAAGATCTTGATCTGTAATTGTGCATTTACCGACCACCATTCATAAGCTCAACAGCAAATGTCACTACTGTTTGGGGATTGAGAAAATTTTTGGCATGTGATAATTATTTGGTGGAACCCATGATAAAGTTTAGCAATGAAGTCGCTAAACATGGAAAAGAAATGGGTTTTCCTTCTTTTTATAAGTTCCCTCGTATGCGTTTTCCTTCTTGGAACTTCCTTCAATATGGATATTGTTTCTTCCTTACATACAATTAATAGGTTCTTCTCAATTTTACCGTATAATGGTTTGACAAACCAAACAAGACCACTTTTTGCGGAAACACAGAACAATCAAGCTCCACCCCCTCCTCCTGAGTCCACTGTTCCTCATTTTGCTTATCTTGTTTCGGGATCAAGAGGTGATTTAGAAAAGCTTTGGAGAACTCTTCAAACTTTGTATCATCCGTTGAACCAATATGTTCTTCATCTGGATCTAGAATCTCCAGCAGAGGAGAGATTAGAGCTTGCTTCCCGAGTGGAAAAAAGTCCAAATTTTTCCAAGGTTGGGAATGTTCACATGATTACCAAAGCTAACATGGTTATGTATGTATGTATATATATCTATATGTATGTATGTAGAAGGTGGTCACCGGAGAAAATGTATATGTATGTATGTATATATATCTATATATATATATATTGTATAATATAACAATAGAGAGAGTGAGAGAGAGAGGGAGAGAGAGAGACGAATTTGGTTTAGAGGGGTTATATGCACAAATAGGTGAAGGGCAAAATGGGAAACAAAAGGGTAAAAAGGGGTAAAGGTTGTCAAAGGGACTAGTTCTGTACCTTTTTTTAATTTTGTGGACTTGCATGCACATTTTCAAAAAGTAAGGACTAGTTTTGCACAAAGTGTATATATCAGGGTTTTTTTTACACTTTGCCTTTTTTTAAGAGTCACATCAGTCTTTTCAACAGTCACGTTATCTTTTTGAATTCTCTAAATTTTAATTATTGCAAGTACTCAAATGATATGTTTTCGCACTTTAAAAATATTATTAATATTTTAATATATATATTTTTTTACTTTTTCCTAAATGCTATTTTTTATTTATTTATTTTTTTTTTTAAACCTTCATTTGCTTATCTCATTATCACTACATTCATCTTTATCTTTCTAGCAAAATATTAATCACCATCTCCTTCAATCTAAAAATTTCAATGTCTTTCTCATTAGATCTTTTAATAATTAAATTGTTTGTTGATTAAAATGTTTAGTAAATTAATTTTTTGATATATACAATATTGTAGACAATTCAATATCCATTATCATTTGATGTATTTATTTATAGACGTGAAAAAAAAGGCAATTTTTTTCAAAAAAATTTTTAAAAAAATAAATTGCATTTTGTTAGGGAAAAACTAAAAAACATTTGAAAAAATATTTTTTTGGGTCAATATGGTCGTTAAAACACTGTTTTTGTCCGCAGGTGTGTAGAAAATAAAATTTAAAAAAGCAAATTGAATTTTTTCCTTTTTTTTTTGGGTCCAAAAAAGCCTTTAAGGCACTGCCAGTGCCGTTAAGGCTCTTTAGGTTCAAACATGTTGAAGAAAAAAAAAACCAAAAAAACAAAAGCCAAAAAAGTAATTTCTGGCAATTGTTTCTCCCAAACATGCCCGGAGACCCAATTATGGGTGGATTGAGCTTATTTTTAAAAAAAATTATACATGCGGTGCACGAATAACCAAAGGAGTCACCAGTTGGCGACACATATAGTGATTGAAAAAATTGGACTCACTTTTGGCGATTTACAATGGAGTAGATTGGGTAGTCAAATTGGACCCAAATCTTGAGGACCGTTGAAGATACTCTAACACTGTTATATTAAAAATGTACACATACCAATCGATCTTAGTTCAACGCTATAACCTCTCTTCATTCAAAAAGAAAAGTGAAGAGTTCGTAAGATGAGGTTTTTGTAAATTTAGTAAGAGTAATTTTAAAATTTCATAGGTACTTGGTACAAAAAAGAGAATTTTATAAGAAGATACGAAATTATACCAATTTTTTATTTCAATGAGAGCAGTTTTCCCCTACTACCAAACAGGTATGCGCCTGTGTCTTTGTCAATTTAATAGATAAAGTGTTTCAAAGTAACGTGTTGCATCAAGCATGTGCATTAAAATAATATATTTTTTTATATACTTAAAATTTTTGAACCTCCTTTTATGCGAGAGAGGATCGTGATTTTATCACACGAATCAGAATTTTCTCATGTGCACCAGAAAATTTGTGATGTTATAAATGTGAACAAATCCATTAGCTAATAATGCATGCTCCTAGTGAGAGTACCATCGTGATAATAGCATACCTCATGAATAATTTATTATTTATTTTTATTTTTTGCATTAGAAAATATTCATGAATAATTTTAGCAAAATTAGTTGGTGGTATTCAACCAAAAAAAAAATAGTTGGTGATCTTTTAATACAGTGGTGCCAAATATTTAAAATTAGAGTTGCAAATTTGCCATGAATTATTTCTGAATAACTCTGATTAAACACAATAAAAAGTCAACCTGTATTTCATTAAAAACAAGTCCAGTTAGACTCATTATGATTCTAAATTATGTGAGAAAATTTTCACTTATTACTGAATATTTAAAATTTTGATAAGTATTAAAAGTTAAAACATTCTCAATTTATAATCTTTATTTAAAATTTCATAACTTAAAATTAACTTTTACAATTTACAATTTTATAAAACATCGTGCGTGTCTTATTTCTCATTACCTATAAACACATAAAGTAGAGAAATATGTGAATACACACATTTATTTATATATATATAGAATAGAAAAATAAAATATCAGAGTGTAAGGTCGAGATAGTGGATGCCTTAGTCAGAGAGATATATAGGACAAAAATTTTTTTTAATGGGATATGATAGTTTCTTGATGGTCTAACATTCTTGCTAATACATTATCCTTATTTTGTTCCGGATTGTAATCTCTAATGGGTATAACCATCGAAGACTTAGGAGGCGTTGAGAACAAAGAAATTGTTGGAGTTATCATTTCGATCTAGTACCAACACGTTTGATGTTAAGAAACAATAACCTAGAAAAAGGGGAAAAAAAAAAAAAAGAAAAACGAGTTTGAACTACGATTTCATCAAATTCAAATTTGATACTTACACCCACTAACTTAAAAATGTTTCCAATTCGGTAAATTGGAATAGTCTCTTATTTATGGCGGGTGATATTGGCATTCCACCAACCACGAGCCAGTTTTGGGTTGTGTAACAATTTTTTTTAAACACTTTTATTATTAA